ACTAATAAATAAATACATAGTCGAAATTGAAAATTTGGCTTATTTTCATGTTTGAACATTCGTCTCTAATTTCTTAGACATAGAAAAGTTCTTAAACTATAGTTCCATATATGATACAGAGTCATATATGATACGCATGTATACTTAATTAAATGCAATATGCATGGATGATCCTGATTTAAGAGACCTAAAACTCAACACTAGACATCGTAACATTCTATAGAAATAAAACAACATTACTAATCACCAAAAAGAATGGGTCAAGCTTGAATTGTCGAGACAAAAAACAACCGCATTCGTTGCGGTGTGATTGGGGCCGACGAACCAGTGACAGTGACCTCATAACAGCCTATACATACGATCTATGCTAAACACGAGAATACCGTAAGTTATCTAAAAACTTGGCATCTCATTCCTACATCGGAAAGCTTCCGTTACACCAATAGTGACACAGAACGGAACTACAAACAAAAAATTGCTATATTTTTTAAGTTAGCTATCATCCATCATTAGTTTTTTACGGTAGTCTGGACAAAAAAGGTTGTATGTAAGTAGATTTCGGTGATAAATTAGATTTAGATAATTTATTTATTTACAATGAACGTTTTAAAATGTTCTTGTATTGTTTGCCTTTTTGTATTTAGGTCATATTTATTTAATGAGAGTAAAAAATGACCTGTCTAATGCCTACTTTAAATCAGATATTAAAACTTTTAGATTAAAAGTTAAAATTATTTTGTTGTTTGAATTGGGAAAACCGATCTTGTTTGTTTCTTTATTTAGTGAGAAGGTAAGGCGTTTATATTATATGGGCCCCTTAACAAGTCCTTGACCCTGATCGATCGATTGACGACGAAGTACAGAAATCTATTTGTCTGCTTCACTGCTTTTAAATATGTGTTCTTTTAAAAAATTTTATTTTAATCAATTTTCATACATAAATCGGGGATTTTTTTTGTGAAAAAAATCCTATCACATATTGGCTATGCTTTCAATGCACATGTTATAAAAAAATGACAGTAGCAGATATCGATTAACAACAAAAAATAATTGATAAAAACAATCGTGATAAGTTACCGTGATTTTAAAGGAAATATTTATTTTTTTATCTAATAACGATAAATAACCAGCTCCGGCTGTAATCAATCAGTTAATTTTCGCGTGGTACAAACTTGTTTACCTATTTTCTACAATGCAAGGAATAGTATTTTTTTTTAATTAACCAAAGTCGTTAATTTCGCTATACATATAATGCACAATTTTTATTAATCATGCAGTTCTATTTTTAAATGTTTTTTTTCTTCCAATTAACCCGAACTTATACGTTTGCGCGCATTTTTGTCCTAATTAAGTAAGTATTTATAAATAAAGTAAGGGAGTCTCAAAAGCTACTTCGATTGACCCCTTCGACCCCTTCGCGGAGATTTTAAATAAAAACCAACATATTGGGTGCGACAAGCTAGGGGTTGGTAAATAAGGGTCGTTACAATATGTCAGTGTGGCTCGTTGGTCTAGAGGTATGATTCTCGCTTCGGGTGCGAGAGGTCCCGGGTTCAAATCCCGGACGAGCCCGTTTTCCCTTGTCTTAAGAAAATTCGGGAAAATTGACGACAAATCTTTTTGTTTAGTGCCTTTTTCTAAAACTATGTGTGTATAATAAGCACAAAATTACGTACACCTATTTAAAAAAAAAATAATGTACTGTGAACATTTTGTTTTTTGATAAAAATTTAAGAAATAATTGCGAAAAGATTTAGGAGTCGGTAATTTTTAGTTGGTACCTTCACTATTTAGTCCTTATTATTATTAATTTATATCGTATTGGTGCTATGAGATTCTGAGTGAGACTTCATGAATTAATTAGAATACTTATACTTAATAGAATTCTTTACTAATAATATTAATTAATTTGATATAAAGTAAAAACCAGCGAAAAACTGACAGACCATATAGGTCGATCCTTCTCTATTTTCATTACTTATTTACCGAAACCATGTTTTAATTTTTTACTTCAATACTTACTATATCACTAGAGTATCCTCTTCAGCATACGAGAGTCGGCATTAACCTCCCTATTCAACAGTTTCTGTTTTTTATCACCAATTCTTTGGTGTATTTTATTTGTAGATTATGAGGGAATGTCAGACTCTTACTGACTCAAAACTAACCCGTTTTCTCCTGTACCGCGATCGCGGTACGTTATTCTATGCAACCCTGGATCTCCTAGCTCGATTGTATTGAAGACCATACTTGAAAAGATCCAGATATCAGGATCAGCCTAGCCAAGGTATGATCACCACAATTGCTCAAGGAGAATTGGCGATATCAAACTTATAACAAGAAATTAATGGTCCAGATTTCCTTACCATGTTTTCCTTCACCGTATATTAGTGAGGTTTAAATAATCAATCAGAGAGCGCTGCTCTAAAATGTTTGTCAAGTGTGCAGTCCCATAATAGGGATTCTTTGAAAACCCGGGCAAACAGAATAGGTGGTGTTAAATGCATGTAGGTTTTTTTTATGTGATAGGTCGGCAAACGAGCAAACGGATAACCCGATGGTAAGCAATCAGCGTCGCCCATGAACACCCGCAACGACGGAGTAGTTACGAGTGCGTTGTCGACCTTTTGGGGATTAGGGATTTGGAGATTTTGGGAAAGAGAACGGATTGGGGTAGGGTTAAGATTGGGCCTCCGGTAACCTCACTCACACGGCGAAACACAACGCTGTGGTTGTTGTCTGTGAGGCCGTGGTATCACTCCGGTCGAGCCGACCCATTCGTGCCGAAGCATGGCTCTTCCACACTTACGTAGGTAGGTACGCGTACTATCTCCACACGATAGTGCAGACAGCCCTTTTTGAACGGAGGAAAAACATCGAACGATTTCTATCCCCCCTGGGTCCGGTGAAATGGAGCGTCAGACTCAATCACCCCGTGCCTTCACTCCAGGCAGAGGTCGCAGTACAGAGCTTTTTTTTGTCAGGGGAAAATCATCAAAATGTCTTCTCCCGCCGAGAGCCGGGCGGGAGGGAGTGTCAGACTCTTACTGACTAAAAACCCCCCTGATCCTTCTCCTGCTCTGGGCCGAGGTCGCGGTTCCTCATTGCGCTTACCCCGCAACCCCGGCTTCAATTTATCCCCCCTGGGTCCGGTGAAATAGAGTGGGACTCTTACAGGTTTAAATCACGCCGTGCCTTCACTCCAGGCAGAGGTTGCAGTACATTATTGAGCTTAACGTGCAACCTAGGCAGCGCTAAAGTGATTTATTTTTCACATATTTTCTTAGAATATGTAAAGATTGTATCGGTTTATAGTAATTTAATTTTCTTTATCCAATTAAGCTATCAATGACGATGATCGGTTGTTTTATCGAAATACGTAGCAATCAATTTTTAAATCTGTTTTTTTTTTCTATCATCGTTTGAAATGTTGATACCTACTACATTAGTGATTCATGAAAGCGTGATTGAATTTTCAAAAGATTCAGTTAGTACAAATTAAAAGGGGCGAGTGGTATTAAAAAAAAAATCCCGACACTCGTTTCTCCTGTGTCGTGGGTGCGTTTACAAACATACAATTTCACATACGCACCACACCCAGACGCGAAGCAACAATTTGTGGATCACACAAACTGTTATTTCGTGCGGGAATCGAGCCCGCGACACGTTCCATAGTAGCCAGTTGCCCAACCATTACGCCAACCGTGCAGTCAATTTTTTATTTATGAGATAAATATAAATAAGGACACGCGCGCGGCCAATCTTCTCGCGCCGCCTATGGGCACGTGGTTCCGTCCCTAGCAAACCCTAAGTTAGGTACTTGCATTGATTTTTCTTAGAGATTATACGGTCCTGTTTCGTAAGGATCCAATCATTTAGTATGTGTTTTTTGTACTCAGTTATAGGTTACCTACTTTTAACATGTCGGAGAACCATGCTTCGGAACGAATGAGTTGGCTCGACCGGAATGATACCACAATCTCACAGAAGATGAGAAAACCATAGCGTTGTACCTATTTCCCTGTGTGATTGAGGTTCCCAGAGGCCTCCTCCATCCGTCCTCAATCCCTAAATCTCCGAATCCCTAATCCCCAAAGGCCGGGCACGCTCTAACTCATCTGGTGTTGTGGGTGTCCATGGGCGGCACCCATTGCTTACCATCTGGCAATCCGTTATATCGTTATTTACCTAAATTTGAAAGAAAAGAAACTAATAGTGCTAATTACGACACAATTAAAAGGAAAAGATGGTACAATAATAGATAAAACAACATATTTTTATAATAAAAACAATTTATTGCTTCGATCCTTTAGCATACCCAATTATCAATGAATAGAATAGCTATAATGTCATGAAAGTTTAACATGTTGAAAGATGTGATCCTCATTGCTTGCACCCCGCAACTCAGTCAGACCTTTCGTACAATAATCACAATTTTATTAATTCTAGTAAATAATCTTTTTTTTTGATATGGTAACTAATTTACACAAATAAAATGCTCTTCATCGCATGGCGAATCAGTTAATTATTCTATGTTGTTTTACAATTGTATTTTCCGCGGGAAAGGCGGCCATATTGGAAATATCCCGGACTCTTTTTTTAATAAGGAAGTCGGCTTAGTCGATTTTCGTTTCGTGAACTAAAAATAGAATTAAAATTACAATGCTCGATATTTTTTTTATCACTCAAGGAATACTAATATTTATTGTACTGTAACAAGCATTGGACAAAATAATAATTAAGTGTCTAGATATAATTATTATCCTTAGGTACTTTATTATTGATAATTTGTAGGTAAAATAATAATTACTTATTATGGCAAGTTTTTAGCATAATTGATACGAAAAGGTAATACTAAAATGTATCACATTTTTGGCAAATAGTTGCATGTAGGAACAGTAACTAAAATATAAGGTATCTACACCCACTCTAAATAAACGAAAAACTCATTCCACATAAATAAGGTAACAAAAACATTTATAAACTTCATTACGACTAGTGGTTCTTATATCTAATGAAATCAAACTTTGGTCGTTGTGCCATTTTTTTAGGATTTAAGGGTTTTACAATTTTTTTTTTGTTTTTGCTTTTTGTCGCGTTCTTTTCTTTATGCTTATGAATAAGCCGTCGCATTTTGTATTGTCGGTGTCAGTTGATTACGTAGCGCAAATGTTGCAGATTATAAAATGCGACCTGAAACAACATTTATAGAATTAAATATTATTTATCACCATCATCATCATGAGATTACATGGTACACCATCACCACCAATCGGATCAACTTTCCCTCCACTGGTGTAATATTAGTACCTACCTATTTATCAGGCTAATTAGTTTTCTTAGCATCTTTGGTTTCCTCCTTGGGCTGACCCTTGCCCAGCAGCTTGGCCAGTGAGTCCCAAATACCTCCGAGGAACAGTGCGCAGAACAGGTTCTCGAACGGCACGAAAGGATCGTGGATGCCCAGGAGAATTGATGACAGCTGAAAGAAGATATATTTATAACATTTTTTAAGAGTTTATAGACAAAAGTAAATTTGGGAAAAATCGCAAGTAGATAGTGGCTGGATATAAATAGTATAATAATACCTTGCGATTTTGAAAATCTGGGCCCATGGCAATAAGTTCCCACACAAGGTTACAATGAACCGTCATAGGTACTTATTTAATAAGTATACCTCCATATGCGTAGTAAATGACGATGTGATACATTTTTAAAGTAGCAATGTTTTCTAAACTGAGATTAGCTTGATGATGAGCTTTCAAAGGCGATGTTTACAAAAAATCGACTAAATAATAGAGCTAACCTTAAAGTATACGAAGAATATCACGATGCCAAAGTACACAAGGGCGTGCGGAGCAGAAATGAGGTCAGTCTTCTTGTCTAGCACGAAAATGATGGATGCAACCAGAGAGGCCTTCGTGTAGCTGGAATAAAAAGAAAAAACTGTGTTAGTAATAATAAAAGTGAGTAATTTCAATTACCATAACATTGAGTATAACGTCCTTGTATTGTGTACTCGACTAACGAAACTCTAGAAGTTTCTAATTTTGTTTGCAACATTGTGTGCTATTATACTATTTCGTTGGAGTTTATGCCAATATACTCCGGGTATTTGAATGAAACCAAGGCTTTTTTGAACTGAATCCTAGACCTAGAAGCTTATTGTAGGTACTCAGTTTTTTTTTACATTTCTAGCCCTTAAAATCGCCAGTGGCGCCACCTACTCAACACTAATTAAATTTTAGTGAGTATTTTATCTACTTTTTTGCTATATATAGTTTAATCATTTTAAGCAATACTTAGATATTCTTTTTTATTGATAGTAATTTAATTCATAAATCTGTTTAATACGTACAAGCTGGGCTGCATGGTTTCCATGGCAGTTGGAGTCCAGGCACCGCGGATCAGTCGCTCCACCAGCTTAGTGAATCCTGCTCCGTTGCCCTTTAGGGTTCCTGAAATTAAAATATATTGTACCTAACATGAGAAGCTTCATGCGGATCCAGCATTCATATGTTCAAACATGAATCCTTTTATCTTATGACTAGTCAGTCACCTACCGTGCCACGGTTTAACCCGCTGCTGGCCTCCTAAATATCGTAGCGTGATGTTTTAGCCTATAGCTTTCCTCGATAAATGGACTAACGAACAAGAAAAAAAAAATTCAATTCGAACCAGTAGAATTCCGGAGATTATCGCGTTCGAACAAAAAAACTACAGATTTATAATATTCTTATTATGACTGATATGAAGATAATGAACAAATATCCTAGTCAGAAAAGCAGCTTATTGGCATATAATCTTTTTGAAGAAAATCGTACTTACCAACAATGATCATAATGACGTAGGCGTTAGGGTACAATTTCGCGGCGTGGCTTACTCCATCATAGACTTTCTTGGCGCGGTAAATCTCTTTCATAGCTGAAGCAACTACCTTCACTGGTAGGAACTTTGCCACTTTATATCCCACGTCGAATGGTGTGTAGAAGACTAGGTACCTGAAGTTATTCAAAAATAATATGTTTAATTAAAAAAAAAAAATATAGGTACTTTGCCTAGGGGTTTATGTAGATAGATTTTATTAACACCTTAACTACCTGAATCTGATCAAGGCAAACTTTAAACTTGAACGTTAAGAAGTTACAGTTTTTAAATAGCTGACAGATGAAAAAAGTTACACGTGATTAATGAAAACAACCAGTGAAATTTTTTTTCTTATTTTATAAAGAGGTAAAATTTTTAAGTTTGTATGTAGGGGGTAATCTTTGGAACTGCTGGTCGGATTGCCAAAATTCTTTCACTGATAGATAGCTGCAATGTTTCTGAGTGCTTTAGGCTATAAAACGCTATGATTAAATGGAGCCGAGCAGCGGGTGAAACCGTGTGAGAGTAGCTAGTATAAGGATAAAATGAGAGCAACAAATGCACGGAAGCTAAAGAATCCATAAGGGTCCTAGAAGGAGAAGCTCTTTTAATCTTTGGGAAAATGGCGAAGGATTAAAAAGAACAGAATTATTAAGACGTGAGGCGTGTGTATACCTGTGTAGTAACTAATACAGTCAGTAGTTTCATTAGCAAGTCAGCTATAAATGGCGCTTAGAATGTAATAGAACTATTATTGGACGAACATTGAATACAACTGTTATGACCCTTATTCCATTTTACGACGCGCCACGTCCACTTTATGAGTTAGCCATTTCTGTCATAATGTTTATTAAGTAGCTAGGTACAAATACATTGTTGGACCTTCTTGTGAAACTTGTGTGTCTATTTTTTTTATGAGATACTTTGGCAAACTAGTAGACCGACGACCTGATGGTAAGCAATCGGCGCTGCCCATGGACAAGGCGTTGCCGGCCTTTTAGGAGATGAGGGTTTCGGATATTTAAGGATTGGGATGGAACGGGTAGAGGGGGAGGGATTGGGCTGGCAGCTACTCGGAAAATTATATTGACATTGAAAGAGCGACTTTAATAATCTGAACTTACGTAGTAACTATCCAGTAATCTGTGTCTGAACCGCTAAGGAGTGGAATTCTTTCTTTCTTTCCCTTCGGGGAACACAGACTCGGCATGAATGAAGCGCGAGTGAATAGGTTGTTTATGGGTAGGCCTGCTCCATCGTAGGTCGCATTATCATTTACCACTGGGCGGACTAGCGGCCAAAAGTTTGCCCATTCCGAAAAAAAGGAGCAGTACAAAATAATATATACAAACCATGTGACAGTTCCAATAATAAGCTGCGGTGTATTCTTAAGCGGGGCTAGCATCGGTTCCCCAAGTAGGCCGTTGACCACCATGCCGCCCGCGAAGATCACCAGCATAGTGGACAACCAACATGATAGGGGGTGTTTGCGAGAGAATGCCTGTGCACCTGAAATAGCCCATAGACATTAAAAGGGTTAGTTGATTCGAACATCGGATTCATAATGTAATTTAAGGCGTGTGGTAGGAATATATACCTATTAATATATACTAATATGATAAAAAAGTAGTATTTGTAACTTTGGAACCTCTGGTTGGATACTACGTTACGTTGAGCTACTACGTTCTCGAGTGCTGTACGTCATAAATTATACTTGAGTTGCTTTAGCTTTAAATACTCCGTATTTAATATGACAAGTAAGAAAATAAAGATTGATTCAGCAAGTACCAATTATTAGCCACTGTTTTGATATGTTTTATTTTCTATGGCTTAGGACCAGACGGATTATATGATAGCAGGTAATCAGCGCCGCCCATGAACACTCTAAATACTAAAGGCAAGTTCAATCCTGACCTCTTGTGGTTTATTAGAGAATTGAAGATTGTGGATAGGAAGAAGGATAGAGATTCCGGTAACCTCACTCACACTACGAAACACAACGTAAGTATTGGTTCGCGGTGGTAATCGGTAGGCCGTGGTATCACTCCGGTCGAGCCAACCCATTCGTGCCGAAGCAAGGGTCCGGACTTTGACGTTATATTTTTAATAAAATCATTACTTTTGTACTGCCTCTGTATTGAATCAATCTTTATTTGATAACCTGTATACCAAATCACTTGGTTGATTATACTTCACGCTTGATCTGTATTTGTCTGGGGATCATATATATATTTATGCCTAGCGTAAATCCCAACCGCCGGCATTTTGTCGTCAACTAGACGACCAATGTTCAGTCCAACAAATAATCTAGTTTTGTGGAATAACACGTTCGGTTTCAATCATGTACCTAATCAAGGTGGGACTTTTCGCTTATCTTTGCTGTCTTTACCAGGATTTAACAATGGCTACTCTTATATGTCCTATAAATTTGGCTCTAAGTATGTTTTAACAGCTCTTGTCGCAGTTTCCTGCTGGTTTCTGGGTCTCCTCTTCACAAAAAGGATTAGCCTTAATCTCTATTTTTTTTGCAAAACTGCAGTTAGCAATTTGTAAGGTTGGGTCTATATTATTTATTTTCAAGATATTTTAAATCACCGCAAATCTTCTACTGAACGTTTAGTTGCGACTATATTTGGATCTGGAATCTCTAATCTGTTTAGTGAGTAATCATATTGGCAGAATTCTCTATACCAACCGATGTACGACAACCTTATGCCAACAGCGCATTCTTTTTTTTATGGAATAGGCAGCAAACGAGCAGACGGATCACCTGATGGTAAGTGATCGGCGCCGTCCATGCACTCCTGCAACTCAGGCATGTACGCTCGTTTCTTGATGGTTTGAAGGTCGTATCAGTTCAGAATTACCGAATTCCATCTTATTTCGGCTACACAGTGTGCAAAGGCTATGTAAGTTTAGAAAAAATTATTGTCGTTGGGAACACCGACGGCAAACGATAGCTTGGTCGTTCACCAACCAGATGGTAAGATCAAGTTAAACATTCGTCGTCTTCCGAATTCTTCGCGGTAGTGAGAGATGCAATGGATCGAAACCGGTGTAGGCGGATCATCCGCTCCAGTTTTTACCCCGATGCTGACCACGATCTTCAGATATGAGGGACCGACTTTAAGAGATTATACCGATTGAGTTCATTATAGAGGACGCTTGTGTGTCTTAAAGTCCAAATTATTCTTTTTTTTTTGTTTAATTATGGCAGCTTACTATTTTTGAATCATCAGCAACTGTTATTTATTGCTGCATCGCAAAAATATAGGCACACAGGTAATTATGAGAATGCTTGCGTGTTGGCTGATAACCGACCTCACTACGTCAATTTGTGGAGTAGGTATCTAGACATCAGAGGAAGTGTAAGTAATAAATACTTTACGATATCTTCTGTTTCTAGTTCATGTAAAACTTCTTTTAGTGAAGTTGGTTAAAATGCTGCATTTCCTGAAAGTGTCAGCCAGTTCATAGGTAATAAGAAATAATAAAACATTATTTAACGTTCAAAAGTACCTTTAAAGGTCTGATTAAAATAAATGAAGTTTGACTTTTGCCCTCTAATAAGTATATTAATATAACAGCTTAGTTTTCAGTAGGTATTTTGCGATCAAAAGATAAACGAAGCAAATATGTTTTTTTTGCCAATGTAGAAATTACTCATAAAATATCTCAATTTTTCAAACCGGGACGGTTGTTCGCTTGTGTAGAGGAGAGGTAATTTGTCTCCGTTTTTATAACGAGCACATCTGTCATAGGAATTGCTACAGCTATTCTAGGCATGTAGGTATAGGTGCATAATGGATATACTCGTTCAATACGTTCTTAAGAGTAAGTACCTACCTATACTTTAAGCATAGGCATGTTATTATGCAACACATCATTTTACAATAAAAAATAACACGTACATGATCGCTGGTAGACATGTCACCAGCCATAGCTACAAAACATCGCCACTAGAAGATAGACGCGGCCATAATGGTTGTGTTGCGTTCGGTATTTGTGGTGATACATTCAGTTGAGGGTTTCATGAGGAGTTTCAAACTTTAAATTGCTCTTCGACGGTACCTTATTAATTGCGACCAGCTAAGAAATAAGCTCTAATGAGAGCTCATATCTACCTAATTAGAAAAACTCTATAGTCTGGTTGGAAGTCAATAGTACCTACCTATAGTTTCCAACCAGTCAAGTGCTATACTTTTATCCAAATGTCAAAAACCATATTTTTTTTTATTAAATTATTATGTCATTGTAAGTATTTTTGCGTCAAATGGCTTACCTATTTCTTACTTATTTCTTAAAAATTACTAAAAAATATCAAAAGTTTAGTGTATCGACAGATCGATGAATAAAAGTCTAAGTACCTAGTTCTTTTTCAACTTTGGTCGAATTGTGACTAGATCAATTACTTCCCGTGCTCATGTAGGAATAATAATACCGTTACCGTAAGCTTTCAGACTGAAAAATAAATTTGCTATGCGACTCGCGTCTGTCATTTCATGAGACAAGTGTGTTTTGTTGGCTTCCTTCCAATTGGTGTCGTGGCATTAGCTGTTACAGGTTATCTCTACACGTGGTTTGAGGTGGTAAACCAATTTAATATGCTTTTAAACCTACATCATTATTAAATCTCCCTCTGGAGTCTGAGAAATTAGTTCAATATGTGACTTTAGGATGACATCTTTACGATTGCATTTCATTTGATCTTCTTATGAGCTTTAAAGTTTTGAATATTTTGTGGTATCCGCTGATCGCTGTACAGGATGTGACCGCGCACATGTTTGCTTTTTGCATCGTGTATACATTAACCCTGGTACCTAAAGATACCTATCTTTATAAGTATAATAGCGGGTAGGTATTAAATATATAGGTAAGCATCTAGCGGTAACATATCTAGGTATATTCCTGATATTATGAAGTAGGTAAATATAATTCCTTGTGCATACCCAACTTTTTTTTTGGAAAAGTATCTACCTCTTAGTCTGTTTAAGTACCCTGCTCTCTTGCATTCTTCTGTGGAACGTAGCCCTTAGGTATGTATAATGTGTATGTATAAACCTATACGCCTACCTAATGCAATGAAATTCGTAAAATTACATCATCTTTCGATTTCATTCATTCGAGATTGATTTGCATTGAATATTGTAAATATTATTGCTGAATTTTCCCCAGTTAGAGCATGAAAATGTAATATTTTTAGTAATGTCCTTCGTCGTGGACATTGATCCGTAATTTCGACATCACTCAATGTGGCTCGTTGGTCTAGGGGTATGATTCTCGCTTCGGGTGCGAGAGGTCCCGGGTTCAAATCCCGGACGAGCCCGGTTTGGTTTACTTTTAGTAATCAACATAATTTTGTTAGGTATTCGTAAAGCTTTCATATTCTTTTTTTGGCATAACTTTTTCTAGAAGCATTTCAACTTTTTAATATAGCGCCATCTATGATGTAAATGTAATATGTCGAAGCGAGCTTGATTACAACTTTCAAATGTGACAGCGAATCTGGTTCTTATCTAAAACCTAACCTAACCATGAAATAGGTAAATAATATTAATAAAATGTTTTTTTTTAGTTTATATTATTAGTTGCACAACATCGAATTACAAGCGACCACGTCAGTGATAAGATGTTGATAGGAATGCATAAGATAAATTGTGAGAACCGAAATAACTTGTGTAGAAATAAATAAGTACCTATTTAGGTATTTACATTCTTATTTGGTGTTTTTTCAATTCCTTTAATGTTGTGTTTGTGCAAATAATATTGTGTTCGTTTAACATTAGCTGTTTTTAGAGCTATTCGGGCTATAGATGCTGCGGGAACAATCTATTTTTAAACTCGTATAGGTGTCTTTTATTTTAGAACATTCTCTACAAATTACCTTTTAGCTATATAAAAATCATTAAAGGATACGGAAGCGTGACTAAGAAACTTATTGTTTTGGCGGGATTTATTTAAAAATTAATTAAATATCACTTACCAGATCCCAAATCCTCTCTGACTGCAAGAGCGCATAATAGAGAATGTGCTATGTCGAAATATGGGTACATTTTTAGTTTAATGACCTGGTTGGCCAGGTCCAAGAACGCTTCGGGATCCATGGTGTTAGATTTGAGTGTATTTCACGGTATAACAGTCAATTATTTGCACAACTAAACACCGACAATAGCGTGATACGGTGACGCGCGTCCGCGACTAACCGCGGGCGAAGTAGCCGCGAGACTGGGATGCGGCGAGTCCGTACTCACTATTATGTATCAATATGAACGCCTTATAATTATTTTGGTCAGACGTAACAAACCATCTCGTTTTGCCTCCGGGATTAGCATTGAGCGACGCGTTGCTTGGTTATAAACAATTCTTGTCAATTATTAATTATATTCAATTTTTAATTTTCCTAATAATGTATAGCTATTTGGGTTCCTCTCTCATCGTTTCCGTAGTGTAGCGGTTATCACGTGTGCTTCACACGCACAAGGCCCCCGGTTCGATCCCGGGCGGAAACAGTTGATCTTTTTGGACAAATATACGCCAATTTTTATTGATACCGTTCTAAAATAAGTTATTTCAATTTACTTATGGTTTATTAATTTCAGAAGGTACTATGTAAGCGCTATTCGTAGATAGTAATTTTCATAGTATTCATCAACAAGGCAAGACGTGTCGCAAGATAGCAACAAAGGAATTGCGATACCGGTATTGCAAAATAAACGTAACACTATCAGAGATTACGAGAAACGATATCGGTAGCACTGGTCTAAAATATTCTCGAACAAAATGGAAAACAGTAAAAATAAAACCAAGTGATATTGTTAAAGATATATTATTTGTAACAATAATTTCATAATTTACAACATATCAAATTTATAAAAATAGATTACATAATTTAGGAAACGAAAAACATTCATAATATTAATAGTTGTTACAATTTCATCAGTCTTTTATATTAAAATGATCTGTACACAGCCAAATCTTTGGAAATATGAAAAATTATAAATAAATTGTATATTATTGCAATGATTTCAACAGATTATTCTAATATTAATGATTCCACATAAACAGGAATAATGTTGAACAATTATTTCGTAAAATTTAGAACGACAATGTAATTTAAAAAATAAGTATTAATTAAATTTATAATAAAAATTCTAACATAATGTAAAAAAATATAGCGAAAGGTAAAAAACGTTATTAAAATTGTAATTGACATAGATTAATCTATGGTAGCCATTGATTTCATGATTTATATGTTATTATTCTATTAAAAACCTACATTTTAACGATGCCTCTCCACAAAATCTTAATGTATTACACCTTACCTAGTTCAATATGTTAGATATAAAGCGATTATTAGAGGAACTTCAAATTTAAATTTAAAAAAAGAACGGGAAATAAATAATAGTACTTTAAACTGGTCTCAATATTGAAAATAAAAACTCTGTAGCGAACAATACAATAAAAAAAATTAGTTTCATTACACAAACATGCACCAAACTCGACTGAATGGGAGCTACCATTTATTTGTGCACCAGGTTCGAACAGATCCTTCTGGTCTTTCTGAAGATATTGAAACAGAGCTTCTCCTATTACCTTATTTTACTGTGTCCATGATTGATCTCACACAAATCGTTACCATCTTTATTATGGTAAAGCAATAAAGATTTTTAATATTGAGTACCTCTATTTTTATGTATAGGCTTAGGAAATTAGCTAATCAGGCGTTTAATTTTATGTTTAATTTAACAGCTTTATTGATTGTACAAACAGACCTTTAGCTGGTGAACAAAAAAAAGGTACGACTCCCATATATAAACATAAAAATTCGTCAACTTAATAATGCAGATGAGAAAGCGAGTCGAATCTCTGATCTTTAACAATGTTAAAAACGTTATAAATGCAAATGAATTTAAGTATACTAATTATGGATTAAAAAACAAATCTTAACATGTTAAGAACTAAGTTATTTTTGTTGTAAAATTAAGTTATTAACCACAGAGTTCTGAAGACTATTACACAATTTATATTAAAACTGAAAATGGGAGATACTGTAGTAAAATGCATATCAAATCTAGAACGTTAAACAACAAACAGATGATGTCCTTCATAAGAGTAATTATCACATACGGCTTTGTTTACACTCTCAATAGGTACAGAACATCGTGAAATTGTACAATTACCTACTAAATACAGTGTATTATTTCTTATGTTAATTTACTTGTCATTTCTACACAAGGCGATAAATGTAAACAAGCCATTCAATTATATACCTTATACAACTATGCTGACAGTTCATTTCGATTTCATAAATTATAACGGACATCACTATTAGAAGTCAGAATTAAATAAAAAAATATTTTTAATATATGAAACTACTTACAGTTTATATTGAAATTAGTATTTCAACCTTTTTTTTTGTAGACGACGTGAACTTAATGAGCATATATTTTAGCGGGTAATTAAACAGTTACTTATAAAACTATTCACAAACTGCACGGCAGCATCTCATGATTGACTGTGTGAGATTTACTGAAAAAGAAAAACAAACATACATCTTACCAATTTCATTATGTAAAATTTAGATACAAAAATTAATGTTGGGTACACAGGATATTAACAATAGGTACGGTAGTTTCCAACAAGTGAAATTCAATACTTTTTCCGAAATGTCAAAAAGGTCAATTTTTTATCAAATAGGACGTTGTGACGTCATATTTTTCCTATGGAATGATTGATACCATATCAGCTGGCATTTCAATACGGTAGTTTCCAACTAGTTAAATTCAATACTTTTATCCAAATGTCAAAAACGATACTTTTCTATGAAATTTGTATGAAACACTGAGTTATGACGTCATAGAATTTTTGCGTCAAATAGCTTATTTATTTCTTAAAAATAAGCAAAAAATAATTAAAATTTAGTGTATCGATCGGTCGATGAATAAAAGTATAGTCTGTTATTTTTCAATATTTTATCGTATTGAAACGTCAAATTAATTTATTTTTGACCTAGGAAACTACCCAAATATGTTTTAATCATTCGATGTTTTAAACTTAAACATTTAATTTTCTTTTTCATGAATGACTGGTTTATATTAAAATGAATTATGCGTATTTGCGTATAATAATCTTTGAAAATTAGATACCTACTTCGCAAAAGTAAAAATTCATCGTAGCTACTGGTCACATTTTTGACCTAATCTTAATAATATGATATGAATTTATAGACTACCTATTCTAGGACCTATTTGAGTATTTATTGGCACGGACGACTAACGTTAATTACGTGAGAAATACTCTACTAGTTTCAAGTCATAGTCGTGTAGCGTTTGCTTTTTTTAATAAGTAGATAAGAATGATTGATGAGGAAGGTTTTTATGTATAAGATCCAATAAATAGTGGAGAAATTTAGTTTCAGCATACAACTGTTCGAAGCCAGGGCGGTTCCTTAGCACTTTTTTTTACATAAATCCTTGCCCCACACTATTATATATTCCCCCCTGTGTCGTGGGTGCGGTTACAAACATACAATTTCACATATACATCACACCCAGACCCGGAACAATCTGTGAATCACATAAAGAGCTGGTCCGTGCGGGAATCGAACCCGCAACACGTTGTACGGCAGCCCGTTGCCCAGCCACCGCACCAACCATATAGTCGTATAGTCAGTAACAATATTATTATTATTGCATAAATTATAAATTAATAATTACCTTTGTATCCTCCCTTACATGCTGTTTGATGATGCGTTCTTCCCACCCTGCGAGTCTCTTCTATCTTTCTCTTTCTCCACTATTGGGGTTCCTGTGCACAAACAAATATGAATAACATCAAAATTACTTTTTAATGACTTTTGAAGTGAGAAAACCACCCTTACTGTTAAGGCAACAAGGGCGCTTTAAGCTTTCATTATGAAGTCGTGCGTATGATCGAGAAGAATGAGCGTCATTTAATACTATTGTTCATGGAACATGCTTTACACAGGGACATAAGCCTCTACATTTATGAAAAAAAAAAAATATTGACATACCTAACCAAAAAGTTTATGTTCATAAAGTGCCTACAAAATATTAAATTATTTTTGTTTTTTAATTAAAATGATACTTAAATATCACATTATAAAAAATGTAAAACAGATAAGAAATGGTACACTATAGCATTTAAAAATCTATTTATCACATTTTTACCATTATGTATTTGATACAGTCTTGTATCATGGACCAAAACATCAAGTGATACAATTTCTTCTCAATGTGAACAAATATCACAAAAAATGTCCATGTAATGTCTAGAATATCTTATACAAGTCAACTCAACAACGCCTGGACCAATTTTGCTAACTATATTTTTGTTGTGTTTGTTATTGTCAGGAGAAGGTTCTTATCAAAGAAAATATTAGAAAAGAAGAGGGGAAGATTAGGAAAAAGTGACGCTTTGATAGCGAGATAGTTGGACCCGTGTGAAGCAGGGGCAGGCCGCTAGTTCTTAATAGTTACTTTTTACTGCTATAAGACAAAGTTACTCAAGTAGGAAATAGTCTTATGAAATGTCATAAAAAGAGAGCTAATTTAATTTTTAATATTACATTGTTTATCATCTTATTTTTTTTATGTTGGTAATTATGGAAACTAGTAATCTTCTAGAAAATTATGATAATATTAAAAGTTTTATTGTGTCGAAAATACTATTACATAGCTAGTAAGTTAGCGCCTATTTTTTGTCCGTCACTCCCTCTAATTTGATTACTTGTAAAATACTATGTATTAAATAATGCATTATCTGCCACATAAGTTGCTCGGGTACTTGAAACGACGGCAAAAGGCCTTCTGTATAGTAAACTTGTTCGAACTACATAGTTGGTAGGCAAAGCTGAAACAACTGTTTGCAGAAATCTCTAAATAAGAGAAGTACGTTCTTCGGGATCCCCAACAAATTAGGAAAAGCGATATTTTATCTAGGTTCAAACAAATAGTTGGCAAAAACCAAGTAAAAATAAGCTGTAGTGTAAAGTATCCTTTAACATTACTATACTTCTTTCATTGAGTCAATGAACATGCATCGTCATAAACATCAGTCATACCATACTTACTCAATATATTCCTTCTACGCTAATTTTATAAAGAGGTAAAATTTGTAAGTTTGTATGTAGGGGGGTAATCTTTGGAAAAGCTGGTCGGATTGCCAAAATTCTTTCATTGATAGATAGATACAATATTCCTGAGTGATATAGGCTATAAAACATCAGGCTACGATGAAATGGAGCTGAGCAGCGGGAGAAACCGCGCGAGAGTAGCTAGTATTAAATAAATCAAGTACAAAATACACTAATAAAAATTTTACGGGAAACTATTTCTTGGTAACTTGCAAAACAATGTTTTGAATGAGAACTAAGCAAAATGGAAAAATCAGCAAACGCAAAGTATCATTCAAATCAATGGGCTTGAAACATGTTTAAAAATTTGAAATATGCTTTGAGCAAAAAGATGATAAAAATAATGAGTTGTAACACGCAAACTTGCATAACACAGCATTAATGATTTTTAATTAACACAAACAGAGTGTTTTTTACGGTTCACTGAATATTAAAAGTAAACTTTATGTAACAATGGAACTGATAAGACTAGAAAGGCATTCCTTATCAGTGAAATGATAAATGGGACTTTTTATAGTTTTTGTAAATGTTTTCATTCACGCGAAAGTATGAATCATGCGTGGTTTTGAGTTATTGAGAACATTGTTACTTTTAGGTTAATCAAAACTGTGGTCAGTTAATGTTACATGATATAAGTTAACGCTTTTAATTCCCAAAAGTGGGAAGTGGTGGTGCACATAAAAACATCTCTTTTTTTATCAGTTCTTAGAGAGCCTGATGACAATAAAGTTGATATTCAAAAAGCAAAGAGTGAGGTCTTTTTGCATTTTCGTAATAGTACTTAAATTGAAATTTAATTTTCATAAGTAACAATATCTCCTTCACTCTTATTCGAAAAGAAAGAGCAAACACTATCGATACTTCGAAGAGCTAAGCGAAAATGAAAAGGTCGAGGTAGCATTTGTAATGGGAATATGATAAGCATCGTCATAAAGTTGTCCGAATACCTTTCTTTTTGCCAGGCGCACTCTTTACTCGCCCGTTGGCTGAAAAACAAACAAAATTATATTTTCAACACTCTAACGTACCAAGTATCGTATGATGTTGCTTAGAGAATTTCTCTTTCATTTTAATAGACCAAATCTTTAATTTCGTACCGATTTTCTGTTCATTGTTCGGTGAGCGGGGAATTTTTGATGGAGCTGTCTCATGCTGTATAAACCTTAATGTTTCTTCTTTGGGTGAAAGTACTTCTTGTTCTGTTGAAGAGTCTTCTATCTTCTCATTTTCGGTTTTTTCTTCTTCCTTCTCTATTACTGGTGATTCAGGTTCAGTGATAACTTCTTCTGTTCTTTCTGGGGTGGAGCAGGGAGCCTCGGACATGTTGGGGGAGTATGGCGAGTCGATAGGGCCGTTCGTCTCATTTGCCTTGTCTGAGACATTGTTCTGGTAAATCGTGTCCTGGTCCGATTCCGTTGTGAAATCTGATCTATCGCTCTTTGGACTTGTCACGTTGGTCAACTGTAATATGTGTAACAATAATCCCTTGTTAAGTCGGTTTAATAATAATTTTGCAATTAAATATTAAAAAGAAAAAGGCTAAAAATATAACAATTATACTTGCGCAAAAAATACGAACTTGCGCAAACGCCTGCGCCAATAAATCACAAGTTGTCATTTGAAATTCTCACTCTCAATTCTCTCAAAAATATATGAAACTCTTTGTAAAAACAACCCTGCGGTGGATGTGGACCCCTTAATAGAACCAGTGATGAAATTAAATTTACCGTAAAACTGGAATCTTCATCAGAATCAGCGTCTAAATCGACCATCATCTTCTCAATAAGTCGCTCCATGGTGGTTTCGCTGGTGGAAGCTGTGGGGCTCGCGTGCTCTCGACCGCGTTTACTTCTCTTTACCACCTACAACAGGAAAAAGCAAACATAATTAATGTTACATTGTTAATGTAGTGATAAAATTTTGTAAGTGAGGGTAAGACTCTAACGACCTTGTAATTAGGGTTAAAATTCTTAAAAAAGTATTAATAAAATATTTTTTTTTCTCCAAACAAAAATTTTATTCGCTACAAGTGATGAAATTGAAATTCTGATAAAACAAAAAAAAACCCACTGACACAATTCACACGACGGATGGTGATTCGTATGTAAATTTGACCCATTGTTTTACGTTAACTTATAGTTTTCCATAGCTTCAAATAATCATACTGTTCAGGGGCAAATTCAATTTGAACTACAATTCGATAAAATCGAAACTCTTTCTCCTTCGAAACAAAGGGTCCCCAGAGAAGCAGATATATACAAAGAGTTCCTCTTTTAAAATCGAAATTATTATTATTATTGATTTGTTCCTTTTTCCTTCACACTGAGATAAGATATCTCGTACTTAGTTAAATACAAAATATTTATTACACATTTCTTGTTAAAAAAGGGAAACTTACTAAAACTTCCTCATTATTGCTGACATGGGTGCTGTTATTATTTCCATAATGTTGTGAGTTTCGTCGAAAGCACATGGTGAACTCGAATAGTGAGTGCAGCGCTGACGCCCAGGACTGGCGCGGCTGCCCGCTACTGGTGCGGGCGCGGCTCAATCTGTTGCCCTGGTACTTTAGGGTGCGCAGGTAGCGACGATGGCTTTGTATGTACATGACCTAGAATTTTATTAAAAGTTTGTAGTCAGTTTTGGCAGCTTGTAACTTAAGGTGATGATGGAACAAAATTGAATTGTTGAATTGATTGAAAACAGAGTAACAGAGTTTCTTGCTCGTTCTTCTCCATTGGAATTTGGACACACTTTGGAACGAGCAAATAATTTGACTGGCACACAAAGTTGAGCTTTTTGATATTTATTTTGTGTTTGACTATTTAAAATAAATGATTTGACTTTACTTGACTTCTCAGCAAAGGCTTTTGTAAAGGAACTTAAAGGCTTAATTTTGGAGTTATAAACTTTAATATTTTGAGATTTATATTTGCTACATCATAAACCTATCATCAGTTATGTTTCAAATTCCTTTTAAGATGTTTTGGATTCTCTATTTAGTTAATTAAACAGATAAGCAATAAGGTTTCTCTAAAAAAATCTGTTGCAATCTTCCGCTTAATATTCTTACAAATAAACGCGTAATATTTTATTTCTTACTTACCACATCAGCAGATCTTAGTGGCGGTTTTCCCATAACAAGGTTGATGAGTGATATAGACTCTCTGGTGATTCGTAACGCCACTATGAGAGCCAGGAAGAACACCCATGGTAGGGGTCGAACTAATTCTGGCTGTGGACGCTCATCTTGATCGACTGGAAGTAACAGACACAGGAAGACATTAAGAACGGTTTTAGGAAAGGCCTTTAACTACATCAACCTCATTCAATTTAAAAATACTTATTTCTCTAAATAGTCAAGAAAAAAAAAACACACTTTTCCACAACAATTGTCAATATTTTATATCAGCTCCAACTACTTAGTTAAGTACAAGCTAAAAGCATCCCTAATGACGACACCTTGCCTCAGTTTCTTACCATGACAACAAAGCATTAATTAATTCATGAATTTAAATAAGCTTAATGGATGAAAGAGAAAAAGAAGAAGAACGTGGTTTTCAGAGAGAAAAAAACAGAGATTTTAATACATCAAACTCCAAGCGAACTATAGTTCTTGTTAGTCTAGCTATTGTTCTTCTATTATGAATTTCCACGATTTGAAAGGTTAGAATTCGAAAAAACAACAACCTAAAAATTGCAATTTTGTTATGTCGAGACAAAATGTATGTAACAACAACTAAGCCTTCTTTTAAAAAGCCTAAGCTCATAAATAGTAATCAACAGACAAACATTATTAGCCGCATGATTCACACACATAGATAATGTGATAGATATAATTATTTAACAACAACATTAATGATAACTTTATCAAGACTGAGTAAAAAAAGACAGCATTGTTTTTTCTAACGTTGTCATATTTTTCTATTCCAACTATCTTTGTATTTATAACTAGCTTTTACCCGCGACTCCGTTCGCGTGGAATAGTGACTTCCTGCAGATTTTTGGTATAAAAACTATCCTATGTCCTTTCTCGAGTTCCAATCTAAGTCTGTATCAAATTTCTCAGAAATCGGTTCATTAGTTAAGGCGTGAAGAAAAGACAGACAGACAGAGTTACTTTCGCAATTAGAATATTATTGATCGCATGCTAAATTATTCTATTTTGTGTTTGATTTACTGGTTTATATATAGATTGACGAAGTAACTGTAACTAGGTATCATCAATTGGACGAATGTGGAGGAACCTAAAGAATTATGTATATTAGGGTTTTAGTGTAACCTCCCCCGTTAGTTTACCACCTAGCATGGTGATTGCTTAAAACACGGGTGTTTACCTAAAAATATAACAAAAACACGGCACAAACATTTGGGAGTCGTGTATTACAAAATTTGTCTGAGGTCCTTTACAGTAGATGGCTCTAAGGGCTAATTCTTATAAGTTGGATTTAAAAACATACGGTCTTATTACAAAACAAGGGTTTTTCTTTAGTCTAGGTCTAAACCATTGATCCAGTTTTTGTATTTAAAATTGAAGGTTGATGATAATAAGGTTCAAAATACATGGTGACTCCATGGTTTAAAACCTAGACTAAAGATAATTTTTGTTTTGTAATAAGGGGGATGGCCTTTAACATATAAAATTTTTAAAGTTGTTTGAAATATACTACGCATACATAGTGCATGGATGGATGTTTGAAAGCTCGACTAGTTTCAAGATACACCGGAACTCATAATTATGAGCGTTTAGTATAGTTCCACTGATTTCATCACATTTATGCCGCCAAAAATCGTACTAACATCTTGAAGTATCAAAGATGCACTAATAACTACATTTTACATTCAGTCATTACGTGTATTCAGTTTTCAGAAGGATTTTTATACGTATAAACAATACACGTGCATTGTTTAAAAAACCCATATTACAGAAGTTTAGTCATTGTAAAACTAGATTTAACGAAAGATTAGTGTGGACCGTCAGATTAAAATCAAGGTTAATTAATGCTTTTGTTTGTATACTACATAGGTAGGCACTTATACTTTATGTATACTGTCTATTTATTTAACTTCATTTCGTCACTTCGTCAGTACAGACAAGACAGGTAGACCCAGCTTTATTTTAATATCATAATTATATGGACATTTTTTTATGTGATGGAATGGCCAACAAGCCGACGGATAGCCTGATCCTGATAATAAGAAATTAGAGTCGACCATGTACACCCGCACCAACACAGGAGTTACGAGTGTGTTGCCGACTTTTTGGGGATTAGGGTTTAGGAGATAAGGGATTGGGGGAGAGGGGAAAGATTGGGCGCCCGGTAACCTCACTCACACGACGAAACTCAACGCTGTTTATCTAACGTCCCAGTTTCAATAGCTTTATTTTGTAAAATCTATTGAACACTGAAAATACTATAATTAAAGTGTCTCTAGTGAGTTGATTTCGTGTGGTGGCTGAAAAGCAGCCTTATAGAGTTACCATAGAAACTAGTTTTCCATACCCACTAATTATTAGTAGTCTTCCAATACAATAAAGGTTCTAATTATTCTCAAATGAACTTCCATTACGTTGACTCATATTCGTTTGAAAAGTAAATACAAATAGCATTTGAAATGGCAGTAGGTGCATTTTCAAACACTTTTAGTAATAGTCACAGAATTCCAATAGCTCCGTACTTATTAGTAACTAGCTAATCTCGCGCGGTTTCACCCGCTGCTCAGCTCCATTTGATCGTAGCGTGATGTTTCATAGCACTCAGGAACATTGTAGCTATCTATCAATGAAAGAATTTTGGCAATCCGACCAGCGGTTCCAGAGATTTCCCCCTACATACAAACTTACAACTTAGTATAGACGAATACGAAATACGCGGCTTTGACAAGCAATGTAGTATAAAATAAGTAATGTCTGAAAGGGAGAGTGAACAAACTAACTCCCAAGGGTACCTACCGGCCTCTAACTATATTATCTAACGCATAACTACATTTTTTCTCTAAATTAAATAATATAAGAGCCACTTGATTCAAAGTTTTTCAGAAATCAGAGACTCATAACATTTAGATTAGGTCAACCACCATCTCTAAATGACTTTTACTAGATTAGGAATTATATCAAAATTGTGGATAATGAACTGCCTGTCCAGAATACTGCGCAGTAGCTGGGCTGCTGTTAAACGAGTTACGGGTTCGATTCCTGCAAGAAACAACACTTTGTGTGATCCGCAAATTGTTATTTCAGGTCTGAGTGGCTTGTGTATGTGAATTTGTATGTTTGTCAACGCACCTACTCACAGAAAAAAATACAAGACTGGGCAACGTTTTCTAAAAAATAAGAAATATATTTACATGGCGGTGGGACGGCCCATCTTGCACATTTCTCGACGACCCATAGCGTTCGGTCGAGGTGTCTTAGCACCGACTGCCCCAGGCGGTAGCTCGCCGCATGCTCCGCTATACTCTGGAACACCTCCTTAGCCAGTGTGACCAGCTCCATATCTGAAACAGCAGTGATTTTTTATGTGATACGAGCCTACGGATTACCTGATGGTAAGCAATCAGCTAAGCCCATTGACCATTGACGAGTGCATTGCCGACCATTTGGGAACAGGGTTGTGGAGATTTTGGGATTGGGGAGGGGAAGGATTGAGCCTCCGGAAACCTCACTTAGGTACACGGCAAAACACAACGCTGAAAATTTTAGGCTAACACTTGGAATGGATGTTAGCAAATTTTATAATTATATCCATGATAATCCGCGTAGAAACCCAAAGTACCTAATATGTTTAATTTTAGCAGAAACAATGAAAGAGGTTTTATATGACTCCGTACCTATTTGTGGACGTTTAAAAATAGAGCGTTTTTATATTTTTTTAGTAAGAGTTTGTTAGTTAGAAACTAAAACTAGCCTGTATGTAACGTACGTAATCTATCTATAGCCAAATATCATTCAGATCTATTCAGTAGTTTTTATCCATACTTTCACCTTTTTAATAGCTAGGTATAAGAGAAATTTACCGAAATAAAATTAACAGGCATTAATTTATCCTCTTACTCATATACCTAGTAAAGATGAATAGAATAGATACTATCTATTTATAAAATAGATTCGAAAAACTAACGGAGCGACTATCCGTAATAGATGTACCTATCGGACGGAAATGGTTCGGTAGGTACATTAACTGCATGTACATCGAATTGAAATTCAAATTAAGTAGAGAGGTAGGTAGGTATAGGTACTTACGTGCCTACTCAATGCAATTTCTCAAGTACTTACCTATTTTTGTTTTAAAATATATATCGTCATTGATAAGTAATGTTATGGTTAGTGGACCATTTCTTAAACAATGAAGAAATCAAAACATAATAAATATTGCCTACTGACGTAGGTGCGTATCTACGCACGTACCTATTATTAATTAGTTATCTATTTATTTAATCTCATTCAAGTTTTATGTTCAATATGACTAAAAAAAGGTCTTATATTATGAACAGGTTCATGACCTCATTCGACAAGCTATGATATGAATTTTTTAATCTACATGTCTAAGGGCTGTTTTTTCAATACTCAGATAATTGTTATCTGAGGAATATAATTGTTGCTGTCACTGTCTTATACAAACATTCTGACGCGACAGCATCATAATTATTCCCCAGGTAGCTGTTACTTATCGAAAATAAGCCCTAAAACAATATTATTTGACATAGGACGTTAAAATAGGTATAAATATGTACAATTTACTTACATAAGTACACATTAAGAGGAAATTGTTTTAAATAATATTTTATAGCACTAAAGTGTGAATTTTAACACAACTATTACTATTGCGCTTACGCAGGAGTGAAAATTATAGTAAACCTAGCTTTTGTCCGCGACTTCATTCGCGTGGAATAATGCCTTCATGCAGATTATTGGTATAAAAATCTATCCTATGTCCTTTCTCGAGTTCCAAACTATGTCTGTACCAAATTTCACAGAAATCGGTTCAGTAGTTTAGGCGTGAAGAAAAGACAGACAGACCGAGTTACTTTCGCATTTATAATTAGTTTGGATAAATGCATAAACCACGTGGTAATATTTTACACTGGTTATAAAATTGAACCATTACACCCCAAATAAAACAAAAACCAGCTTCGGGGCCTTAACAAATTTACGAAACTTCTAGATAAACAAAACACTATCAGCTACGTTTATTATGCATACAAACTCATTTTACAATGAAGGTAGGCTGAATGGCCAAATGGGTCCCTTTAACAGACTAACAATAAACACGGACGTTTGTCCATTCTTTATCTATAAAGCATAAGGAATCACAAATTAGCTAACTACTTCCCTGATCAAATTCCATCCATATAAAGAATCAAGTAGGTTCGCCAAATAGATAATGTTAAGGAAGTACCGTCTAAGTGTAAATATAGAAAATACAGAGCCCACAATTCATTGGCTAGTGGACAGTTAACATGTATGTATAAAATATCGTAACCACTTTATCATGTTGTCTCTAATTAATTCACAGCATCTAATTGGACCAATTAATTTTTATTTACGAACATTTTCGTGCTACGTATGTCGATAAAATTGGCGTGTCGAAATCACATCACTACCTAAGCTGGAATTAGTAGGTAAATAGGTATTAAAGAATGGGACTGTAAAGGGAAATCACGGATGAATATTTTTACTCTACCAGAAAAACTTCTGAATTGTTTATGATGAAATTCGGAGGGCAGATATATCATGAAATAGATTATAGCACATATCTTCAATGAAGTGGGTGAATTTGTGAGCAAAGGTATTATTTATATATGCTTAATGTTATTTTTTTTCAGATATTTTTTATGATTAATACGTAAAAAAAATATTAGCACTATTTACAGCGTAAGGATTTTTAAATCTTTACACACACTTAATTTATTTTTCTTTGTATTACTTATAATATTATATCTTTGTCTTACCTATAGGTAAGTATTTATTATATTTATAAATAAATAATAAGTTCCTGGAACTCACGTGCACCTTCAAACGTGACAAAACTGTGTATAAATATAATACAATCACATCACAAAAGTTGTTTCGCATCGCTAAGCCACCAAAATACTACACAAAATTTTGGTAAAACAAAACATACAATATATTATCAGATTTAATTAGCATACTTAACAAGTTTACCTTCACAATAAGCACGTTATAAAGCCGATTATCATTTAAATCACGGGACCTATAATTATTCACTGTGTACACGAAAGAAAAAAGAAGAAAAAAAATGTCTCGGGTATCACCCTTTCAGTTTTTACTGAGTTACTGCTAATGAGTGCAGGAGCCTGGGTACATCATTTTGACTTCTTTATACCTTATAGATAATGAGGCGCAGAGGACAAAGGTCAGTGCAATCATAGACAGATACCGGGAGGCCAGTAAGACAAATATCCAATATATCTAATAACTAGTGATTTACTGCGACTCCGCTCTTATTTTGTATTTATCAATTTATTGATTATTGTAATTTTGTTTCTGACTTTATGATAAATAAAAATTGTAGATATTAACTATGTGATGATAATTTTTTAATTTTTATTTCCAGCTCCCTCTTTTAGAACAATTTTATTCACTGTAATGATTTATGGAAGTAGCCCGAAAAGATGAAAGCTTTAGTAGATTAGTCATTTAGTCAATCAATATTAGTGTATAGATTTTTTGGGTCTCTCAGACTTTCTGACTGAAACTGCCCCATTCCTTCTCTTGCCCTAGGCTGGGGTTGATAATGAGTGTCTAGATATAAGATAGATCAATGTAGGTAGGTACATTGGAATTCCGTTTTTTGAAGAATTGGAAGAATTTCCGTATTTTATCTTTAGGAATTTCAATATGTAATCTTATTTTCAGTCAATAACTAAATAAAAATCAGAACTAACAGGTGTAAATGACTCATAAATTTTAGTGACACACCTTTATTAACAGATAAAAAAAAGGTTTAAAATAATCAACACACTGACAACCAGTGCCAACATATTATGTAGATACTTATCACTATATTATTAATAACATAGCTGTGTGATATTATTTACTACATGATCAATATGTTTTACATTATGTACTTGTGTCTGGCAATTGTTCATTAATGTTATTTGAATCAGTACCTGGCATGTAAAGAAAATGACTGGTGAGAATGCCTACGGCATTAAGTCCGCCTATGTAATGATATGTTCCATAAAGTTTAAAAAAAATAAAGTTGAAGAGGTTTTGTTCAATCATTTACTTAAGCATTGTGGATATTGATTTTATTCTTATGTAAATACTTTAATAGCCTAGGTTATACAGGATATGTTTAAAATAAAAAGCTGCTGTTTAGTTTGCAGTTAGTTCTGTTCTATTGGCTTTTGTATTGTTTGCTAATTAATAAACTAATATTTTATATTTTGTAGTTATTTATATCTTTACTTTAGGTGTGTTTGTGCGTTTTATTTTTAAAATTTGATTATAACATTTGTATATAAGTGTCCACTCTACTAAGCCATAATCTTTTAACATATGTAGCTAAAGTATGTTCCGTTCCTACAGACAAACATGTAAACAGTTTTGTGAGGCATAGATTTAGTATAATAGTTTATAAAACTTAATTGTAATAATAAATTAATGAATAATATCATACTGTGCTGTTGAAAGGACTTGGTATCCGTTGTCCATCACAAACAACTCAGGCTGTACTGTTTTTATTTATTATTATTGTATTGCTCAACCAAGAAATTAACTCAGTGCTAGGTTTTTTTTACTGGAACTTCAGTGAGCTATTTTATGTCATATTAATAATTAATGAATAAATACACAAAAAAGTTATATATACTTCTTTTTTGTGAATTTTGTTGATTTAATTTAGACAAATAAACCTTTTAAAAGTAAACAAATAATGGATAATATGTATATAAAAATATAAATGACAGAATCTGTTTGTCTTATAAATCTCCACAGAAAATGACAGTATACATATTTAGTTTATCTTTTCCATAATAGTATATGCTACAAGGATACAGCAATCTAAATAAAATGGCACACAAAAGCCACCCTTAAGATTGTAATCCAAGCGGAATAGGCAATAAAACTTTTATTAGGCATGAATAGAACAACTTTCTAAGTGCATACAGACTGGAAATCTTAGTTCAGAGTCCTTTCAACCTGATATATAAATTATATCTTAACTTATAAAATGATAAAGTTTAGCCAAAAACATTTATTTCAACTAAAGCTACACTAAAGGATACATTGTCAAATTATAGAATAAATAGTCTATCAGTTTATCAACCAATGATCCCAGTGGTTGGTGGATGTTCCAAAATACAGAATAAATGGAAAAGGATGAGCAAGAAAATTGTTGTTACTCTTTTATCTTTACTATTACTACTATTACATAAAAAAAATATTTTTATAAAACTAAACAGTTTGCTTAAAAACTCAAATCTCCCCAGAACTACTGGTCCGAATTAACCAATTATTTTGTTGTTTGATAGTCGATTTATTGAGGAATAGAGGAATAGGCTATAAAACATCTACGCTATGACCCAAAGCGTTCAACTATAGGTGAAAACGCTTGGGAGTAGTAAGTTTTGAGCTTCATCACCTGTCAGAAAACCTGTACTAATAGGGCTGATGAGCATGTTTGCTTCCATGATATAAAATACCTGATACAGTAATTCAAGCAATTTCATTTGCAGAACTCCACCCATGGTAAAAGTTTTTTAAAACTTAATCAGTTTTTCTTATTGCTGACCATGTTACCTTATAAATAAAGCTGTTAAATAGTTTATTTCAAAATATATATAATATAATGTTACTTAACATTTTAAATTACTTTACAAATTATTTACATTTATAAAATAACACATTTAAGTCCTAATATACAAATTTGTAGTTTTCATTTGTTATATTATTTATTATTTGATTTGATAAATTATATTTTTTTTTTTACATTTTGTAGGTAGTTACAGCAATGACAAGGGGGTATAGTCCGTATAGTCAGTTTAATTTCTCAGGATTGAATATTTGTTATTTGTCAAAAAATTAAATAAATTCAATAGAGGGTTTAAATATATTTTTAGTAAAACCACAAATAAAATATTTTACGTTATCAACTGCCCAAATTTTCATTACCACGTTACTGATTAGGCATTGGACATAGATTTGATACTAAATTCAAACAAGTCTGACTTTCCTCGAATATTTACGAGTTTAAAATCAGCCACTTGGTACAATTAAAATCCGAAAGGATTAAAATTTCATTAGCGAATTTCGTACCATCTACAAACTTTATGAATATAATAAATCACCATAATTTGTATATTTATAATAATTCGTTAAGTATTATACGTACCAATTGGAATTCTTTTCGAAGCCGGGATGTTGTTTGTATTTCAGAAAGTTCACAATCCATCCACATTCATCAAGTTTGTCCAATTAAATAGAGACGTCCATTTAGTTTCCTTCAAACAAGTTACTATTCAAATCGTACATGACTCGAATTGTAATGATTGTTGTTGTTGATCGATTTCACTTTTGAAATCGAAACATTGATCCATCAAATTAAGCGACCTCATGAATAAAATATAAAACATATTTTACTATATGTGGTAAATATAGAAAAACTTAGTTTGCTTTTACATTTGATATATAAAGGAAATAAGACAACTATAAAACGAATCAACTTAAAAATTGTCAACAATGGTTTTTAGTGTAATAAAATTCGACTAACTACTAACAATAGACAACGAATCATAGACCTCCTTGTCTTGTTGACGTCAAAGGTTTCATAGATTACCCACACATTGACAGTACGAACCACGGCTGGGGCACTCACACAGTGCAGTAGTCAATACAGAAACATGGCGTAATGGCGCGTTTGTGTTGGCGTAGAAAATAAAAGCTAGTGATAAGTTAATTTGCGGTTTGTGTAGTGAATTTTAGTTGTTTAGAGTTAAATTATAGTAAACACATGGTAAAATGTACACATAGAGCAACGTTTCTCAGATAAGAATGAAGTGGTAATGGAATCCCTTGAAGACTCAAATTGTCACTCCATGAGCGATAGTTTTTCTTTGTATGAAAGGTATTTGAGAAGTTTTAACGTTGTTGATCCATTGATCGAAGAAAGTGTTAATCGTGAGCAGAACGAGTTTGCATCATTGAACAACTGTGATTCTGAGAGTTCTCAAAGCGGAGGTAACGTAGAGTTGTCAGTCGTAACATCAACCAATGTTATAAATAAACATTGTGAAACAGCTGAAACCGAGAACAGTTTACTTAATCAAATAGTTCGTGATAATATCACAGACAAGGGATCTAGTTTGGATACTGATTTGGGTGTGAAAATAAATTCACCTTGTTCGCCGCTCGCGGCATCACTACTTGAGAATTCGTATGCAACGATAGACCACAGTTTAATAAACGATAAATCTAACCCAGCTGACATTCACATATCGTCAGAAGACTCAAGGACTGAGACTGTCAAGCACCCCATGTTCATAACCCCAACTATGGAGAACAGCAACAATGCAGTTGATAGTGTACCTATGTTTAGACATGTTAGGCCTTCAGAGAACGTGTTCAAGTTGCCTATAAGTGAATTATCTTTTAATGGTACCATAAAGCATGTTCAGAAGCTGAAACCTATTGTGGATCCTATCTCAGCAATGAGTTCTACCACAGGATTGGTGCATTTGGATGAAAAACGAGGGGAAGAAAGCTGTGGACCTTACACTAACAGTAATGACAATGTAGAGTCCATTATTGAGAGCAATGATGGTGATCAGAGGGGTAGTGATGTATCTGAAAACACTAGTGACAGATTAGACAAAGCATCAGAGAGTACAGGAGACTCCAACTATGAAGAAAGTAGTGTTAAAAAGGACTGTGCAATAAATGATGATGGTAGCACTGCAAAGTGGAACTCCGAGCAAAGTTACTCCTCACTTGAAGCATCATTTGATAGTGGTGTGAGATCCCCTGATATGTTTTCTGATAATGAAGAAGAAGAGAGTCAGTTGCCGTCAGAGCCAGAGCCAGAACCCTTCTGGAGTTTCCTACAAGATTTTGAGACACATGACAAGAGAAAAGTTAGGAAAATTGAGGTAAGCATGTTGACTACATAATATATAACCTTATATACCTATCTCATTAGCATAATAACCTTCAAATGTGCAAACTTTTGTATGACTAGAGCATAGACATTGTAATTGCATTCTGGGACAAATTTTACAAAGTTATTTAACTATCGTGGATTACTTATTTTTAAATGATTGGATCATCAATATAAGAAATCAAAATTAATCTAACATTTCTATAATCTATATTAATATAATAATGGGGCAAGATTTAATTGTTTATTATTCATACTGGATGAATTGTATACATTTTGACACCACATTGCTTGACTTGTGATCCCACAACACAAATTAAATTCTTGACCATGTGCTGAATGTTCCCTAGAAACAGATTGCAGGATAAATATGAATAAAAAAATTATTCATACTGAATAAGCTTTAAAACAACTTGACAGATTTGAGCAATTCTTAACTATTGAGAAGCTACAATAACCAGTGAGTGAACATAGGTTAGGTATATATTATGCAAGTTAAAATTTGGGCACAACTACTAAATATTATTTTGATGTGTTTGTGCAACTTGCACATTGTTATCTGAGTAGGTAGCTTTATCAGCTGCAGGCTAAGGTATCTTGTATCAGTATAGGTTATCTTAATAATAATACTAGCTCAGAGTCCCAAAACTTTTGATACTTTAGATACACCTGATGGTCTATAAATAAATCATTTTATCCATAAATTGTATTTGTTTTTATACATTGTATTAATGTTTGATTCTACATTAGCCTGAGGTGCATATTATTTGAAATCAAGATTATGCTATTATATATAAAAACAAACAATGTCATTACAATACTTTGTGTAAACATAAATGTACACAAGTAATTAACAATCTGTGTAAATTATCCAAATTGACAATTAAATTGGGAAGTCATTAGAATACTCTTTACACTAACTAATAATGATATTGTTACCTAATAAATTATTCTGTGTTCTTATTGAGCTACATCATAAAAGCAAAATCAGACTTACCGCTTATGGGATGATCTACTTAGAAATTAATGAATTATAGCTGAATTTCTTATTCCATATTGTTTTAGTACTCACTCCTGCATAACCCATAATTTTATTGGTTTATTCCAAACAGGAAACCCTCCAAGGAGTCCTGCCGCCACCATCAGTGACTATTATAAAGACTGATGTGACAGAAATGCTGAAGAAGTACTACTGTCACTTACCATTGTTCGATGAGCATGCCAAAGTTGTTGTGCCTGACTTGAACCCTACTACTCCAACAAAAAGGGTTTCATTCATTGAAATCCCTGAGAATATTAAAACTCATGATACTGAAGAAAGCAGCAGCAGAAGTTGTAATACAGAGAAAACCAGAAATTCTTCAGTGGCTGAATTGGATACCAGTGCTAATGATAGGAGTGTGCATTTGAAAATGGGTTGTATGTCTGAAGCTAAAGATACTCCATGGCCAGATGTCATTAAATGCAGATATTATGATGTATAGTAAGTATACTGTACATGTTAGTTAGATTGTTAGATAGTTTATGGTTCTGTATTAAGATTTACACACCATATTTTTAGAATTTTTAGAATTTACGCCTTTATTATGATATGCATTCAATAATTTCTAAATACTAATAAAATAAAAAAGTTATTATAAATGAAATGTTATGCCAAAACATTAAAAGATTTAAATTATAATGTGTAACATAACATAGTAATGTAACACATTATGGTATTTACTTCCTCCAAATTGTTTGAGGATGTGGTCACCAAAATACAAAATTATCATCATTGAATTAGAAATAAACACAATTAAATGTCTGTGTCTAGCAAACCATATTGTTTTAAATTCAGTTAAATATTCAAGTAAAATTTTATTGATTGCTCATATTTTTCGATTGTTTATATTTAGTAACCTTTTATTTCATGCAAATCTATAATTTTTTAGCTACAACTTAACCAAGCACTCAGAGAAACTAGAGCTGCTAGCATTACGTTATGGAGAGAGATATGTGGGTGCTGAGACTGATACTAGTGTTAACATCCACTCTGGAGGCATGCAGTCACCCACTAGTGCTTCTAAGAGGAAGGCACTAAGGCTCAAGTAAGTGTTGCAACAATCAATACTTATTTAAAACTACTTTTGCGTGATTTCGTTCTCGTAAATGGATTATCCAACACAAAATGATTCAATTTAAACCTAAGTATTTTTGCCTATGGATACCCGCAACACCAGAAGGCTGTTTGTTTCACACTAGATTTCTGTAAAGCCGTGGTATCATTCCAGTCAAGCCGACCAATTCGTGTCGGAAGTCCACTCCTACATTTAATGATAACGATCTTGCATGTAAAAAACTTTGATGTACTTACTTACATTTGTACATATATTGTCTATTCAATGAATGAAAACATGTATATTTAAAAAAAGAAATAATATTGAAAAGTAAAAATAATTTATGTTTTACCTTGAAAACCCAGAAATATTGGTCTGCTGGCAAATTTTATAAAAAAAAATCCTTATCTAAGTTATTTACTTAAGAGCAGATTGTATGGATGTTTGTAGTATTTAGTCAGCATTTGCAGTCAATGGTCTAATTACTTATTGTTTTCAAATCAGCATTTATCTTTAAAGTAGCTTATTATAGCATATTTGTAGCTTTTTGAGTAACAGTTGGTTACTATGTCATGTTAGTAAGGAATGCAACAAATACTGGCCCTGACATTAATTGCTATATTATAGTGTTGACATACTTAGATATTTTAGCATTTGAATTATTTTCTTTGTTTGCTGATTCTGAGGCCCATAAAGTTTCTTTGGCAAATTGTGTAAATTACAACCTGTATTAGGTTTTATTTCTCTATAAATAAGTTTACATAAATTCCTTTGTTTATCAACGTGGAAATTATAAGGTTTACTTATGGTTTTTTTTACTCTTCCTCTACAATCTACTGGGGGCTATTCAACTAATATATTGTTTTATTTGAACCATTAGTTTCTAACATCAGTTTGTTTTACCAAACATAATTTTAACTTTAAAACATCAAATAAATGTAATTTATTAACACAGGTTGGCTCAAAGCAAGTCCCCGGGTCGCCGTCTGTCACACCTGGCGCGTCGGAGACAAGCATTCGCCAGTGCAGCTACCATCAATGAGAAGGCACAAGCATCAACCGCCAAAATGGTGCTTATTGATAAGAAGTAAGTATGATTATATTAATAAGGAAATTATGTTATGTATTGAAAGAGTCATTGTAAATACTTTAGAATTGCTTTTAATACGAAAGTTAATAGTACAACAATGTTATATTTTGATATATTCTGTATATAACAAATACTCATATCGACTTTTCCCCAAAAGCTTCTTCCCTCACAGGAAGCTGGTCAACTCGTCAGACAGGAAGAGTCCGCGGACCAGGCGTACACCGGGCAAGAGAACACCTATCCGTAAGACACCGGGCAAGAAAACTCCAGCGAAAACTCCGAAAACACGAAGTGGTGGGTCCAGCAGGAAAAAGGCTATGAGAAGATTACTTATGGACTCTGACCATCTGACGAGATCACAGCCAGCACGAGAAACCTTAAAAAGAGCTTTGTTCAGTCCAGAGAATAGGAAACCTGTTCCTCCAGTTCCATCATCCTCAGTACCAGCTCAAGCCATGAAATCCAAACGAGCTTTATTCGGTTCACCAGACCGTCCAGCCGAGACAAAGAGTATGGATGGCACACAGAGTGATCAGTTCCTAAAAAGAAAACGCGACCCATTCGATGATGATAATGACAATGGAAGGAGTAAAATAGCTAAGAGTTTGTCGTTTGGTGGCGATACAATTGGGAGTTCGCATTCGCATACTTTTGCTCGACGAGCGTCGGAAGCATTTGCTATGAGGCAGACCAGTGATTTGAATGAGACTCATAAAAAGGTTTGTTACATTTATTTTTTGTTTCTATCATACTTATTTGCGCACAGTTAAATTTTGCTATAATTAATAAAAGTATATTAGTATTCACGAATCTATAATGTAAGAAAACGGCGATATAAACAAAAATCTCTGCAATATTAAACAAACAGGATATTAATATTGTACTGTATATTTTCAGAAATTATTGTGGGCGGTCTCCGAGGCCCTTCGTGTTCATGGATGGCGTATGTCTTCACCTGGGTTCCGTGAGAAGGCGTCATCCCTGGCACGACTCACGCGCCGTTTGCTAGCGCTTCCTCCACACGCTGCTAAACTCGCCGCACCTAAGTTCTCTACTTCTGAAGTTATGCTCAAGTGAGTAACAGATGCAATAAAAATAATAGATTATAATTAAATACCGACCGAAAGAAGAAAAATAACCTGGTAATTGAATCGTGATATTTATTTGAAACAATGATTTTATTTTTGGAAGTATGCTTTAAAACAGCACTACGTCAAACATTTTTGAAACAAGATGAATCTGGCATTTTAATCAGACTACTCTGAGAAGAAATGGCGAAACAAACTTAAGAGGTCCGTCTACTTCAAAGTCCAGACAATGTAAAAAAATATAAATACAATTTGTGAGAAAAGTTCACTCTGTAGTGGTTTTTTGGGGAAAGAACAACAATAGTTTAAGTGGAATCGTTTGAAATTCTTGAATTTAAAAGTATCTATACTAATTCCTTCATAAATCTTGTTACAGGATTGCTCGTCAGTACGTCTACGCGATCATACAAGGTCGGTCTGTCGACGAGTGTTTCCAAGAGGAACAGATGAAACTCGCCAATGAAGTTAACAACAAAGTCACTGGCTATATTTCAGCCACCGCTTACCAACAAATGAAAGCTCGGCAAATGATACCCAGCACATCAACCTCACAGATCAAAGAGAACACGCATAGTAGCGGAATAAAACAGGAACAACCAAAAAGTGGCTCCAAAAATATCCTTCAAGACAAATTAGTTAATATAGATAGTAATTCCAATAGTAGCAGTGGTCTTAGCATGCTCGACAAGACCAGTTTAGGGTTCTTCAAGTCCAATTCCATGCCCTCATTCGAAGAAGCAGCTAAAATGAGAGCGCGCCGGCAAATTAGTTTCGATAATATTGACTTCCCGAAGAGATGAAGTGCATGTAACAGCAATACCTATTAACATTATGTACATATTACTATTAGTGACTAGTATAAGCTTAAGTCGACATCAGCAGGATTTATTAAAACTTATTATTCTTATGACTTCTCGATTATAGAAAGATTTTTTAGTAATTTTCGAAGCAATCGCTATATGTTTAGCAATGTTTAGTCAATTTCATTGTAGATACTTCCTTTCCTAAAGGTTGACTACGGTGTATTGTTATGTCTCATATATTTATTTCGTTTTGCTTGACTAGCAACTAGTAGCCCATAAAACGACGTTTTCTTAAATGAGGACATTAGCAAATTGTAGAATGAAGCATGATATTGCTGTATTTGTATTTCATTGACTTTTTCGTGTATGTATGTGTTACTATTGCTGAGTATGATCTCAGGTGTTAATTAAAAATAATAAATTATTTTTCCTTGATACAATTACAGTTTTATTTGTACAGTCGCGGACAGAGGACGCGAATGCAATAACCTTTTATCAAAAGTAATATCTGTCTGTATGTAGTTATTGTGAATAGGAATGAATGATTAGATATTTCTATATTGTCTGATTGTGTTTGTTATTGTATACAAGGATTTGCAATCAACGAATGGAGTAGTAGTGATTGCGCATAATTATAGAAAACACGGATATACATGATAAAAAAAGCAATGGGCAGTTCACAGTCGTTTCCTGGTTTGACAGAGGATGTGCTTGAGGACTACACATCCCTTACTTATTTGACCAAAGGAGAAATCCTGTAGTAAGTAATTCATTTATTTGCAATAAACACAGACAGCAATTTCCTTGTTCATAATAATTAAAATTGTTTCAGTTTGATGAAAAAGTTTTATTCTATTGATCCAGAAAAAGTGAAAAAGGATTTCCATCACAGATTTAATAGGGAAGAGATATTAACGAAGTTCCACGTGTTGGAGGTAGGCAACTGTTATGGTAGGTATTTTGAACCCAGGAACACAAGCAATAATGTATAATTTTATTTTCAGAACAATCCGTTTTTAGACAGGATATTCAGTGTATTTTCCTCCAAAGGCGATGGATGTTTGTCTTTTGAAGACTTGGTGGATTTGTGTTCGGCCATGAGTTACGAATGCCCTGCTGAAGTCAAAGCCGTTTGGGCGTTCAGAATATTTGGTAGGCAGACTATATTTTTTTTTTGTGTAACTGCTTATCCCGCGTTTCATTTTGCAAATACAAATGTAGATTCAGCCTGAAAGCAAACATTAATAATTTTCGTTTGTGCAATGCTATGCAACCTACATATATCATCTTCCTGCCCTTGTCCCGTTTTATTTGGGGTCGGCGCAATATGTTTTTTTCTTCCATTCTGTCCTGTCACTCGTCACGCTATCGCTAACTCCTCTGTCTTCCATATCACTTCTCACACAATCCATCCATATTTTCTTTGGTCTCCCCCTGCCTCTCCATCCATCCACATTTATACTCATGACTTTTTTTGTAACATGCTTTTCATCCCTCCTTTTCACATGGCCATACCAAGACAAACGGTTCCCTTTCAACTTTTCAGTCACTGGCGCCACTTTCAAACTTCCTCTAATATACTCATTTCTCACTTTATCCAATCTCGTCACACCACACATCCATCTCAGCATTCTCATCTCTGCTACATGCAATCGCTTTTCATCCGTCTTTTTCAGAGCCCAACATTCTGACCCATACAGTAGGACAGGCCTTATCACTGACTTGTAGATTTTACCCTTCAACCTGAGGGGCATCCGTGGGTCGCAAGTTGTTCCAGTGACCTGTCGCCATTTCATCCATCCTGAGTTGATCCGATGTGCCACGTCTCGGTCTATCTCACCATTTCCTTGGATAAGCGAGCCAAGGTACCGAAAATCAGAACAGGTTGGTATGGGCGTTCCGGCGAGAGCTATGGGCACAGAACTAGAGAGACCGCCAAAATTGCAGAACAAGTACTCTGTTTTAGTTCTGCTCAATTTTAGGCCAACACTCTCCAGTCTTTGCCACCACACCTCCAATCTGCTCTGGACCTCTAGGGCACTCTCGGCAACCAGCACAATATCATCGGCAAACAGCATACACCAGGGAGCCTCTTCCTGAATGTCCGACGTCAGAGCGTCCATTATTATCAGGAAGAGGTAAGGGCTGAGAGCCGACCCTTGGTGTAAACCGACAGCCACATTGAACTTGCTAGTGGTGCCCGCTGCAGACCGGACTTGTGTACTGCAGCGACTATACATTGATCGGATCAACTGCACATACTTCCCAGGCACACCTTTCTCCTTAAGGGCCCACCACAGAACCTCACGAGGTACCCGGTCGTATGCCTTTTCGAGGTCAACGAATACCATGTGCAAGTTTTTATGTGCACCTCTGTATTTTTCGCACAACTGGCGTATAGCAAATATGGCATCCGTTGTACTACGACCAGGCATAAAACCGAATTGGTTCTGTGATATGTCACTCTCTTCTCTCAGCCGCCGTTGAATAACTTTCTCCCATACTTTCATGGTATGCGACATTAGCTTTATTCCTCTATAATTGTTGCACTCAAGGACATCACCTTTGTTTTTAAAGATGGGCACCAAAGAACTGTTGCACCATTCATCAGGTATGGTTTCTTCCTGCAACAATTTATTGAAGAACAAAGCCAACCGCACCCATCCATCTACTCTTAATAACTTCCACACCTCAACTGGTATTCCATCTGGGCCAATGGCTTTACCATTTTTCATTCCGTTCACTGCTACTCTGACTTCCTCCATACTAACCATTCTCACTAACCCCACATTCACTGGTTTATTCTCTAAAACCCCACTCCAATTATTTTCCTCATTCATAAGTCTTTCAAAATATTCCTTCCACCTCTCTTTGATTTTGTCATTATCCTATAAAACCATTCCACTTTCATCTCTTACACATCTTACCTGGCAAACATCCCTCGCCTTTCTTTCCCTCATTTTAGAGAGCCGGTACAGCTCTTTTTGGCCTGCAGGACTGTCTAATGTATCATATAGTTTGTCCTGGGCTTTTGCTTTTGCTATTGCTACGGCTTTCTTTGCTTTTTTCTTTAAAGCATCATACTCACTCTTTCTTTCAGCTTTCAAACTAACATTATCTGTTTGTACGCACTGCCATTCCTTGAATTTTTTCTTCTTTTCTTTCAATACATTCTGAACTCCTGTCGACCACCACCATGTATCTCTATCTATTCTGCCCTTTCCTTTCGTCTCTCCCAAAATATTTCTCGCTGCTTGCCTTATACACTCAGCCATCTCATTCCAGCTTTCATTTATACTTCGATCATTCATGTCTCCTATCTCTATCATTCTATCCACCACTCGCTCTCTGAACTTCTTCGCGCAGTCATTCCTCTCTAGCCTGTGCCATTTTATTCTAGGGGGCGGGCGCTCTTTGGTTTTCCTACAATGTATTTGAACCACTGATGTCATAACCAGGAGTCTGTGTTGTGAGACTAAGTCTTCTCCTGGCAGCACTTTGCAATCCATCACATACTTTAAGTGGTTGCGCCGAACTAGAAAGTAATCTATTTGCGTCTTATGATTACCACTTTTATACGTGGCCAGGTGTTCATCTTTTTTCTGAAACCACGTATTGGCTACTGCTAGATCAAATGCAGTAGCGGATTGCAACAGTGTCTCCTTCATTGTTTGGATTTCCGAAACCCCATCCGCCATGTACTCTTTCAAACATATTCTTCCCACATGTCCATTAAAATCACCTCCCACTATCAACTCCTCATGTACAGGGATGTTCATTAAGGCCGTATCAAAATCCTCCCAAAACTTCTCTTTCACCGTTTCATTACATCCTACTTGTGGTGCATACACACTAACTAAATTCAACATAACATTCTCTAACATAACTTTCACAACTATAATTCTATCATTCATCCTATGTACTTCCATCACGCTTTCTTTCAATTTGCTATCTAACACTACTCCTACGCCGTTTCTTTTGCCATCACTTCCACAGTAATAGAACTTGTATCCTTCACCAATTTCTCTCGCTTTTGTTCCTCTCCATTTAGTCTCTTGTAAGCACGCTACGTTTATTCGTCTTCTTTTCAATACGTCCGCTAACTCTCTGGCCCTTCCAGTCATAGTCCCGACATTCCAACTGGTATACCTCAATCTGATTTCCCGAGCTAACTTCTTACGTTGCACCCGCCCGGGCTGGTGCAACAACCCTGGTCCATTTCCCACAGGAGCCGGGTGCTGCCCCTGCGCGTCGCCTGCGGGGTACGCCCTAACACTATCGCGCATTCCATTCATAACAGTCGACCGCCTGCCTGACGCTAACCCTCCTTGGGAATGCTATTGTTGGTAGTTTAACCGACCCCACACGGTGGCCTAAAGTGCTTATTAGTAGGCACGGCCTTAGGAAATATCCCTTAGTCGCCTCTTACGACACCCACGGGAAGAAATGGGATGGTGGTATTCTTAAAGTCCGGCACCATGCAGACACAAATAAATAGAATGACAAACTGATTGTCAAAATAATATTTATATTGTAATTTCTAGCCAACTAGTGAGTACGGATGTACGAAGAACGAATTTTGATGCGGTTTTTAAATAGTAGACTGATTTAGAGAGGAAGATTTATATGTATGACTAGATGTTAGTTCCAGCAAACCGCAATGCAATAGTAAAAACCGCATTGCGAATTTAATTAGGTTCAGCCGTTTTTGAGATTAGACCAACAACTATTATGCAACCTACATATAAAGGAAATTAATTTAGCAATTATTTATATGGAGGATGCATTTGTTCAGTAGTGGACGTCTTCCGGCTGAATATGGTGTTGACGATAACGCTGAGCTCTGTAGGTACTGAAAAAAATTATGTTGAATTAATGATTAATTTAAAAGGAAGAGCGGTAATCGTGAAGGTGCGTGGAAGTCCTCTTATTGCGTCTTTTTTTAAATAAGTCCATTATACATTGCCAGATCTAGATGATGATGGCCAGATTACTGCAAAGGATATCGGTCAAATCGTAGACCGTTTGACTTTGGGCGTCACGGATAACCGCGATCACTATATCGATGAAGCATCAAAGGATAAAATTGCAAAAGTTGTGAGTATTTAGCATTAAGCGATTGTGAAATACTTAATTTATTCAATTATGAATCCTCGAAACCGCACCTTTAAGCATGAGAAGCGGGTCTCGGTCACCACGACACATAGAAATATTAATTCAAAATATAGTACTCGTCTTTTTTGAAATCGCTTTCTCCCTGGTATTATCTATAGCCCAACTAGCCCAAAGTTGGTCTACTGAGTGAACCCGGTGTCTATAACAGGTGTTTATGGTGGCCATCGGCGAGGTTTTAGTAAGATAAGACTCCTACATTCCCTAGTCTTTTTTCCCAAAAGCTAGGCGCACTTTGAAAACTTTCCTCCGTAAAAACAAAAAAAACCGTGTCTAGGATAAATATTGCAGCTGGATCTCAAGATTTAACGTTTCACTTTCAGATCCTGGATGAAGTTAATTTTGATAAGAGTGGAGGTATCGGGCAGCTCGAATTCAAGCTCGTCATGGCCAGAATACCGGAGTTTGCAACATCATTTTACTTTAAACTTTAAGATACAAGTGAATAAAGTTTAAATGAATAAAACTTTATCTTTTTATTATTTGGGTCAATTAGGTATAGCAGGCTTATCATCTGATGGAAAGCAATCAGCGCCAACCAAGCCTACCCGCAACACCAGAGAAGTTACAAGTGCGTTGCAAGCGATTTGGGGATTGAGAATAAGAGGTGGATGAGAAAGATTGGACCTTCGACAACCACACTCACACAGAAACGCGCACAACACAAACAACGCAAGCATTGATTCGTGCTGTTCATAGTCAAGCCACTATCACTCACCGACCAATTTGTGCCAAGGCATGGCTCTTCCACACGGTCTAAACAAAGAAAAAGTGTTTACCATATTCATCCATCCATTTTATCTGACGAAAGCTTTGCAAGCAGCTTTGTTGTACCGTCCGGCGAGCGTGCGGTCAGGTAATGAAGGCATCCCGGATGTTCGGCCAACACTATTTGGTAATACTACTGGCTGTTTGTACTTCACGTGGTACATCGGGAACGATAGATACACACTGGGGAGAACAAAAAAGTTTTAGAGTAACTAAGACACATTTTTATACTTAACTAGCGGGCCGCCCCGGCTTCGCACGGGTCCAACTATCGCTAAAACAATGAAAGGGTTACCTTTTCCCAACTTTCAATTCGATATTTCGAAAATTTTCTTTGATAAGAACCTTCTCCTGACAATAACAAACACAACAAAAAAAGAATTTTTATTATAACTTTTGTGAGACATTCTAAATTATTTATTATGTTTTCGGCTTACTCACGTTAGCGCATAACTCAACAACGCCTGGACCAATTTTGCTAATTCTTTTTTTATTTATTATGTTTTCGGCTTACTCACGTAATAATTTGTATTCATGAGCAGCATTCCTCGACACGCGACTCGGCGACCGTCGCGCTGCTACGCGCCGAGTCGCGTGTGAATACAAATTATTACGTGAGTAAGCCGAAAACATAATAAATAAAAAAAGAATTAGCAAAATTGGTCCAGGCGTTGTTGAGTTATGCGCTTACCAACACAGTCTGCGATCCATTTTTATATATAAGATACTAAGTAGATACAATCAAAAACAGTCTAGTATTTTATAGCTGTTAGGAATTTGTTGAGCAATTTTACTGTTTTAGTAGTCAACTGCTAGTAAAGCTTTGCCAGGCAAATTGTGTGGTTCAATACCTGGGTCGCACAAAGCCGTGTAGCGTATTTGCGATAGCGAGAAGTGGGAGTAGGTACCTCGGCCTACCATTTCGGTGAATAGAATCTAATGATGAAATTTTACTCACGGGGTCATCTCAGAAGGACATTGCCACATATATTCCGGGTCCCTAAAGTACAACAAAGGATGGTTGGCCTTTGGATACTGTCTGTAGTAGTCTCTGTGGCGTTGAGCAGCCTACAAATTAAAAAATAACTAAGGACTATGAGTGCGTTTTCATTGGGATGCCAAAGTACCCATAGAGAGATACAAGTGCAAACAAGTTCAAACAACAAACTGACGAAAATAAAAACAAATTGATTTGATCTGATACTTACTTCGTAAAATGTTTCTATTTCGTCTTGTCTCGCGTTATCGATAAATAGTATATTATCCATATCTGCAACTTACTGTAATTTTAATATACTACCAAATTATTTGTTCAAATTTCACTAAACGAGAATCATAATCATTGTTAATTTAGGCGAAATTCAAATTTCCCCCCTCCATGCCTTTGCGTCAACCCGGAAGCAAAATCTGTCATTGTCAAAATGCTACCCCGGTTTTGACGTTGACATCGAAAGAAACCATAGAAACAAACCTGTTTTTAAAAATAAACCGTAGAATTTTTTTATTATGGGATACCTAGTTTGGTAAACGAGTCTGGGGATAAATAAAGGTTTCGGATACTTAATTAAGGATTGGGGAGGGATGGAGGAAGGGGGGAGAAATTAGGCCTTCGGTTACCTCACTGACACGCTGCTTGTTAATAAGGCTGCAATAAAATCGTTTTTACCTTAAGAGTACCTAGATAAATCTTAGAATATTATATCATGATTTTAACAATATCGAAACTGTTTACCAAGAACACGACATACTATAATAGGCTACGGTTAACAATTTCTGTTGTTTCCCCATCTTGGTCAATTCTGCAGTAGTATAAATTAGTGTTTGATTAACAAGAGTCAAGTACAATGTAACGTCATTTATTATATATTATCATTAATACAAATGTGACAATACAATTCATGAACAAAATAAACATTTTATAATTTGAATTTGTGGCGATAATTTCTAATACTTGAAAGCAAGACAAGCATTTTTGTTGTAGCGTCCAGCTAAAGTTCTCTCAGGTAGCGTTGGGAATTTTGATGTTCTTTCAAGAGTTACTGGAAGCACTGCGGGCTGTTTATACTTCACATGGTATGGCGGGAATCTTAGGTATACGCTGCAAATTAGGAAAATTAGTAGCAAAATTTAGATTGTGGAGTAACTAAAATCATAAGATATATTCAGTATAACACTTACTGAGACATTTCTTGTGGACACTGCCACGAATATTCGGGTTCTCTAAACATGGTGAGTGGATGATACGAACGAAGATAGCCCCTATAATAATTACGATGCATTTGACAAACCTGAAAAAGTGTAACGGCTCGTATTAAGACTTCGTTTAACACATTCAGTGCCCCCGACGCGTATGTGCGTGCGAGGAAACGCACATACGCGTCGGGGGCACTGAATGTGTTAAAGGCTTACAAGAAACTTAAAATAAAAGATGTTTTAAAGTAAAAATACCATGTAGAATTGGTCTATTTCTTCTTGGCGTAAAGGATCGGAAAATAAAATATATTTAACCATAATGTTATGTCAAAACAAAAACTGAATAAAAATCTAAGTGGACTTGGCACAAGTCAATCAGTTTTTAAAATAGGTTGAGTCTATGGCTTATTAAAAAACCTAAAGAATATTCCACAATACCCGTGTAGGTACTTATTTAATATTTATTTATTCAATTTGAAATATTTGTCCTACACTACAGACTACACCTTTCATCACGTTTCATCAAGAGACAGAATGAATGGGACGTCAATACGTCAAAATGGTATGTCATTTTTAGTCTGTGCAACGTAGTAGTAATAAACGTCAAAACAAAATCCCAAAATTTTGTTCTACTATTTTTAATTTCTTGCTTATTTACTCGGGATTTGTTACTTTTATCGTAAATCGAACTAAGCTGTGATTATGAAATGTGCATAATATTTGTTTGTGATAATTGGATATCAGTTCACAGCGGCCACTTTGTTATTTTGGGTGAACTATTTTTGTCCGCTCTAGTTTCGGTGCATTGGAATAAATTTTGACATCCAGGAAAAGAATGTTCTTCCTGTACAGTAAGTTCGTTAGACCCTAATATGCTTGATGGGTAACAGCTGTAGCCTAGAATTAGGTTAAATGTGGTATGAATCGCACATTGGCTTGTCGCGTGGGAGTATGATCATTAGCATTATTTTTTGCTAGAACGTCGCTTTCATAGATTCTTTTATTCATGCGTTAATTATTGCTTTTATCTTTTCTAATTTACACATTATGTTTCATCTGTAATTAAGTTCTAGTTGGGTATGTATGAGTTGATACAGTTGTAAATATTTACACATTTTATTTATTAAAATCATGAACAGATCACATGTATATATATTAGAATTAGTTCTAATATATTATTTCAAGAAGTGCTAGCTTGTAGACTCACACTGTATTAATTCATATTTGTAATAAAATATCAAATTACAACAACAACAAAAAATATTTTTAGAACTGTAAAACAAATAAAAACAATCTTTTAGATTAAGGGTTATTAACCTTGTTTATACAACTCAAGTTCATGTTCTTGTACATCAAAATCACCCAATTTTCATCTAGTTACTAAGAAATGAATTCTAATACAAATTGAATTTACGAAGATAACAATTTAACTGACTAAGATGATAACATCAAATAAGATTAAAACAAATGTATAGCTAACATAAAACAAATTATAGGTACATATTACAAAAGCAGATTGAGGAAAAACATATTTTCTATTTATCAGTTTTATCAATATAACTGGACTGGCAACTTTTTTCTTGTTAATAATTACTAATTCATTGAAAATAATGACTTGTGATTATTTTATATGAGACGCAGAAGATAGTCTGGAACAAGACATGGGTAGTCTTTTTTTAACCCCGGTACAGTGGGGGGAGGAGTTGCCAGTACAAGCTAGTTCACAATATGAACATACATATATCAAGGTAGTATCATAATAACAGCATATGAGTCACTATCTACAAACTATGTAATGTGTATATCTGACTGTTATCTTATCAGTCATTTTATTTGTTGCCAGCAAATAGACTGCTTATTCTTATCAGACCTCCATTATCAGACCATCAACCGATAGTAATTTGACAAGTTAGAAATGTTTTTTTACAAATAAATAGTATATATTTTAAGTTTTAATTGTAGGTACTTAGTTGAAATTGTTATGTTGTCATTTTAAAAATATGCCAGTGGCAAAAAAAAAAACAATCAAAATTTCTATTTTGGTAGCAAATCTCAAACCAACAAGTTTTGTCTAAAAATAATAACAAAGGGTTGTTACAGTAGCGACAAACTGGCTGCGAAGCATGAGACTTAAGGACTAATATCCTACCTGTATAATCAGCAACAAATTCTTAATGCCTCTTGTGTTTTAGGGATACTAAAAAGCTACAGTGAAGGCCCATCATTTGGGTTCACAGCATTGTTACTATTGATCATACAATAAAAATATATACTATTTCTTGTAAAGGCAGATGAAAAATGTGTCATATAAAATACCAATATTATAAAGCTGAAGGGTTTATTTGAATGGGCTTATCTTTAGAAGTGGTTGTGGTGGGTTCAAATTGAATAATTAATTTTGTGTTGGATAGTACATTAATTAATTGGAGATGGCTATTGGTATAGATAGACCATTTGGTGCCGAACAGCAGGTGAAATAGCAAAAGTTGTTCTAAGCTAGAAATAAATAAAATGGAATGCCTATGGTTATAAAATTATACATGGTTACAATATTTATTATAAACTTTAATTCTGCACAAAGTTCTCTCAAATACAAATACAGTTACTATCAACAGTTCAAAGTTTGAAACAATGACACATCATACATATGGTATAAAATTTAATCTGAAAACCATTCATTGAGTATCAATCAGTATGAAATAACATACTTAATTTGTGTTTTGTCATCTATGAATGAAGTATTGATGTGTTTGTTGAACGATGCTAGCATGACTCACTATGAATTGTGTTCCTGACTCTTCAATAGCTGATTGACTGTCCCCCTTTGCAAGGCTTTGTATCTATAAGTCTATTAGAGCATGCCACGCCAATGTATCTTTTGTTACCAAAACAATAGTTTGCCATTTTCATTATTTAGCTAATAGCTTGCAATTTTCCTTGGATTTTAAACATATTTCTTGTCTACTCTTTATTTAAAATTCTATTTCTAAAGGATTCTCTCCTGCATTTTGAAACATACATTCTAAGATACACATTGAATATAGACCCCATCAATTTGTAGGCCTCATAAAGAGTTGTTACGTGTCGGAATCCAATCCCCCGACACTTTAAACGGCAACCGGTTGCCAAAAGTTTGCGCAAAGTGAAGAAGGAACGTGTTTCGAGGCTCAGCTTACTCTCTCAAATAAAAATCTCTCTTTTAGATGGTCCCCCAAAAGATGATGGCTAAATGTATTAGATAGGCCTTTCTTAACATTTGATCTACTTCTGAATATACTTTGACACATATTATATTACTTACTGCACTGTAATAAGGAAAAGGAAATATCGCCGCATTGACGCTGAGTCATTTCATTGCCTCAAACTTTTGCCACTGGAATTTGAACTCTAGTTAAAGAAGGTCAAAGTTACAAATATGTATTAGGTGTTCAACTTAACCTTAGGTCGTGCGTCAAGGAGGTTTTATTCATATTGCATCAAAACGAAAGATGCGTAAGAACTCTTTGTTTGATAACAATGTTGGTTGTCATGGATACCAGTCGTTCGGTTTGTTGATAATAAATATGATGTGGCGCTTGTCAATAGTACCGTACTTGTTTAGATTGTTTACAATGTTGTGATTGTGTTTGTTCAGTTCAAAAGCATACTCGGAACAGATGTTAATGGAAAATTTCTCGGTAGATATTAAGGGAGTCCATTTCCAACTTACCATTTCGTTTGTAAGTGGGATTATACTTTCTTTTATTGTTTAATAATTATCGGTTGTAGCTGCAAATAGCTGTATGTTACACTTTATTCAAGCGGAACCTACAACAACAACCTAGGGTTGCTATTTCGCTATTATCATTTGGGTAAAAGACCGGATACAGGTCTACACGTATCAAAATTTTATGTCAGAATAAGTGTGAGAGTGTATGTGTCATTTGTGGCCGCAAGCTTTGTGAAGTAAGCCCCGAATATCCAAATCTGAAAGCCGGATAGCCCCTAATTGATGCCGGACAGGCAATCAAAAGCCCTCACGGTTCTGCTTTTTCCGGACGCTTGACAACCCTATGCTTTGCTATTTGCTATTGTTTAACGATCGTGCTTAATCTTTGCATTGTTACTACAGCACACTGCTCTTAGAAAATCATTTTCACCTAATTCTAAACCTATTGATGTTTAACTCAATGCTGGCAAATATTATACCCAATCTAAATTACGTTAGTTAACTTAAAGTTTTGTAATGTAAATGTAAATGGGGGATAAAATCAAGTAGGTAGATTTATATGTATTTTATTCTCAAAATATCTTCTTTAGAAAGAAAAAAAAATATACCGAGTACGGCTAACATCTATCTAATTGAAGATTGGCGTTGCTCGATCTTTTTTTGTAAGGTTTCCTCACACTAGGTTTCCTTTACAAACATAAAATTTCAGACCCAGACACGGAACAACGTGCGGGGTATCGAACTCGCGACACTTTTTGCGGCAGTCAGCTGTCTAGCCCCAGATGCACCACAACCATGCAATCGATGATTTGAAAGTAGTATTGTAATCGTATTTATTTAAATAGTGCGCTAACTAGACATAGGGAAATGTAAGCTAAACTAAGCCAGTCATTAGTTTTGAATGATTTAGTACTCACATTTCAACGTGGTTATCTACAGACCGTAGCTCAGTTATTGTGGCGTGCCAAGTCTTATGTTCAAACAATAGACATCGGTTGGTAACAGGCCTAGAATAAATAATATAATTCTATTAGAAGGGTAATTCATATGCAGTGAAACCTCTTTTATTCGACTAGATTTATTGACTTAATTTTTGGTATTTACTTGACTTATTAGACTAACGGCAATGGGCGATTAATATCCTGTTGTGGCTGTATTTCCTACGGGTAGGTATAACAGATACGATGAACCTTTTTTTTGATGTCCTTCTTTTAGAATAATTCGAAATAATACATACCTTTGTTTATTTTATTAAGGAATTCAATACTTTATGTATTGAATAATACATACCTATGTTTAATTTCTTACGGAATTTCATAAGGGGTTTGAACGATTTGTAATATCACGGCTCAGTACATTTTATACTAAGCGATAACGCAACAACACATACAGTCACACTCCTCGTTTTATACATTTTACTTGTATAGCTAAATAATAATTTACGGATTTGTACATTTTTTTTTGTCAGGGGAAAATCATCAAATGTCCCACCCACCTAGGGTAAGGCGAGAGAGAGTGTCAGTGACTCTTACTGACTAAAAAACCCCCCGTTCCTTCTCCTGCTCTGGGCCGAGGCCGCGGTGACTCATTGCGCTTAACCCGCCACCCCGGCTGAACATCAGACCTGTAGGACCCGTCTGTGGTGGTCCATTGGCTCGTTCGCTCGAGTCTGGTTCTGGTCGGGCGGCGAGCTACCCTTACTCGCCGTCCGCAGACCCGCGCTTACAGTAGCCGGAGATCATTTCTCGACGGATTTTTACCCTGATTTTTACCCCATGGCTAATATCTATCTTATTTGGCTAACACTGAGATTCGGCTACCGAATCAAAGTATAATGAGCAATTTTCCCTTTTTCAGTTGACCCCTGACCGGTTTCATTGTGATGGTGATGTCGTGCTCGGGTATGGGCGACGCGGTGCTTCGTGAGCGGCTGCCGGCCTTGTGGCGCCGCATCGAGGATGCTCACTACAGCTACCTCGAGACCGACGACAGCCCCGAAAAACTCGACCAGAAGAAGAAGCTTGAAGGTAATTTTATTTTTAGGACCAAGTATGATGAATTTTATTTGCAGTCTTTTATTGTGTGGGTCTTCGTTCAGATTATTTTTAAGTTGAATAGGGGTTATATTACATATGAATTATATGTAATATAACCACTATTCATTCATTCATTCATTCATTCATATGATATGATACTAGACGGATTAGCAGATGATGGTGTGTATGGAATGTATGAAATACAATACAAGATTACCTATAAGTACCTTGCAGACCCTATAACAATCTGTACGCTCTTGTTCTGGCCTCATTTAGTTTTTTTACTTATAATTTTGACGTGTAAAATGTCTGCTTTAGGGCTTATTTACAAAAATAAATTGATTGTTTCATTGTTTCTTTCCTGGTCCATATAACTTGTCCAATTAAACAGTTTGTTTTTGGATTGAGTACAACTAAAAACGTTATTAGCCCCTCCCAATTCAAGGTTAGGAATATCTTCTGAATAGTTCTGAACTGTAATTACACGGCATCCGCAACAGATACATTGGATGCAGGGGATATGCAATGCATGTATGCATTTGTTCTACGACATATAAGAACCACAATCCTGTATCAGATTCTTAAAGCCAGCTAGGCTAGCTGGGTAAGATCAGAAAATACCCTTATTGCAATAGAAATACCTACCACATTAGATTAACCTCAATTGTTTATTGTTTTTTACAGATTACATAATAGAATACCTATCATTAGTGCCTCATGAGTGCAAGTTTGGGCTCGCGGAGACTGGGAAAGTGTTCCAAAAGACGATAAATGAACTGGAAGAGTTCAGTGCGTACCGAGCTGGCCTCGGTTGGGCAGCACTGGCTAGATACGCCGCCAACCTCTTAGCTCAGCCCTGGAGGAAGGAGTACAAAGTAATAAGAGTGAGTAAGAAAAAAGATTCTAATGTACCTAGTTCACCTTAAGATATCCCCCACTAAACACATTTACTCGCTTGATATAGAAGTTCTTAGCATTTAAAATTGAACATGATTAATTCGATTGACCTTATACATATCGACCTGGCTTGGAGCAGGAAAAGAAATTTGGTGGTTCTTAGTTATCAAGCCAAGGCCAGGGCGGGAGAATTCATTGAATGATTTTCTCCCCTCAGAAAGACACATTGCAAATTGATCTTAGAACATAATATCTTTTGCCCGCGACGTCGTTCGCGTGGAATAGTGACTTCTTGCACATTTTTGGTATAAAACTATCCTATGTCCTTTCTCGAGTTCCAAACTATGTCTGTACCAAATTTCACAGAAATCGGTTCAGTAGTTTAGGCGTGAAGAAAAGACAGAATTACTTTCAAATTTATTATAATATTAGTTTGGATATGTATAAGACAGTCTCCTTAATTCCTATTAAGTCAAAATTACAACCTCTTTAATTAGTCCTCCTTGATTCTTGTTTCCTCAACAATATCGTGAATATTTTGTGCGTATAAGAACCTCTTTAGACAGATTTTTATACTTATCTAAAACGTAACTAATTTACGTTGCAGTTATACTGCGGATATTTCAAACACGAAGTTGAAGCCAATATGGTTGGAGCTGAGACCTTGCTTCAAGCGATGGGCTATAAACCTTCAAGGGCGGGTCAAATGGAACTGGACGGTCCTATTTGCCCAGATATGGTTGCTGCAGTGTCGAGAGACGCTCTCATAGCGCAGTGTGAATGTCAGGTATGTATGCAGTTCTAACTAGTCTTAAAGATGTTTTTTGTAGTAAGTAAATGACTTAGCTGACAATTCAAATGTATTTTTAATACTTAATTTATTGCCAAACTTCAAGTTTAGTGAGTTTAGGATAATATATTTTACATTCTCCCCCTTGCTGAACGAACGAAACAAATTTGCATCGTGTTTTTATATACGACTAGTTAAAACTAGTAATCAATATTACTGAGAGTAATCTATACTAGTCTATACTAATGTTAGAAAGAGGTAAAATTTGTAAGTTAGCAAGTTTGTATGTAGGGGGTAATCTTTGGAACCGCTTGTCGAATTGCCGAAATTCTTTCACTGATTGATAGCTACAATGTTCCTGAGTGCTACAGGCTATAAAACATCACAAATGGAGCCGAGCAGCGGGTGAAACCGCATTAGAGTTAGCTAGTTTTATTATAAATGTAATAAAATGTTTACAATGGATTTTTTTATTTATATTATTTTTTATTTATATATTAATATAATTTAATTTGATACGTGATATTTGACGAGACTCCTTTTCCCTCCAAGGTAAGATTGGAAGGTGAGATTTAACTGTACCGCCTCCCCCCTTAAACATCTCACGTATTTTATGAATACCCCCTAGTTTTAAAATGTAAACAGTTTTATTCTCATCTCGTCTTAATGAGAGCTTTTGGATACGTTAGCTGTAGTAATAGTCGTAAAATTATGTTACTACGACTAGCATTTGAACGCTTTTTATTTTTCGCGACATTTAAAAATGGTAACAGGATCGGCACTGGGTCATTTGCAGATAATGGCGCACATATGGGAGGAGGCGTGGTCGCAGGGCGGGCGCGTGACGTGGCGCGACGTCTGGCGTGAGCGCGCCGCGCACGCCGCGCCCCCCCGCGCCGCCGCCGCACGCCTCGCCGCGGGGACACTCGCCAACATCGACCGGACCACTAACCCAGCCTATACTGACAGTCAGTACATTTATACCTTATTATTCTTTTTCTTTCATTACATATTCCTGTTTTGATTAAGGAAACGTCTTAATCAAGAGACTTAACAATGATTTTTTTCCCTTCCAGGTGCAGACATATACTCGAACATCCCAACAACGGTAACAGACAGCTACCGAAGTCGAGTAGTAGACGACAGGTACCACGGTACCCAGCACTGCAACCACGGGTGTGACGAGCTGGACAAGGAGCCCCCGGCCATGATCCCGTGCTCTCCCTACATGGTGCCCCCTATGCTCCCCCATATGGTGTACCCGGTCCCCCAACACATGCACCCCGACGTCCCAGTCACTGTCCCGCAGTGCAGCACCATCCCCATGATGACCCCATACGGAGTCCCCTACTACTACCCCGTGCAGTCCCCCTACATGCTCCCCACCCCGGTATACGCCCCTATAAAACACGCAGCGACAGTACCCGTTAACGGCTACCCACCGATGGCCCAATACAGGTACCCCGCAGTCCCGACCGCACAACTCATCGAATTAGATACGCCTTCAGTTTACGAAAATGGTAAATTCGAAAAATATAGAGACGACGATAGAAATCACAAGAAGAGGCATCTAGAGTCTTCTAGAAGAAATAGCACGTCGAAATCTGGACTGAGTGACGTCTCATTACCGAGCTTACCGCGATCTGACACGCAGCCAGCTCTCAGCAAAGCGAGGGAGGATGGCATGGGTACTTACGAGAGCTGGGACTATGTATTTAGGAATTTGTCGAGTAAAGAACAAGAAGGAGATGGACGAAGTAGATTTTCGCCGTCACTAGACAGAGATTCAAGGACACTCGATAGGCTAGACAGGGAGGAGAGGAGGACAAAGTATCAGCCGACAACACTCGACTTGGAAGATGGGTTACAAGCGCTGAACCTTGACAGGTCATACGATGAGGAAGTATACAGAACTGCGAAGGTCGAGAACTTAATGAGGATGAAACAGGAACAAGAAATGAAGAGGGCGAAACAGCTGGCGAAGAAACAGGCCGAGTTAAAAGCAAAGAGACCAGTGCCAGAACCAGTCGGTAATCCTAAGGCTGAAGCATTAATAACACAAAAGGTTGCGCCTGATAAGGTGAAGCTGCTTAGTAAGAAAGATATCAAAGAGAGGAAGGAGGTTATAAAGCAACAGAGTTCAGTCAACGGGGCCAGCAGTAATACGGCTGAAATCAAGAAAGTGAAGAAGCCCTCGAAACTAGTGGCTGCTGAAGTAGAGAAACCGAAGAGTAAGCCGGTAGAGAATGGTGTTCATAGTGCAGCACATAGTTCCAAAAGTAACCAAGGTAAGTTTTATAGAATAGAATATCATAACGTTTATTTCAGACAAGTGCCCCTAAAATCACGTACCTACATTATTTATTTAGATAATGATTGTTTTTTTTTTTCGGAATATCCAGGCATTTGGCCGCTATTACGCCTGGTGGTTAACGATTATACGACCTACAGTCGAGCGTGTCTACCTATATAAAAAACAAACATTTATTGATGTTGTAACCTAATGGAGTTACTTAGTTACTTGCTCGTTCTTCTCCATTAGTATCTACAATTTGGAACGAGTACCTAGCTTCATTGACACGGACTACTATTCTATTTTGACGTTTCAAAAGTATCGGCTGCACGGTTGGTGCGGTGGTTGGGCAACTGGCTACCGTGCAACGTGTTGCGGATTCGATTTCGCACGAAACAACTCTTCGAGTGGTCCACAAATTGTTATACCGGGTCTGGGTTTCGGGTGTATGTGAAATTGTATGCTTGGAATGGGTAACGTTTTTTTTTAAATACAGTTTTTTTATCATTTAACTTTTTGGTCTAAGTTATGTCGTAATCTATTAACATCGGTGTTGTCATTTCAGTGCCGAATCAATCGACATACGACTTAAAAGCGCAGCTAATAGTGTCATTGGACGAGACGGAGCACGTGCGTAGGTCCCCGCCGCGGCAGGTGAACGGGGAGCGCGAGCGGGGCGCCAGCAGGAGCCCGGGCGGGCAGCACGACAAGTGGGAGTGCGCCACCTGCACGTTCCTGAACGCGCGCGCCGCGCCCGTCTGCGACATGTGTGGCAAGTCCCGCCGCGCGCCTGCGCTGCAGCCGCTGCGGGCCGGCGGACGAGAGTGCCCCGCCTGCACCCTCGTCAACGAACGCGACGCCGCGCTCTGCGACGCCTGCGGCACTAGTCTGCAACATTGCCCCACCTACATATAGAACCACAGGTTGCCAACTTACATCTAATCATTAGAGCTCATTCATAAAGTATGTCACACGAGTTTAAGTGTGACAGAGCCAAGCTTCGGCACGAATGGGTTGGCCCGACCAAAGTTATCGGAGGCCCAATCCTTCCTCTCCCCCAATCCATAAATCTCTAAATCACTAATCCCAAAAAGGTCGGCAACGCACTCATAACTTCTCTGTTGTTGCGAGTGTCCATGGCCGGCGCTGATTGCTTACCATCAGGTAATCTGTCTGCTCGTTTGCCGACGTATCACATAAAAAAAGGGTGCTGGGAGGTCGCCCAAGTGTGACATAGGGTGGGAAGGGCCCAAGTTACATGACATTACATTTAAAAATCTAATATACCAAAAAGGTAATTAAAAAAATCATGAAATTCATGTGACAAACTTTATGGATGGCCTCTTACTTAGTATCGTTTTAGTTGATATAACCGTTATTTAATGCACAATATTATTATTATTACTTATTGTTTCTTCTTTTTCTACTGCTATTATTATTATTATTCTTTGCAGCTAAACGCAGTTTATAGTTTATGTTAAATTTTGAATTACGAATTATGAAAGTTTGTGCACATTGAATGTGTTATTGCGCAGCTGTTAGAGATTTATTCGTGTGTGAAATTATTCATATCGGTATATTTACAAATCCTGTGATTGGTTATTAATTAACAAGATATATGATTGTTACATGAGCGTTAGTTATTACCACATTATTGCATTGTGAGGATTATGTCACTAACATTGTTTAGATGAAACTGTTACAAGGAAGTTTGGCCATGAAATAAGCGTTTTTTAAGTACGACAGCTCACTGAAATTGTATTTATTATATTTAAAAAATATATGACGCTTGAACGAGAGCGTCAATATTATAGATGTTGCATTTTTTTTTCAATAATTTATTTGTAACGTTAAATGTTTGAAAATGGAATCACATTGTCGTTGGTCGTGTAGTCTTCAATGTAATCGAAACTTTATATATAGCAATAATTAGTCAGGTAGTAGAATGTACGGGAGATATTTAAGAGGGGTTACGGATAGACTTAACGACAACCGTTTGTTTCATGGCCGTATTATAAACCTACTTGTCGATACCTCCATTGGCGAATCAGTTAATTGTTATGAGCAAAATTCTTTATGTTGACTACTCATAAAGAAATCTAAAATACCATAAAATCGAACGATATTAACCTATCTTCTTACTTTAATACTAAGTTCAACAATTTGAGAAAACGTACAATAAATATATGAAGACCCGGTGGACGCGCGCGCAAAAAAGCTCTTATCGGCTGTAGCGTCAGCGTTTTATAAATTGTTTTTACAAAACTACAGCGTTTTTATAAGTTATCTGTTTTTTAATGACATGTGGAGTTCAAAGTCAAAGTCAAATCATTTATTTCAAATAGTCCACAAAACGTCAAGCAGAAAATATATCATTAGATTTATGCGTGTCAGTCTGGCCGAATCTCCTCTAGTGGGGCTATTTTTGCTCGTTCCAAAGTGTAGATTCCTATGCAGAAGAACGAGCAAGTAACTCCATGGTTACTCTTTTTCAATCAGTTTTACAATATATTTCTTTGTTACATCATTTTGTACTGTCGGTTCTATTATGTGAGAACAGTGTAAAATTAATGTTTATCCAAAAGGTTGGTTGGTTTGCTAATTAAGGTATCGATATATAATTTTAAATTTATAATTGCTCATAAAATATATTAATTTAACTAACAGATGTATTTAATACGAGTTGTTGTTATAGAACCTTTATGTGACGTAGTTATTAAATTGATTTTCTTTATATCGCTTATGACAGGGTACCGTTGTTATGTGTGACGTGTGTTATGCTGGAGAAATACTATGGAAACGCGACCTAACCTGACTTCACACAATGTGGGTTAATTTTTTTTAAAGAATATCTTAATGGATACCTTTATGTCGACGGTGGTCACTCGTTGTTATACAATGTATTTTTCGATTTATTTTTTGTATGTACCTATTTTTTTAATATAAAAAAATCTTCTTATAGGCGTCGCAATAAAATAAATTCTTATAAGAATGATTCTTACAACACAAAAAAACACTTAAAGGAATCATCATATTATATTATTTACACAAAATTGTGTACTAGTTGGAGCTCAATGTCATATGATAGACATTCTCTCCATTTATGTGATCCACAAATCGACACAGAAGGGTCCGGGTGTAATTGTTATATCGAATTTTTGTTAGTAAACACACCTTATTATACTGAGAATCACTATATCAAAAGCATGAGATTTGGGCGTTGTTTAACTATTTATTGACCAATCAGCTATCGAATTTGTTGCTGTAAACGCCTCCACTATACTCAACGAAAGTAAGAGACACACTTGTGTGAGGTGTTCAGAAAACAATACATTGTGTCATAGTCAAATATTTTTTTTCATTACTTACTATAGTGAGGCATATAATTTGTTGAAAATAAAAACTTATTCACGTGAATAAACTGAAAAAAGTTTCAAGACACAATGTTAATAATCTGAGAAAATCTCTAGTAGCTGCGTGACGTTGCCGCTACGCATACGCTATTTATGAATATGAGTCCCATTGTGACTTCAAACTAGTAGAGCTTTTCTCAGTTTGTTCAGGTAGGTCAGTCGTCATTTTCAATAAATTAAATAATCAGCGTGCATTGTGTTTTGTCAGGTTTCTTCGCATCTCTATAGTATGTCTCCAGCGTTTTAGTACCGTGGGTTACGTTCGACAAAAATGGCGGCCGATGACGTAACTATCTCGAAGTAAATAAATATGATTGTAATAATAGTGTTCGTTTATTCGCCTTCTATAATGCTTTAATGTTAGTTGAGATATAGATAAAAAAACGCTTTTTCGTTTTATTATTACATAATATATAATATAAATTATTGATCTGTGTATATAATTGTTAGAAATGTAAATAGTAGAAGTTAAATATATTTATTTAGATGTTTGGATTTTTATTTATTTTGAACAGATATAAGATTTAAATCATAGTGATACTAATAATTGGAAAATTATAACATCATTGACGGTGCGTTTGTTATATAAAGTAATAATATAATGTAATTTAATTATCACAGTCCAATTAATATGCACAGTGTAACGATAAAAATATATAAATTATGCCAATAATGAAGAAAGACGTAACTGCAAACGTTGAAAATTAATCACAATAGTTTGTAGCGTACATTGAAAGTGGTATTTATAGATAAATATTATATAGTATTTTTGCACATACGTACTTCTTCATGATGGTGGTGAATTCGTCATAGATTAGGCGTTTAAAGCACTGAGGACGTGTATTTTTCTATAATAAAATGAAAGTAGATTTTCTCATACGTGATAGATTTATATAAAGAGACATTGTGCTTGATATTCATTTGCCCTTGGTTGATCGAGTGAGACGCAACGTCGGAAATTATGACAAATGCCGATAGACGACATGTAATAACTACAATGAAAAATAAATAATATTGTTTTATGATTTCGGTGTTTTATTTTTACAAGCTTTTGTTGGTAATAGAGAAGTTTCAACTAGCGAAATTGAATTTTATTTTTCGACGAGTCAAAGTGGATATTTTTAGGCGTGATATGTACAGCGCTGCCCATGGACACCCGCAACAACGAAGGAGTTACGAGAGCGTTGCCGGCTTTTTGGGGACTAGGGATTTGGAGATTTTGGGATTGAGTGAGGGGAAGGATTGGGCCCCTGGTAACCTCACTCACATGGTGAAACATCGCTGTGGTCGTTTCACGTTGATTTTCTGTGAGGCTGTGGTACACACCCTTTCGAACCCATTCGTGCCGAAGCATGGCTCTCCCACACGTTTCTCTAGAAATAGAGCTTATCCGATCAATGTATGTATCTAAAAAAATTTACCCCTAGTGACATTGGCTAATTCCCATTTCCTCCCTATTGGATGATAATAAATAAAAAAATTAATTAAACATAAGCTACCTTCAAAAAGTAATACAAAAAAACTTAATTTAAATCGTTTCATCCGTTCAGGAGCTATGATGCCACAGACACACAGACAGACACGTCAAACTTATTAATTTTGTTTTTTGTGACGTACAACCACAGCATTGTTTGTGTGAGTGAGGTTACCGGGGGCCCAATCCTTTCCCTCCCCCAATCCCAAAATCTCCAAATCCCTAATCCCCAAAAAGTCGGCAACGCTCTCGTAACTCCTTCGTTGTTGCGGGTGTCCATGGGCAGCGCTGTACATATCACGTCTAAGTCCAAACATGTCTAAGAACACTCGCCTGTAAAACATCTGTAATACAAAAAAAAAACTAATTTCAAATCTGTTCATGCCACAGACAGACAGACACGTCAAACCTATAACACCCCTCTTTTGCGTCGGGGGTCAAACTGCGATACAGTGAATCGACGTAAATTATGTAGAATTCTAGGGGCGAATAGACACAGAAAAACGCTGAATAGATAATAAGAAAATTCGATAATATCTATCTACCTCTCAAATTCTAAACACCCCGATTTACGACAGCCTCCGTTGCCATTTCTCCATTTGCCTCTTGAATTTAAATTTTCCTACTTTGAAAGAGTGGAAGTGGGGTTCGATGTCGCTGTCAGTAAACTTCTTGTTATATAATGATTCACAAACTAATATTATAAATGTGAAAGTAACTTTTCTCTTTCTGTCTTTTCTTCACGCCTAAACTACTGAAACCGTTTTCTGTGAAATTTGGTACAGACATAGTTTGGAACTCGAGAAAGGATATAGGATAGTTTTTATACCAAAAATCCGCAGGAAGTCACTATTCCACGCCAACGGAGTCGCGGGCAAAAGCTAGTGATTCATAGTGTCGATGAAATTTCAGAATACAAAATATTTCGAGTGCTGAACTGTGCAGATATATGTAGCAGACATTTCTGCTAAATGTTAGTATCTCTAGCTTTAGATTCCGTTGAAATCTTAGGTGGCTACAGTCAATCATATACATATAATTATAACTTCCGGATTGAGGAGCCAAAAAAAATGCGTTAATATACAAATTTTACTCTGTTTTACTATTTTATTCCTATACTATAAAAACAAACACAACACCTGCTAAATGATCAATACCTATGTCGAATATATTTATTGATCGCTTACATCCAATAGAAATTCACCTCTTGAGTTTAGATTGAGGAGCTATATTAAGTGTTGTATTTTCTTTCATTTTAGCACTATGGTAGCTAAATTTTTAGACGGTAATATGCAAAATTTCATCAATAGGTATTCCTCTTTTACTTTTCATAGAGATATACCTATCTATTATTTAACGAGTTCCAGGTGGCTCCTCGATCCAGATGTTTAGATTGAGGAGTCACCTTTAATAACTACAGATAGGTATATTTTTCTGCTAAATTTAGAATTCATGCTGCAAAATACGCTAATGCTGCTAACTGCTGAAACCAGATTTTAAAAATCTGATGTGACTTCTCAATCCTGAGGTACATGTTATTTATAGACGACTAGTTACTCTCGCGCGTTTTCACCCGCTGCTCAGCTCCATTTGATCGTAGCGTGATGTTTTATAGCCTATAGGAACATTGTAGCTATCTACCTATCAGTGAAAGAATTTTGGCAATCCGACCAGCGGTTCCAAAGATTACCTCCTACATACACACAAATTTTTACCTCTTTAGTAGTAGTAGTAGTAGTAGTAGTAGGTATAGAATGTAGGTGCCTAACTACGTAAGGATTATCTCGTGCGTATCACGCGCGATGCTCTTTCTGGGCGAAACGGTCGCGCGTGATACGCACGGAGTCGAGTAAGGGCTTGTACACAAAACTTGCGATTTGATTCGCATCGCGCATTCTATCGGGATTCATAATAGGTACCGTAAAACGGGGTGAATAGAAGTTGAGGGGTAAATAGATACACGAAAGGGGTGAATAGAAGTTGGCGAATTTTCCTTGTATCTATTCACCCCTCTTCCGTGTTTATTCACCCCTCGAATTTTAATCACCCCGTTTTACCGTGGTAATTAATGGATGAACCCAAAATCTTCTTAGTTTCTTTTTCCTGTATCTCCTAAGCAATAATAAAAGTGCACATTTCTTTTTACGATCCATGTCACGACCTAGTTTTCTCTCTTTGCCCACCGTACACCTCGTGAGACCACTTAGGTGTGAAGCGGGAAGGTTTTTTTTTACTACTGTTCACCTTGGTTCACCTGGGTGTACCGTGGGAAATATAAAATTTCCTCCATCCACGTTATTATCAAAACTATATCCGAAGAGCAAAGAGATTAATGATTGAAACATGAGGCATTACGATATTCTCCTCGTCTTCTACTGTTTGTAAACAGGAGCCATGAAGTGGTAACTTGAGTCCAGGAAAAAGATAGAATTCGGCTGGACCCATAAGGAATATCTTCCCATGGTGCATTCATTCCAATTGGGAAGAGGGTTCGGTTTTCTTCGAAAACCATTTCCCCTATTCGATCACGTTGCTTGTCCCAAGTGTCATTTAAGCAACTGGCTTTTCAAACTGGTTTTTTGCATTGGCTGCACGATATGCAGCCAATGCAAAAAACCAGTTTGCTTACCTAAGCGAATCTCACCAATTGTCAGTTAATTTAATAGAATGACAAGGTCTTCAGACATCGTCCAATAAGATTGTGAAAAATGGTTAAATGGTGAAGAGTCATTTAAAGAAAACATGATTAACAACTCACTAATACGTTTTATTTCAAAAGACACGACTACAACACTGACTTTTATCACAAACTTGTTACACTTATAGTAAAGTCATATTGCACAGACTGGACAGGACTATTGACCGTATCCGTTTTGGTAGCTGCCTCCATAGCCGGCCTGGCCACCACCGTAGCTAGCTTGCTGGCTGTAGCCGCTTTGACTTTGTCCTTGGCTTTGGCCTTGGCGCGAAGCTTGCATGCCATTTTGCATATTACCGCCGTACATGCCTTGATTGCCTCCGTAGCTCCCTTGGCCACCGCCGCTACTGAACCCTGCTCCGCCGAACCCGGCTTGTTGCATTCCGGGCCTGAATCCGCTTTGGCCGAATCCGCCCTGCATGCCGTGGCCGAATCCTTGTCCAAAGTTTTGTCCGCCAAAACCGCCTCCAAAGCCTTGAGGACCACTGAAGCCCTGGGCTCCTCCGAATCCGCAGCCTGGGGACAAAGTTCTTTTTTAAATACATTTGTTTAGGTACCTATGCAGATATCTTCCCCCGCGACTATTACATTATAGCGCGTTTTTAGTTAGGAAGGGGTAGGTTTTAGTAAGCGCAAGTTTGTCACTCCTCGACATTTTGATGATTGCCCTCCTCAAAAAAGATGACTGTAATTAATGGAATAAACATTAGTGTCTGTGAAACTAGTTGTACCGATGAGAACTCTTAAAAATATTTGCTTACCTCCAAAGCCAAACATTCTGCTGTAGGAATTTTGTTAAAAAATAAAAATACTACTATAATATATATATATATTAATAGATAGATAGATAATATAATATTACTATACAGTTATTTCTTATAAATTTTAATATGTTAATGTTCTAAAATAATATTTTTTTATAGATTTTACAATAAATAATATGATTTTATGATGAATTTTAAAATTATACTGAATCAATTTGGCCTTTGTTTTGTTATTACGAAATTTTGAACGTAGAACAAAGGTATTTTTCGAAGATATTTTAAATTTGTTATTAGTGGACAGATTTTTATAAACAAGGAGGATAAATACTTATGTGTTTTTAAATGGTTTTATTTATTTTGAGTGAGTATGAATTTAAGTCATTAATATTGCCTCAAATTGTCGTCTTGCGACAATTAAGCCAGAGGAAAATAAACAGGATGTTTTTTAGTCAGGAAGAGTCTGACACTCCCTCTCACCCCACCCAGAGCGGGCAAGCCATTTGATGATTTGACCCCTCAAAACAAGAAGTGTAGGATTGTAGGGTAAGGGCAATGGCACCGCGGCCTCGAGCTGGAGCATGAGAAGAAGCTTTTTTTTGGTCAGTAAGAGTCTGGCACTCCCGGCCTCCCGCCCTACCCTGGGCGGGAGAAGTCATTTGATGACCTCACAAAAAAGGCGCTAGGGTACAAAATGATATGCATTTAGTTTAGGAGCATTGTGTAGCATAGCAATAATAAAATTTGGAGGACTATATTCTAAATATTTGTTTACAATTTTTGTTCAGGTAGTTGTAGTTGTAGTGCTATTTTTTTTTAACTCTTCTCTCTCGTCTTACCTCTGTTATTTATTTATCACGTCAGGATTTGTTTAAGGGTTTTTGAATTTGAATCCCAGGGTGGGCAAACTATAATTTACATTTTTAAACATTGAAATTCTCAATGTAACCAGAGTCTGGCCTAAACAGGGCTAGTAAATATAAAAAATATGTGTGTTTGTAAGTTTGCTACATATACAAACTCTTTGTAGCTCTGCGTCCTTCGAGTAACAACAGGCTTTAAAATAAATAAATAAAGTTTACGTGTGGGTAAAAAAAACCATCTTACGAATAATAAATATTTAATTTTTACATTTAAATAGCCTTAATAATGTCCATAACCGTGGTAACCATGGTAACCGTTTCGGTAGCCGTAGTTTCCTTGTTCTTTATGTTCTTTTTGGGGTTTTCGTGTTTCGGTTTCTTGAGAGCCTTGAGCATCGTCTGTTTGAACTGTCTGACTTAACCCTATTTCTCCACTGGCTGAAGCTTGTGCATTGAAGCTGGTTTGCTGTTCAAAAATGGCCTGTCCTTGACCTTGGCCTCCAAAGATCTGCGCAAAGGCATCTCTATCCTCCTGTACGACTGGAGGAGGGGGAGCAGTGGTGGTTGTCGTCGTTGTTGTAGTAGTAGTTTTGGGCGCTTCTGAGGTTTTCGGTTCCTCCTTATGGTCATAATCGTGATGCCCATGGTAATGGTAATCGTGGTGATGGTCATGATGGTCGTGGTGGTCATGGTGGTCGTGGTGGTCGTGGTGATCATGATGTCCATATCCACCGTAGCCTCCATAGCCGCCGTAGCCCCCGTAACCTCCATATCCACCGTAGGGTGTGGCAGATCCTGTTTTGGAAAAAATATTACATTTAGCAAATTATTGAAGTTATGTCTTGGGACAAATTTTTGGTTGTTCACGATGTTTCTATCTCCGTCTGTATGGATATTAGCAGCATTTTAACCAATTTATTTCTATCAGTTGTTGAGCTGACTGTAAGAAGGTTTTCGTTTCACAATAATTATAATTAAGTTCCTACTCTGAAATATTGTGTTACCAAAGTAAATGATGAGATCTAAGTTTCACCTTTACTACTTATTAAGTTTTGAAAGACTGCCTTCGTTTATCAAGTAAACCAAGTAAAAGAATTAATTATTATTATCATATTACCTGATACTGCCATTGCTGCCACTAATGCTAGAGTGATGATCTGCAACAGAAAAAAATATTGGAATAAGAAACTATTCACATTTTTTCGAAGCTTTTTAGGTGTGGGTGAACCAGGGTTCAGCACAAATGGACCGATTTAAACAGAATGCTGCCACGGTTCCCCATGGAAGCGGGGTATGGGCATTATCTAGTTAAATAGTTTGTTACATTTAGTTGCTACATTATTGTGTCGTTTTAGTTTTTCTTCAATAGCCTCGATAAAAAAACTATAAGTACCTATTTTTGATTGAAAAAAGTTTAACAGCCTCTCTTAGAACTTATATTTTTTAATGTTTTTATTACAGCTTTTACGATTTAATATACTAATACTGTATCTAAAAATATAGAGTAACTTTTATTATTTTTTATTCTAGTAAATAAATGAATAACACAGATTTCTTATTTAGGGCAAAACTATTAATTTCTATGAACAAATAAATAAATGAGTAACATATATAGTTAAATAATTTTATAAAATTCTTACTAAGTATAAATAGGTGATATAAAAAATGCTAAATATGCGATGGCCAATAAGTTAGATAACTTGCAGTCTTCTTTACGAGATTAGGTAAAAAAAAAATTTGAAAAAAAAATATGAGTAAAAAAATTAAAAAAAAACTCCTTTAACGCAATCCTTTCACTTAAATAAAAATGGCCGCTGTCGTATTCGAATAAAAATAAACAAAACAATTGTGGATCAATTAAAAATGATCCACATGTCCACACGTATTACAGCTTAAAATACTTACAGCGAACTTTGCCATGATTAAAAAAAATAAGTCACAATGTTTACAACACAAACTTGTACACCGACTATAATCTGTGGCAGATGAACATGTCTTTTATACTCGTTTAGGGTCCCAAAGAACAAGTACTAAAGCATCTCATCGTCTGGCCCCGTACAAGTTCATACCTAATAATCTGAACCAATGTTGTAGGTAGCTGTCAAATCGGACGTTTGGATAGATGTCTACTTTTGTAGCTAATCAAGTTTAGGTTATTGTGGATTCATGAAGGTTAAAAAGTCTTCGCAAGGTTGAGAAGATTGTGTGTAGGGAATAAGGTCCAGGACGCCTTCCGTGGTGGAGTGACGATATCTTCAAAGACTTAAGAAAGTGTCTATTTCAAGCAGTGGCAGAAAACAAGAAATAGAAGCATTCGTAAAATTATCATCGATCACCAAAAAAAAAACTTTTACCAGTTTAGTTATTGGAGTCCTACGTAATTGTGGTCACAGACGGGGCCCTATAGGATTGATGTTCAGTCGGGGTTGCGGGATAAGCGCAATGATTCACCGCGGCCTCGGCTCAGAGCAGGAGAAGAAACGGGGGGCTTTTTAGTCCCTGGGCGTGAGAAGTCATTTGACTATTTTCCATTTACAAAAAAAAATAAAAAAAATTGGTTTGGCGTGATTTCATTTTCTTAATAATAACAATTCATAACATATTAGATACGTTCTTAATACGAATTAACAGATCCAATGCTTTTGTGCAAAATTTAATTAGTGAATTTGTTACACGACAAAACGAAATTACAGTTTCGCAGTTCCAAAGTTTTAATGTTTTTATGTCACAATTTCTTTTGTAGATCCATTTAACGACATTACTCATACAGCCACTGACATTTGCTTAATTCTTATATTAGTAATGTCCCATAAATTACATTTGATCGCTTATTAATCAGGTTCAGGTGACCATTACAATGCAATCGTCATTAAAGCCTAATAAGGTATTGTACGATGATTAATTTATGACGTTCCCTGCTATGGAAGTCATGATGGCCTGGGGGTTAAAGAACTCATAAGAGCCCAAAACCTGGTAAATATCAATGTGACTTTTTCCAAATCATACGGACCTTTCGAAGTTTATTCAGATCAGACAACATCGGTATATGTATATACGGCGAAGTAAGAGATCTTGAGGAAATCTGGACTTATACTTTGAAATCATCATTTTGTGTAAGGCATGGAAATTGATTATGGCTTCATCCTTCTGCGTGTGAGATGAGGACCTGAGAGACAGTCAGCTCATGGTGTCGGGGTATAGTTCTTAACTAAAACTTCGAAATTACAACTTGCTCGACGACATACGTCCGTGGACACCTTGGTTCAGGTTATGTTAATATATCTACTCATACATAAAATGTGTATCTAGCAGAAATACAAGTTCTCCAAGTATATTACGAATACTGTTTTGTGTTGTGGTGAATAAATCAACAAAACTTGGATGTCTACTTTTATTTTCATTCGGGTTTAATGACAATTATGTATGACACATGTTTTTAAAATTAATGACGTGTGACTATTGGACTCGAAGCCCTCTTTCGATATGTTTATTAAGTAAATTAACACGTGATTTTTTTTCCTTTACAATTTTGTAAAAAAACACGTGCGGAATATTGTTACGTCTATAAAGGGCATTAAAATTGGCGAAAAGTGGAACCGCTTTGTGAGGAAAAACGCCTGTGTTTTTGTTATTGTCTTTTTAAGAGGTATCAAAAATAATTTACGGTTATTAAGAATATAGGTAATTCTTGTGGCCGATAACTTTCTGCCAATAAATATACGATAACCGTTCATCATTTTCAAATTTCGAATTGATATAAAACTAATAGGTACATATAAAAAAAGAACATGCAATATCTAGCTTTAGTCTTCAGCGGCTTTTTGCCTATTGTTATTCCAGACTACATTCTATATCTGTGTCAATTTTCATCAATATCCATTCAGTAGTTTCTACTTGAAAGAGTAAAAGCATTAATTGCTCATTTCTTACAAACTTTCGCGTTTATAATATTAGTACGATAACACAAGAACCAACAACAAAATGATTAGTAAACACCAAGTAAGTACAATTTCTCCCTTATACCTACAACATGGTTAATATTACCAACAGTGAACTACCTCAGCAAAAGCAATTCCAGTGTAAAGAAAAAGCTTAAGGAAAGTTATGTGGCGAACTTAAGACGGAAATAACTGTAAAAGTCTTTAGCTGCACTCAGATAGTTAAGTACAAACTGGATCCACCACAGGGAAAAACCCTAGAACTAAGTGTAAAGGAAAAACAAAACGTATTAAAACATGTTAAAGGCCCGGCAACGCGCCTGTGACTCCTCTGGTGTTTGCAGGTGTTCATGGGCGGCACTGATCACTTCATCATCATCATCATCATCAGCCTATAAGTGCCAACTGCTGAGCAAAGGCCTTTTCTCAAACGGAGAAGGCTTGAGCATTAATCACTACGCTTGCCCAATGCGGGTTGGTGATTTCAAACTTATAATTAGAAATTATAAGTCCAGGTTTCCTCACGATGTTTACCTTCACCGTATGTCAGTGGTGTCTGAATAATCATAGAAAGTACATATAACTCGGAAAAGTCACATTGGTGCTTGCCAGATTTCGAACCCACACCCTCTTGCATGAGAAGCGGGCTCTTTAACCCCCGGGCCACCACGACTAGTTTAAACTGATCAAATCAATCTGTTAAACTGATCACTTACCATCAGGTGATAAGTCTGCACATTAGCCTCATACTCTATAAAAAAACATATTAGTAGGGCTTCAGTTCAGAAACCGAATTGTAAAAACGGGAATACGTTCCTCCGTATTTCTATCTGTCTGACTGGCTGGCTCCCATATATCAAACCTCATTTTGGCACCTTTCGTGCGTGAGTGCGATTCGCAGCTGGCAAGTTTTTATTATTCTTTTACATTATTGACTATGAGGGCACTACACTGCTGCATCGTGTTTACCTGTTTAACTCGATCTATTAATAGACACGTTCCTTGCAAGTTGTTAAAAGTTAAATATTCTTTAAGGTACTGGTTTGTTTACAAATAAGAAACGAATACATACATGTTACCTATATTTAGTTGGCTTCATTAGTGTATGTAATTGAAATAGATTACTGGTTTGACTCCTTGGATGGAGTTTGATACTGATTGTTAATACCTGTTTAAAATGTTCAACGAAAGGTTTGATATTAGGTTAGATAAATACTCGTCGATATTGATATGCAGCATCTTCGTTCTGTAACATATGTCAAAATATATACGTTATTAAAAAAATAAATGTGAATAAACCTACACACCTACTTGAGTTAGGGATTGTTGCACTACCACAGATAGGATCCACTGCCGATGAAAGTACCTACAGTCGAAATTGTGCGCAAGGACCTCGGAACTACGGAACAAACGGGGTGGTTTTTGGTAGTTAACTCTCGCCCCACCCAGGTTGGCAACCAATTTGAACAATTAATAACCTCAAAAAACACTCTCATATATTATTACACGCATCAGTATGTCAAGTTATGTAGTAGCAAGCGAATACAAATTTAATTTATCAGGTACATATTTATGGGTTTTCCTGATAACTTTCATCTCTAGAATCAGGAGAGTGTGAACCCCTTTCAGAACGCCTGCCAAATTCCAGAAATCATACCAAACTTTAGCTCCATGGTCCGTAGTTTTTTTCTAGCAACCGATCCATTTATGAGGAAGGTAAATTTCCTATAGACACACCTGCATATAAATATAAATTTATATGTGTGACCTACGCAGGATTTTGGGATGCATTACTTTGGGTCTTACTTTTAAAGAAGTCTTTCCTCATTTTAATGCTAAAACTATCAAAATAAACGCAATAATAATTATAAATATATTTTAAATAATCTCAATGTAATTACGTCAGGAAATAATAAATTATGTATGCGGTTTACTTAACTTAAACATTAAGAGACCTACAAAACTTTTACAATGTCAATTTTTAACTTAAAAAAGCAATTTTTAACGTATTATTTATACATTTAGAGAATGTATTAATGAATCTAAATAATTAGTGGCTTAAACGAGAGGTCACAAGTATGCTTTTTGATTATAAAACGGTTTCAAGTTTATGTTGTGTTGTCACACCTAAAATAGTTAGGTTAGGTTATAGTACTACTCGAGACTGTCTAAATAATTGTCCTTGATATTTTTTTTTTTTGTCGGATTCTTAGGCAAATTATTAGTGTTACACTGTTGGAACCGACAAAATGATGTGTCAAAGAAATGAATTGTAAAACTGATTGAAAAAATGTAACCATGGAGTTTCTTACTCGTTCTTCTCCATAGGACGTTTTGGATTGACTAAATAGCTTCACTAGAGGACAGACTGACACAAATGTTTATTGATATTTATTTTCGTATGATGTTCAAAGGTATTCCTTAATGAAAAATGAAATAAAATTCATTCTTCTATGGTTGACTTGTTGAAATAAATGATTTGACTTATGATGTTTTAAAATTCAAGAGCTTCGCCATGATGAGTTAGAGTGGGTTGGCTTGACCGGAGTAATACTACGGCCTCACAGAAAACCGGCGTAAAACAACCACAGTGTTGTGTTTCGCTGTGTGAGTGAGGTTTCTGGAGTTCTAATCCCTTCCCCTTGGCGACCAGAGGATCATGCGCTTAGTTAAAATTTCTCAATCCAGAGCATGATCCAGATCTTCGCGTTCGCATTAATTAATTTGCTCTCAAAATTGTTTAATTTGTGGTGTATGGGATTTCGACTTTTAATCTGTACTTAACTTTGTTTTTTCTTACGGGACTAAATACTTTCGATAATACTTAAATCCGTCATCAGTCTTATTTGAAACCACGATGTACGGATCCAAAAATATTCTTAAGAACCATCATATTCAAATAATATTCTAACATTAGGTTTTTCACGTCGTTTGCCATGCTATCTATGGTAAAAGACTTTAGCAGCCCGTCCTGGATTCACTCATTAAAACGTGTCATTTCATGAGTTTTCCAGGAAATAAGATTTTTTTTATAAATCTTGCTTCCTTTGTAAATGTTAGTGTATGGAAGCTTTGCTTCAACACGATTGGCTCGACGGGAGTGATACCATACGTGTCTTTTTTACATGTTTTTAATACTTAGATAACAAGTGCGAGATCGCAAATATACATATATTTACTTCTTTTATTTATTTATGCTTTTATGTAGAAAAAATAACCCGAAGCTACCATTGTCTACCATCAACTTTTGGGTTAAGGAAATATGGTATGTATTATGTAAACAAAAAGGAAAAATTAAATAAAAGTATAACTATTATAATGTACTTATATTCATTTACTAAGTTATATAATTTATACAAAACAAAACAACTCAGTCGTATTCTTAATATAAATAAGTATTAAATTACATTAAGTTTATTGAGCATATTTTATTATTCACTTACATTCTTACTTATATTTATTAGCTCATTAACATGAGATGCACTAGCTATACCTTCTAGAATCATAACTATTTCTCATACTCATACTGCGGCGAACATTGTTTTCCGGGTACTTATAATACGGGTAATAAGCTCCTAACTTTCGATTGTAAATAAGGTATGGGGGCATCCCATAGCTGCCATAGCTCGCCTTTCCCCAACTCCGGCCATATGCGCTTCTCTTTGCCTTATTATGGTATTTGTCAATGTGTTCGTGATGTCTTGTGGATAGTTTAGATGTGTGCTTTTTGCTCTTCTTCGCTTCAGCTACGCTGGCTGATAGGATGGCGATGATCACTGTGAAAATTATGATCTGAAAACACAATAAGTACATATAAGTACCTTATTAAGAATATCCTACTAATATTATTAACTAGCAGCTCGCCCCTGCATCGCACGGGTCCAACTATCTCGCTATCAAAGCGTCACTTTTTCCAACTCTCCCCTCTACTTTTCTAAAATCTTCTTTCATAAGAACCTTCTCCTGACAATAATACACATAACAAAAAAAAAAAACAGTAGAATTGGTCCAGGCGTTATTGAGTTATGCGCTTACCATCACATTTTGCGATCCATTTTTATATATTAAGATATATAAGTAAATTGTAATGAGTATATTAGAGGAAGTTTGAAAGTGGCGCCAGTGACTGAAAAGTTGAAAGGGAACCGTTTGTCTTGGTATGGCCATGTGAAAAGGAGGGATGAAAAGCATGTAACAAAAAGAGTCATGAGTATAAATGTGGATGGATGGAGAGGGAGGGGGAGACCAAAGAAAATATGGATGGATTGTGTGAGAAGTGATATGGAAGACAGAGGAGTTAGCGATAGCGTGACGAGTGACAGGACAGAATGGAAGAAAAAAACATATTGCGCCGACTCCAAATAAAACGGGACAAGGGCTGATATAGATAGGACAAGATGTTGATATAGATGCGATTTTTTGTGATATTGGATGGATGTATGTTTGTTACTATTTTACGCAAAAACGGCTGGACCGTTTTGTCTGAAATTTGGTATGTAGATAGGTGATACCCTGGATGTGTTACATAGATTTTTCATTATCATAGCACGCGATCGAAGCTGCGAGCGGAACTAAGTATATATTATTGTTTTTTTACTGCCATGGCTGAGAGCTTGAACTTTAAGGTCACCGCTGGGATTGTGGTTAAACAGAGTGGCTTTTAATCAGTGAAAGACAGACAATCTCGGTGGACCAAGGGTGTGCTAAGTAAATTATTGATTTTCATGTATATACAATATACATAACCACAGATTACTATAACTAGTCAGAGATACATAGTGGTATGTGTACCTATCCACTCTATGTTTAGAATAGGTTATTTTTACGCCAGGGTTTTTACAATGAGATAAATCGTTCAAATTTCATCGCCCTTTTGATAAAGAAATAGAATCGCCAGGAAAGCTCGAAAAAGGCTTGCAGCTATTATAGGTAAATGTAGTTCGGTACTACGTATGTACGTCTATTGTTAAAAAATATAAAATACTTGATATTTTAGACGTAATATAACATACTCGCAATACTTGATCAAAATAAACGAGCTCATTATAGGTACCTATATCCAGTTTAAGACAAGTATTTTTTGAAAATAAGGAAAAATCTTACCTTTATCAAAAGACGTTTGAAGTTATCCATGTCTTTGTATTTTTTTTTTAATTTTAGTGTCACTTTCAAAGTACGCAGTACATTACTGATATTCTTTACTCTCACGTACTGTCTTATGTAGCGAAATGCCTTGAACTTGACTTTCTTTTTTATACCCATTCGAATAGAATTAGGTTATATGCGGCACAGAGGCATTAGAGTCGACTTATTTATATATATTTTATTGCATCATACAACGCACATAAAATGTGTAAGTCTCTAGTTTTTTTTGTGTGGTGAAAATCATCAAATGAATTTTTTCACCAAAGGTATGGCTAGAGGGAGTGTCAGACTCAACTAAAAACCTCCCGTTCCACGATAAAGTACCCAGGTACCTTATTGCGCTTGACCCGCAGCCCTAGCTAGAACAACCCTGCTAGGGTACACTGGCACACACTTTTTTATAGTAGGATTTTGGTTATAGGCGACAATTAACAAAGTCGTGAAAATATAAGTCGATTCATAATTAGCAAGACAATTCAGACAAATGAGTCTGGAAGAATCATGCTTCGGCACGAATGGGCCGGCTCGACCAGAGTGATACCACGGTCTCATAGAAAACCGGCGTGAGATAACACGCCGTGTGTTCGACATGTGAGTGAGGTTACCGGAGATACAATTCTTCCCCTCATTCGCAATCCTCAAATTAATCCACACGAGGTCGGCAACGCACCTGGAGTAACCCTTTTGGTATTACGAGTGTCCATGGGCGGCGTTGACAACTCACCACCAGGTAATCCGTCCGTTCGTTTGCCGACCTATGACATAATAAAAATAAGATTTTAAAAGAAAAAAAGTTATTTTTTAGGCTTACAAAGACTCACAGCCAAAATATTTTTACTAATACATCGACTCCATAGACGGACGTCGTAGCGATGTCCTTTGCTCACTCAATTAGCATATATGTGTGTGTTTCATGACTGACACACTGACTTACTCCACAACTGAACACTTAACTGACATCATTATTAAGACAAACATGAAACATACTCTCACTTTGGTAGCGTATCAACCATTCGCAAGCCATAACGTATAACCATAGCAAGAAGCATTTGTCAAGTAGGTACTATCGAGTTTGAGTAAATATTCACTTTGTCGATTAAAACTGATTTGTACTTCAAAACACCCAAGCCCTTAACCTGTCGATCTTTAAATAATAATTATTTCTTTTAGCTTCTGTCATATTCACATATACATTTTTTTTGTGAGGGGATAATCAAAAATGACTTCTCGCCCAGCGTGAGGCGAGAGGGAGTGTCAGACTCTTACTGACTAAAATGCCCCGTTCCTTCTCCTGTTTTAGGCCGAGGCCGCGGTACCTAATTGCGCTAGTCCTGCAACCCCACCTAAACATCGGCTCTGTAGGATATTCATATACATCTAGCCATATATTATAAGTTTTTTAAGATGATTTTAACGTACGAAATATGTGTGCCTACGACAATGTTCGACCAGATTTCATTCGTTAGATGATGAAATTTCGTCCTACATAATTCCAGTAGGCATACCGCATTGGCGTCTTCGCATTGAGTTGAAAATCAAAACTAAAATTGTATTTGGCCACAAAAAGTTTTGTACGTGTTCGAAGATTTTATGGAGAAACTAAAATAACGATATTGCATCATCATCATCATCTTCCTGCCCTTGTCCCGTTTTATTTGGGGTCGGCGCAATATGTTTTTTTCTTCCATTCTGTCCTGTCACTCGTCACGCTACCGCTAACTCCTCTGTCTTCCATATCACTTCTCACACAATCCATCCATATTTTCTTTGGTCTCCCCCTGCCTCTCCATCCATCCACATTTATACACATGACTTTTTTTGTTACATGCTTTTCATCCCTCCTTTTCACATGGCCATACCAAGACAAACGGTTCCCTTTCAACTTTTCAGTCACTGGCGCCACTTTCAAACTTCCTCTAATGTATATTAGTCGTCATTTCTCACTTTATCCAATCTCGTCACACCACACATCCATCTCAGCATTCTCATCTCTGCTACATGCAATCGCTTTTCATCCGTCTTTTTCAGAGCCCAACATTCTGACCCATACAGTAGGACAGGCCTTATCACTGACTTGTAGATTTTACCCTTCAACCTGAGGGGCATCCGTGGGTCGCAAGTTGTTCCAGTGACCTGTCGCCATTTCATCCATCCTGAGTTGATCCGATGTGCCACGTCTCGGTCTATCTCACCATTTCCTCGGATAAGCGAGCCAAGGTACCGAAAATCAGAACAGGTTGGTATGGGCGTTCCGGCGAGAGCTATGGGCACAGAACTAGAGAGACCGCCAAAATCGCAGAACAAGTACTCTGTTTTAGTTCTGCTCAATTTTAGGCCAACACTCTCCAGTCTTTGCCACCACACCTCCAATCTGCTCTGGACCTATAGGGCACTCTCGGCAACCAGCACAATATCATCGGCAAACAGCATACACCAGGGAGCCTCTTCCTTAATGTCCGACGTCAGAGCGTCCATTATTATCAGGAAGAGGTAAGGGCTGAGAGCCGACCCCTGGTGTAAACCGACAGCCACATTGAACTTGCTAGTGGTGCCCGCTGCAGACCGGACTTGTGTACTGCAGCGACTATACATTGATCGGATCAACTGCACATACTTCCCAGGCACACCTTTCTCCTTAAGGGCCCACCACAGAACCTCACGAGGTACCCGGTCGTATGCCTTTTCGAGGTCAACGAATACCATGTGCAAGTTTTTATGTGCACCTCTGTATTTTTCGCACAACTGGCGTATAGCAAATATGGCATCCGTTGTACTACGACCAGGCATAATAACGATATTGATTGATTGATAAAATAACGATATTGCATTTCTCGAAAAATTTGTACCCTGTCCTGTGAGGACCACAAATGTAACTAAAGGTTGATTTTTCAATGGTTAGATCAAGGTTATTTGCGGAATAATTATAATGCTGTCGCATCAGAATGTTTGTAAGACAGTGACAGCAACAATTTTATTCCTCAGATTACATTTATCTGACTAAATGTACTATACCAACTTTAAACTCTGCTTACTCCTAGGGAAATTACAGACGTGATGTTAAGTAATGTAACCATAATCATTACTTATGTTACATAATAATTAATCTACTATAACGACAATGCTGGGTCATTAAAAACCCGTCCCTAAATAACAAACTTAAAAAATAAGTTTTAATGAATTAGTACAATTAGTAAATGTATTTTTTGCAACAACTATTAATGTATACCTACTATAAAACTACCATAATAGCAAATTGATCGTCAGTTGGAAACTACACCATCGACATATAGACTACCATTCCCAGTAAAAAAAAAAAACAAAATGCATTTCAAATTATTCATATTAGTGGTAAGTTATTTTTAATATTAAAAATGTGAAAGTAACTGTCTGTCTGTCTTTTCTTCACTCCAAAACTACTGAACCAATTTCTGTGAAATTTGGTACAGACATAGTTTGGAACTCGAGAACGGACATAGAATAGTTTTTATACCAAAAATCTGCAGATTTTTGGTATAAAAGATTAGATTTTTTTTAAAGATTAAATTAGATTCCACGCGAACGAAGTCGCGGGCAAAAGCTAATTAATTATAAAGAGGAAAAATTTGTAATTTTGTATGTGGGGGCAATCATTGGAACTATTGGTCTGACACTCTTGTCTCACCCCCGGCGGGAGAAGTCATTTCATGATTTTCTCAAAATCTTTCATGTATTTGACAAAAATAACCACAACCCCGTTAGTACTAATAATGGGCTTTGTTTGTGTTTTTTTTTGTGAGGGAAAATCATCCTATGACTTCTCCCGCCCAGTGCCGGGCGGGAGGTAGTGTCAGACTCTGACTGACTAAACCCCCCGTTCCTTCTCCTGCTCCGGGCCGAGGTGGCGGTACCTCATTGCGTTTGTTTACCCCGCAACCTCAGCTGAACATCAGCCCTATAGGGCCCCGTCTGTGGTGGTCTATTGGCTCTTTGAGATAAAACAGCCAAACACCTAATATACCAACTTTACATTCACAGGTAACATGCTTCTCCAGCTTAGTACCTTCAGCGCTAGCCTTCCACTTGTTGGCTGCAAAAGCAGCAGCATCAGATGCAGCCCAAGAGATTGCAGCTATAAGCATGGACACTTTGTCAACTAAAAAAGCAGTTCTGGCGAAAGCAGCTGCCGACATGATCTCTGTCATTGCACAAGGAATTGGTTCCAAAAGTAAGTTCTTCTTCTTAAAGTCTCTACAACTTCTTCTGGTCTTTTTTAAAGGTTAATATCGAGGGTGTTTCACCTACCCAGGATAGGGCGAGAGTTCTTTTTCTTGGTTCAAGCCGGGGCCACTCTATAAATCTAAGTGGCTCTACCTGTGGTGGTCTAATAGTTTATTGGGGCGTCCGATTCTTTTTTGGGTTGGCAAATGTTTATCTTTTAGTACGTCTCAATGTCAATATTTTATTTTGAACGACTACTAGTATGTCCTCTTACTCCACGCTGTCATTAAATTAAAATTCTGATAAATCTTTCTTTCTTCTTTATTATTCAGATTAATGTTTAAAAGAACAACGTAAACCGTGCTCGTTCTTCATAGAAATGTGCATAAAGCATTTTAATTAATTGATGAATATTTATTTATTTCTAGGTTCAATAATCGCAACAGCAGCGGCGTCCATGGCAGGAGCGGTGCTCAACGGCACCTTATCTATTGGGGCTGCACTCGCTAGAGCCGGCTTCAATATAATAGCAGCTAAGTTAAGCAGCGCGCCAACCGTAGTTGTTGAATCTCCTTCCATAGTTGTCAAGCCGCCTGTTATTGAGGAAACCATTGTCGAGGAGGTGGTCCAACCCCCTCAACCTCCAGCACTGGTTGAATGTGATAAACCAAAAGTGAGTATTGATAGATATTTTTATTTAGTTCCGTTTAGGGCGGGATATTATTTGATGGTTTTCCTCAAGAAGAGGAGTCTTTTTGTGTGATAAGAGAGACATGATGCAATTTCAACATTATCGCTGATCTATTAAGTACAAATTAGCTTAAACACTCGGCCGAAGAAGACCTTAAAAATATCGATTCGCGTAAATTAATTAGTAATATTAGCATAATAGTTTCTCACATCATGAGGAAGGACGAATCCGCTGTACCTACTTATGTTGAGGGAAATCGGGCGGTATGAAAACTGTGATAAATTTTGTTCGTTTGGGACTAACGATCAGACTATATTTTTTTTTTATATATTTAAAAATACCTTCATTTACTTGAATGCCATAGTTTTCATGAAACAATGTATTTAAATCAAATACCATAGTAATTTCTGAAAAATTAGGTAGAAAATTTAAAATTAAGTTTGCCATCGAATCACAGTTGTGCTTGTTTCGGCATTACTTTTCAGAGTAGTCAGACAGAAAATTACGGCTTTATGTAGTTTTTTGTATATATTTATAATTTTGACGTGTAAAAGTGTTGTTATATGGCCTATTTACAAAAAAAATACATAATGACTAATCTTGATACAGAATCTAGCGATTGATGAAGACTTTTCGTTTTGTACTAAAGCTCTTAAATTCATTCATTATATCATTATGAGATTTTACATTGAGATTTTATTGTTAAGAGTTTAAATTTGTATACCCAAACTATATGGAGCACAAAACTAGCTTGAATCCCTCTTTAGTTCTGAATAATATCAGGAAATATATTGAAAATCATGACTTACGTAAGTCAACTAAGAAAAGCTCTACTAGTTTCAAGTCACACTGGGACTCTTATTCATAAGCCAGACTATTATTAACAAGTAGCGTAGTATTGTCAATAACCTTAGTACATAAGCATATCTTACACTGGTTATTAAACAAAAAACACCACAGAGTCTGAAATAGTAAACAGATCAAAACCAAAGGTAATATTTTTTTTCTATAATTTTCAGGTTGTCGAAGTGCCCTACCCATACAGGATTACACCATTCGGTTCTGTGTCAGTGGACGTCAAGCCTAAGGTTGTTGACCTCTCACCACCACCACGGGTCTCTGAATGGACCGTCGAAGATAGACCGGCTTTTGAAATCATTGCTCCTGCCGACTCTCCTTATATTTACGAGTAAGTTTTATTTTTAGACCTCTTTTGTAGTGAAATAAAAATGTGGCATGCATCTGTTCGTCTACATGTTTGCCTTGCATGCCACTAAAAGTACCTAACTACATATACTTAAGTATGTGGGTAAAAAAATAAGTAAAATGAAAATGAAATTATATTACAGGCTACATTGTAAAGTTATTACAAAGTAGATTAAGAACTCGAGCCTAAAATGAACGAAGCTTATAATGCTTATTTTTTTTTCTACTACAACAATAATGATCTATAGTAATATTATAAAGAGGTCAAATTTGTAAGTTTGTATGTTTGTAAGTTTTTTATGTAGGGGGTAATCTTTGGAAGCGCTGGCCGGATTTCCAAAATTCTTTCACTGATAGAAAGCTACAATGTTCTTGAATGCTATAGGCTATAAAACATCACGCTACGATTAAATGGCGCCGAGCTGCGGGTAAAACTGCGCGAGAGTAGCTAGTTAGTAATAATTTGGAATAGATTATGTTGTATGGCTTATTCACTTATACTCGAATGGTTAACCAAAACGTTCACCTAACTAAAAGTATTTATTATTTTATTTGTGTTTTGCAGAGTTGTTCCAAATGCTTGGACACTAGATTGAAACTTTCAAGGAAATAAAGAAGACAAAAAGGGGCCAGCTTCAAGCATAAGAATCTTGTTACAAATAAAGACTGACAATTAAAAGTACAATTTTTTTTAATTCATACTGTATTTGTTTTGATTATTATCTCTTTTTTCCATATACTCAGGCCTGCCGCTTATTGTGATTTATGGCTCTTAATTTTACCACTGTCACTCACGATGCACTCACTGAAACTGTTCATGTGACAATAATCAAACCAAACCATAACCAAACCAAACTATAGTAATCAAGTATAGGGCAATAACGCCGCAAATATTAGTCATCGTATTGTTACATCCCTGTAGTGAGCGCACTGAAGATACAGGAGATCTTCATTGCACTCAACTTAGTGACTAAAAGTCGCGGTGATGATCCTTATCAGAGACGGTTCTGATCAGCAGTATCTGTAATCTTTTTCCATTCTCTTTAGTCAAACCTCCACGCTCTCCTTACAAAATACATCATCCTTTTTAAATATCCTTTTCCTTCCTCTTGATCCAAATTCCAGAGCACTCGCCTTCTCCAGGGTTAGAAGAAACCTGTCAATTCGTCTTAGAAGTTCTAACACCGTTTATTTGCCAGCCTATCAAATTACAGCTTCATGAATATTGAAAAAGATTCATCATCATCGGCCTATAAGTACTTACTACTGAACAAAGGCCTCTTTTCACGAGTCATTAATGACAAGCCCGTAGTGAGCTACCGGCGGCGTGTCAATTTTAAATTTGTAAAATATTCGAAATTTTAAGTCTAAGCTTTCTTGCTATATTTTCCATCACGGTAAACGCAACGAAAATTACCATTCTAAAACTTACGTAAATTAATTTATCAAATCTTAACACGTTAAGCGCCATGGGGGTCACCGGTGACCTCCGTTAGCGGAGGATTCGCCTTCAACATTTTCCATCGGCAGTCAAAGGCTTAACAGCTTATAAGAGCTGCTGAATCGCTACCCATTACATCCGTTCTCCATTATTAAATAAGGTCAGCAATCACACACGAACATGGAATCTTTCAAAGCTAAACCATATTGATTTATTACCCAGTGCCCACCCAAACAGCAAATTAATTAATCGTTCTGTAAAATCGTGTTACTCAAACAGAATACAAATGACACGCAACTGGTGAACAACGCGACGACTGACTTTTACAAGCACTATTTTTTTTTGTTCATGTAGTTTGTACGTAATCCTAGTATGCTGTTCGACATGTTACCTATGCCACCAAAGAGACAGGTCAGCGTGAAAAAAAAAACAAATTCAAGATGGCTGCTGCAAAAAGAATGCAATAATTTAAACATGTTTTATTAGTATTGTGATTGAATAATCGGACATTTACATGCAGTAACGAATGATTTAGGCATTTTCTATTTACAATCTTATGTTAATTAGACCTCTTGACACGTAAATTGGTTTTTGTTTAATTACTCATTGCACAAGATTGTAATGTTTTCTGATTCGGCGCAGGAAAGGATGTGGTCGCAATCCTTAGTTTCTACTGTACCTATCTGCAGTGAAGCAACCGTTTCTATCAGTTGTTGCTGTTCAAACAAAAGTAAAACTTGTTTGCAGTATGAATATGTATGCGAATGCAATGACTGAGTTAGTATTCGAGGATAAAAACTAAGTCTATGTGTCAATAGTATTCAGATGTAAGATGATATTAAATTAATTGGCCAAAGTGACGTTTAATTTTTTATTTATATTACGGAACTTGACCCGTTAAGTTAGTTTTTAGGCTTTTTGGAGAGCACTAGTTACTCTTTAAAACATGGCCAAAAAGCCAAAAATGTTTTTGTTTTCTCCTATTAGTGCTTAAAAAAAATACCTACCCACAGTCACTTAAGTTTGTCTAGATCTAGTCACACGAAACAAGTGCACACAATAGAAGCGCTATGCCTGTACAAGGGCTGCGCGCACGCATCCGACATGGTCTGATATCTCCCGCAGTTTGCTTCGATTGTGTACAATATTTACCAACAACGCATGTTCGCCGATTAGTTTTTACCCAAGTACCTAATGATATTCAAATGGGGCGGCATCGACCAACTGTTTAGCATTGTTAATTCGATGTTAATAATTTTCGATGCAGTATAAAAGTGCACGCAATTTGTACAGACCACAACAATTACAGTTCACAGTCCAATTTGGTAGTATCGTAGCGAGCAGCGAAACAATAACTATAACGATGTCTCGACTCACGGTAAGATGAGGCATCTCATGTCAGTGCTCCTAAAACCATGAGTGTTTATTTGTTATTTAGTGCAAAGAAACCTGTAGGATGACAGTGCTGTTGACAACAAAAACAATATTTGTTAATGAAAGTTATGTGTTTCAGATTTTCTTTGTTATCGCTGTGGCGTACGGAGTCGTTGCAGACGGTAAGAAGCGTCCCAGTTATTTTGTGTAGTTTCTCTTATGGAAGTACTTATTTAACCATTGAACTTTATTTATGCAGGTAAAGTAGCAGACTCACGTGCCGAGCAATCCGGCATCATCTCGCCTGTGATTGCGCACGGCGGTCTCGGATATGGCGGTTACGCCGGTGGACTCGCCGGCGCTGGCCTCGCAGGCGCCGCGCTCGCTGGAGGCGCTGGTCTCATCGGTGGCCCTGCAGTCATTGCTGGTGGCCCAGCTTTCGGATCTGGTGCAGCATTGAACAACGCAGCAGCCGTTGGTGCAGCTCAACTGAGCGCCATCCAGAACGCACAAGCTGTCCAAGCTGCACAGATCGCTAACTCAGCTGCTGCTGCCATCCAAGGAGCGCGTGTCACTGAGGCAGCCGCCCGAGCTGGACAGGCTCACGCTATCAACAACGCTGCCGCTTTAGACGCAGCCCGTGTCGCTAACATCCAGCGCGCTCAGGCCGCGGCTTGGGAGAACGCCAGAGCCGCAGAAGCCGCCAGACGTGCTGGTGCTGGAGCTGCTCTGGAAGCTGCACGAGCTGCCGAGGCTGCGCGTTTGGCTGATGCCGCGCGTGTCCAAGCCATCGCTATCGCCAACACTCGCGCTGTAGAAGCCGCCCGTATCGCCAACGCTGCTCGTGCTCAGGCCGCCGCGGTCGCCACCAGCGCTGCGCAGGCGCAGGCTGTAGCTGACGCTGTCGCTAGAAACGCCCAGGACGGCGCTTTGTTGTTGGGCGGTGGTGGCGGTCTCGTCGGAGGCGGTGCCGTGCTCGCCGCGCCCGCTGTCGCTGTCGGAGGACTCGGAGGCTACGGACTTGGACTCGGAGGTCTCGGCGGTCTCGGCTACGCGACTGGCTACGGCTACGGTGCAGGTTACGGAGGTCTTGGCTACGGAGCTGGAAAACTGATCCACCACTAGAGCAGTGAATCGACCCAGAGATTATAATACCCTATTGTCATAGACAAACAGATAATATCTACATCCATTTCGCATTCTTCCATAGAAATGGTTAGCGGCAGATCTTACGAGATTTTGGACTGATCAACGTCATGTAAATATTTAACAATTGGCAAGAAGTCTGTCTTATAATTAAATGTTAGCATACACCGATTGTCTTTTTTCATTGCACCGGGCCATATGGTGGAAGATTGCAAGTCTTTTATCCTATCTAGCACCAACAAAACTTTATTTGGTCAAACAAATGCTCAACATTCCCACTATCCACTCACTCTCTATACAACACCACAATGCATTTAAGTCGGATCTTCCTCCTTGATAATATAAAGCACTATAAAGTTCACAGATATTATATTTTATTTAGAAATGTGTTCTTTATTTCCATAACTATCACTGAACTCGTAGAATATACCCAGTCTAAAAAAAATGCGATGTGGTAGTTTACTAAACGTAGGTAATTACATATTTACTAACCTATCAATAAAAAAAAAATATCTGTCGTGTAAGTCCTGGAAAATTTTCATATAAAAGCTAATTACATGTAAACTATTGTTTGTTACAAATTACCCTACCCCGGCTTCGCACGGGTGCAATACTGATACTAAATTGATCTATTATTTAATTAATGTAATTACACATATAAACATTCCTCTTCATCACTCTATCTATTAAAACAACAGCATTAAAATCCGTTGCGTATTTTTCAGTATTTAAGCATACATAGGCAATAATAATAAGCATACATACATAGGCATACAGGGACAGATAAAGCGACTTTGTTTTATACTATTTAGTGATTTGTTAAATGGTTAGATTGTGATCTTAGACCACACATATATATGTATTATGAAGATACGAGACAAATGTGTAGTCAAGTACACATTTGTCTCGTAGTAGTCAAGTAAAAGCCTGAAGCCATTTACGCAGTAAATTGAACTCGAATTAACTAGGAACAATATCCCTACAAAACATTATTGCCGTCAACATCCCTCGGAAGGACGCTTCCGTTCGGTGTTTTCCACACGCTTCATTTAGTTTTTATAAAATTTTTCACAATCCTCAAGTTGAGCTGACGAAACGGCTGATATCCAGAACAAATGAAGAAATCTTGTTTATCTTGTTTCAATTATTTATTTATTGTAGACTAGTTGACCTGGCAACCATCGTACTGCCTAATAGGCAATGGATACTTATTTCACACTTTTCCAGGACTATAACAGATATTTCAAGAAAAATGAACCAAATCGGACCAGCCATTCTCGAGTTTTAGCGAGACTGACTAACAGCTATTTCTTTTTTTATATAAGATTAGCTGACACGGCACACCCCGTACCGCCTCAAATATAACAAAGTAGGTATATGTTGTGACCTTTTTAACCCTGAAATTCAACGAATATTTTATGACCAAAATTATCCAAAAACAGACCAGCCGTTCTCCAGTTTTAGAGAAAAATAACGAACAGCGTCATTTTTACATATAGATAAGAAGATTACAATCGTCCACTCGTCAGCGTCATTTTTAGACATTTTTAACAGTCCATCTGTCTCTCAGTAGAAACATGATTTTTGTAAAAAGAAATAAAGAAAAGCCGTGATGTTATATGGATGTTTAATTATAGACCAAGGTACATATTTCGCAGTATCAGCATAGCCACCAAAAGTAGGTTTATGCAAACGCTGGTACTCCCATTCTTCACTTATATAGCAGATACATCGACGTTTCCTAAATAAATTGGAAAACAGGAGATGTATACTCTAGAGAAACTGTACTAAATTACGTGTACCACAAAGGTATAACCTAGTTATCAACGTCTTAAATAAATATCTAGCTGTTTTTTTACATAGACATGTGTTTTGTAATAAATTGGATGAATAGTATCATTTTAGAACGAATTTTTTGAATTTAATGTCATTCTTATTTATTTTCTGTGAAATGAATTCATATGGTTAGTATACATTAAGTTATAAACTATGGGTAGTCGTTAAAACTACTAGTAAGAGTAAAACTAATATTTTATACAGTAACATTGAGACGTATCCAATGCTCCAGTATCGACATCTCACCTGTCTGCTATAGTCTTCATGATCTTGTTGGGGTTAACGCGTACCCTGTGCAAGATGGAGACGCAACGCGTTCGTATGATGGAATCTGTGAACATGCCAGATGCACTACAGTAGCGCGGAAGTCCCACCAGCACCTGGAATGCGTTATTGTATTGAATGCATAGAGCGTTGTATACCCTTCGCGTGTAGTTGACCCACAGACCGCATGTATGACTGGCAGTAAGCTTTTAATAAAATTACCTTAACATCAGTCGAATATTTTGATATATTTTTTTAAAGAAACACTGTCCCTCACTATGATTTTCTCCTGTGTCGTGGGTGCGTTTATATAGACACATATTCACATACTCAAGCCACTCAAATCCGAAACAATATTTTGTGAATCAGACAAAGTGATGTCACAGAAGCCAGTCCTCCGGCCGCTGTGTCAACCGTGCAGTCAAATTTATTATTATAGCAGTGGACAGCCAAAGCCCTTTGCTCACGCTCAATATCTATCCTATATCGTCGAAAATCCAGTCACCCAGACACTTGAATGATATGATTTGGTCAAGAATACCTACTGCCACAAAGATTGAGCGGTGTTGCAATGAGCTATGGTTTAGTGCCTGCTTTAAATACTAATAATACATTTTTTTAAGATTGTACCTGAGCCCATAGGCCTCTGCCTGAATGCTTAATGTAATTCCCTCTTTAGTTAGAAATAGCAAGGTTATACAATAGACTATACAAAATTTATTTTTTTAAATCTAATACTGGAAAAGTAACTATTATAAGCCATAATAAATTTATTGGAAATAACGACCTACCCACGTTGATTAACTGAGAAAACTCAGTTGGCTGTGCGACGTCGCTTATATCATACATAATTATTACGCTAAAGTTATAATTATAAGATAATAGTTAAATAGCTATTCCCACACTGTTCCTCTACTAGGTTCCAATTGGTTATACCGTGATGTTAAGGTAATAACCTACATAGTACTCTTTGACAAATGTACTCAATCCGAACCAGTAGTTTTGCAGATTAGCGCATACTAGCAAACGTACAAACAAACAAAATCTTAACCTCTTCTTACAAAATATCAACATTTATGTAGGTACACGTTAGTTTCTTTCTCCTGTACTTTTAAGGGATTCTGTGTCTCGTAGGCAAAACATTGCTACGTTTATCATGTCAGGCACTATGATTATAACATTTAATAAACTTTATTCGTACATTCATACTTATACATAGCAAAGCAATTTTATAGTTTATTACTCGTATGGTTGGTACAAGTGTGAAATGTTGGTGAATACCGCTGTGGCGCATTGAGTACCGGATCGAACGGTAGGCGAGGGTCTTAGGAGGAGCCGGGGGTGGTAATCTACAATACACACGTGTATCATACGAGGTTTTTCAACACACTTCCGAATAAAATAATTCTTACATAAATAGAACTCTATTACTATATATGAAAAAAGAACTCTATTACTCAATAGTTACAGTTTGATAATAGGTGTCATTATGTGCCTAATTGCCGTAGGATAAGAGCCATTTTATGAGGAAGTGTCTTAAAAAAAATATAATTTAACTAACACATTCGTTTTCCGTGTATGAAATGTGAATACAGAGGATTCTGAGGACACGGCGTAGCTCAACCCAAGCAGGGCTCAACACATCGCCGTATGCTCCACCGTGTCCTCCGAATTTTGAATAACTGATTTTTTATGGAATAGGTGGAAAAAGATCAGACGGATCATCTGATGGTGAGTGTTATTAGTTAAGTGATCGGTGCCATATGGACACCTGCAGCACCAGGGGGGTCACAGGCGCGTTGCAAGATTTATTATAAGGATTCCGCTCGATTCTTGACAGTTTTAAGGTCGTATCGGTTCGGGAATACCGCCGCCGGAAGATCATTCCGAAGTTCGGCTGATGGGCAGAAAGTTTCGCGTAAATCGCACAGTAAAGTTGTTGACTGCCATCCATCTATGTGATAGGGATGAAGACGCGTAGAATGATGGCGAAAAGATGCGGTGGGGAGAGTCTAACCGCTCCGAGATAACAGGGTCACAGTTAACGATTCGGTCAGTTCGTCGCTGAATGCGTTCCAGAAAAGAAGCTGGTACTGGGGACCAAAGTTGAGCACAGTATTCCATATGGGGCCGAATTTGCGCCTTGTTAAGTAGTAGGCGTATTTAGATGATTACATGAAAGAAGTTTATAGTTTAACAATACGAAAAATCTTAGCTCAAATGATAAAACTACTTTGTTTTTTATATGTAGTGAGATTGGTGGCAAATGACTATCTCTATTATAGTCGCAACATCATAAGTGTTGCAAGTGCGTTGCTAGCTTTATAGGGATAAGGAGTTTTAGGAATTAAGGGTTTCGGGTAAGGATTTCAGTAGTGGCTTCAGAACTGGGCTGCCGGTAACCTAAGTCACACGGCGAACACAATATTATATTTATTTCACGATAGTTTTCTGTGAGGCTGGGGTATCACTCCGGTTGTACCGATCCAATCGTGCCGAAGCATGGCTTTCTCACACTTGAAACTCGCTAAATGCTTGAAAGTCAGAAACTCACCCATCTCTCATGATCGAAGTAAAACGATTGCCTGTAAACATATTACGCTCGTTCTGAGACACGAACCAAAACGCCTTGATCATTCGTGTTACATTTTGACAATACTAATTACTAATGAACTGTCAAAACCACATAATACTTGTACACGGATTAGTTTTTACTCAAGTACCTAATGATATTTAAATGGGGCGGCTTCGATCAACTGTTTAGAATTGTTAATTAATTTGCAGTGCAGTATAAAAGTGCACGCGATTCCTAGTAACCACAACAATAACAGTTCAGAGCTCCTTGGTGGTGTGGTGAACAGCGCAATAATACATTACTTGACAATGTCCCGACTTACGGTAAGATTGCCTTAAATGTGGGAGTTTTTTATCGACTGGAAAAAGTCTTCAAATTTCTGCTGTACTTACAGACTTTTACTGACTTAAACCATACCGTTCCAGCTCGAAGACAGGGAACGTTTTTGCGAAATTGGAATTCTTATTTATGTTTTCAAATGCAAAAGTAATAATTCTTGGTGAAGTACATATTCCCATGGATATTCCCAGATTTAAGAAAGTAGCCGTCGCGTCGTAGGTACTCGTAGTCCGAGAATGGCTGAAAGCCCAGAATGTTTAATCTAGCCTCTTAGCTATTATGTTTGGAAGGAAATCGTTACTAAGGAAAAGGTTATATAATCTTAAAATGTCTCTGGGTCAATAGGATTTTTTTCCAAAAAGGTCGTTATACACAGGATTGCAACAATAGTTTACTGCAACAGTGATATTGGTACTAGTTGCATGTACCTAATTGTAGTTAATTCATTTCAGATTTTCTTTGTTATCGCTGTGGCGTACGAAGTCATCGCAGATGGTAAGTGGGAAATATAATTATCAGATCTCTTGCCGCTTTCGGAATCAATTATATAATAATGTACTTGCAAATTACAAATAAATGTTATTTGTATTCGTTTAAGTCACTTAAACCTACTTCTGGAATACATTAGCCAAAGTTCAGCTAGAGGACTTTTTGTATATATGTATGATAAAAATGATGATGATGATAAAATCTAATCTTCTCAGGGAAAGCCACAGATTCCCGAGCAGAGCAGACTGGGTTTATCTCTCCAGTGATCGCAACTGGCAACCTTGGACTTGCGGGCGCGGCGGTAGCTGGAGGCGCAGGCATCATCAGTGGTCCCGCTATCGTAGCAGCTGGACCTGCAGTAGTTGCCGGAGGTCCCGTGATCGGATCTGGTGCTGCACTAAACAACGCGGCAGCCGTTGGGGCAGCTCAATTAAGCGCTATCCAGAATGCACAAGCTGTTCAAGCCGCACAGATCGCTAACTCAGCTGCTGCTGCCATCCAAGAAGCGCGTGCTACTGAAGCAGCTGCCCGCGCTGGACAAGCACAAGCCATGAACAACGCTGCCGCCTTGAATGCTGCCCGTGTCGCTAACATCCAGCGCGCTCAGGCCGCGGCTTGGGAGAACGCGAGAGCCACAGAGGCCGCTAGACGTGCTGGTGCTGGAGCTGCGTTGGAGGCGGCACGAGCTGCAGAAGCAGGGCGCGTGGCCGAAGCCGCGCGTGTTCAAGCCATCGCTATTGCCAATACTCGTAACGTAGAAGCCGCTCGCATTGCCAACGCTGCCCGTGCTCAGGCCGCCGCTGTCGCAAACAGCGCCGCTCAGGCGCAAGCTGTAGCTGACACAGTCGCCAGGACTGCTCATGATGGAGCCTTGTTGCTGGGCGGTGGCTCCGTACTGGCCGCGCCCGCTGTCGCAGTCGGAGGACTCGGTGGCTACGGACTTGGAGGTGCAGGGAAGCTCATCCACCACTAAGTAGTGAATAAATAACATGTATCATTGCAACAAACAGATAATATCTACATCCATTTCGTATTCTTGTATAGAAATGGTAAACCGCAGATCTTCTGAGATTTATGACTGATCGACATGTACCTGAGTAAAACATGACTATAGTGTGTCTCATTAAATGGTGTACATAGAAATTTACTTTTATTTATTACTAGCCATCCACCAATGCTTCGTACAGGTATTTGATTACCTAAGTAACACAAAAAAGGGGACACTATCCTAACCTTACTTTCTCCTATCACTTTCCAAAAAAATCCTTTCTTTTCGTGACAATCTTTCCGGACAGTGGCAAACACATCAAAAATATAATTGACAATTGATCGAGACGTTCTTGAGCAATATTATTTATATATACGAGTATTGTATAAGTCTCCTAAATTAAATCTAGAATCTTCGTTTTCTTTTAATTGATCTTGAAAAGATTTAGGACACAAGATGTGTTTCTTTTTCATTCTTCCAAATTAGACTTCATCCTATGAAAAACTCCTTTCTCCTTCATAACATTTCACATATTCGGCCAACTAAATACTTGATTAATAATGAAACGGTTTTATAATATTACTTTTTATTGTATACATTAAAATCGTGTCTCCAGAAACCAGTTAACTAAAACCGCTATTGTTTGGTTAAATAACTGCACTGCATCGCTCCGGTTCTTTACGTAATACGTTACGTTTGCGTTGACAGCGAGTAGTATGTCGATAACGTTTCGTGATTCTAGTTTTTTAAGGAACTCAATTCTTCATCGACGCAGTTTTTATTAGAAGCTATCCATACTTCAAATCGACCTTACAGCAACGACTGAACTGAAATATTTTTCACAAAAGCTGTCGTTTAAAAAGTTTTGTCGTATTGTTGAATATACATGTTAACAAATTTTAACATTTATTTACCACGATTTTCCCTATAAGACATAGGGAGGGGTATGAGACATAGGGACATGAGACATAAATAACGATAAATTAACAACACGTTCAATACTATAATAATTTATGATTGATTAAATTAAATTAAAATGATCATGAAAAAAAAGAATAAAAAAATAAAAGAGCAGAGTAAGCGGAATTACATTAAAAATAACCGAAAATATGTATAAAATTAAATTGGGTGGTGTACAAAAGCTCGTAGAAATTTATAAACACTATCGTGAATTCGTGATGCACATCTACAAAGTCACTATGGCCATTGATGATCTTGCAAAATCTAGATATTGGAGAATTCGCACCAAGCACAGACTTTCGAAGTAGTCATAGTAGTGGACACAGGGGTGTTATTTTGTTCCTGGGATATCTAGAGGGCGCACGGAACCTAATAAGCTTTATTTAACTGGGGCAGTCGATCTCATTGTGCAACAGTTTGTAAATAAATAAAGCATCCGTTGTATCTCGTCGCATTGATAACGATTGCATTTTGAAATTCAAATTAAAAAAATCTATTAATTAGTATTATCTCCTTCGTTATCAGAACGACACATATTTATTTAAGTAGTGACATAACTTTTTATCTTTCAGTAACATTGACCCAATAGCCGAAATTAAAATTTGCTGATTACATACGAGAAAACTTCACTAAATAGTATAAAACAAAGTCGCTTTCTCTGTCTCCATATCCCTATGTACGCTTAAATCTTTATAACTACGCAACGGATTTTGATGCGACTGTGGTTTTTTAATAAGATAAAGTGATTGAAGAAGAAGATTTATAATATATATTAAATAGTGGAGAAGCAGCATTGCATCCGAGCGAAGCCGCGGTGGGTCGCTAGTTCATATTAAGAAACCATAAGTAATGAGATAAGCCGGTTACAACCTCCCAAAATCGCAACTGCAACTCCTGTAAGCCAGGGTCTACAGTAGATACAACCATGAAAACACCAGATTTGCGACTGAAATAACTGAAAAGCGACAGTCGCCGCGTCGCGTCTCGCGGAATGCTGCTCATAAATATGTCATATAGCATGGCTTGAAACAAGTCGAGTATCTCGTCAAATTATTACGTGACTGAGCCGAAAGCATAATAATTCAAACACCAGAACACTGAAGTCCGGCGCGTCCCAGGGACACAAATTACCAAAGCATAAGAAAGTCGACCATATGATGTTTAGATTCTTTAGATATTTCTGTGTAAGTAGGATGATAATTATTATTTGATAATACTTTCAAATACTGAAGGTACCATTGGCCCAATCAAATCGTTAGAGATGCAAAGTCACTACTCAAATCGGACTGTGTTGTTGTCTGGTGAAGATAAGCTTTGTTTTATTTTCTGTTAATTACAATAATATATCAGTTTGGGGCCAGGCCGAAATTATCAAAAGTTGCAACGATTGTTTCGGGCGGGTCCGAGCATTAAAAGTATTATTAAAAAGACGTTGTGTCTAATGTGGATAGGACAGTTAGATAAATAATTACTGTTTACTTAAGTCTGTGTGGGTATCGCCGCGACATCAGTGCTGTTCTGCTGGCCACAGCTACCGACACTCCCAGCTTCACTTTCTACCATGAAGATCCTCGTGAGTGTACTATCCTATTAATAATGTGATAATTAGAGCGTATTATTAAATTTTTCGCTGGAGTTTTTTTTATCATACTCTTGATTTTTGAATCGATATAAATTTGTTTAAAATAATGACTTACTTTCACGTGTGTTAAATGAGAAAAGTATTTTGTTATTCATGAGTAGCGTGCCATAGCAACTATGTCGCGCCGTCGGCTTTTCAGTTTATTCACGTGAATATAAGTCGTCATTTTCAATAAATATTCGTAATTATGTCGTGTTTGAGGAAAGAAAGTTTTTTACAACAATTAATTCCTTACAGGTGGCTCTTATCCTCATCGTGGTCCTCTTCAACGAATATCACTGTGAGTACTTTTCAGACTTCCGAGTAAGATCAGATTACTTTGGCTCTGCGAGTGGTATTTAATATACATAAACTCCTTAACCAATTATAAATCAGAACAAAACGTTTATTAGTTTTTCATTGGTTTCGAAGTTTGGGAGAAAGTTATCATGCAGGGCTAGAGAGAATATGATCTTGTTCTTTTCACTTATTCGAAGCAAAGGCCACTCCTAAGAATAGAGCATACTGCAGCTCCTAGCGGCCTGCAGCCTTAATCAGGTGGACTTGTAGTAGAAGCCCAGTGTTTTGCTGTTTGTACAATGGGAAAAATCATATACCGTAATCTGACGAAGAAATTTGAAAAACGTGACATTATTTTATCGATCCAATAAACTTCTCAGCAATTAATTTAGACCTCGAGCGTACGGCGCGTAGTACTCCGCGCACGTCAAACCAATAGACCACCACAAACGGGGCTCAACAGGGCCGATGTCCGGCCGATTGACTGCACGGTTGGCGCGATGGCTGGGCAATTGGCTGCCGTGTCACGTGTCGCGGGTTCGATTCCCGCACGGAACAACACTTTGTGTGATCCACAAATTGTTGTTTCGGGTCTGGGTGTGATGTGTATGTGAAGTTGTATGTTTGTAAACGCACCCACGACACAGGAGAATATCCTAATGTGGGGAAACATTTAAAAGAAAAGGTAGCACGGCCTCAGCCTTAAACAGGACAAGGAACGAGGGGTTTTGGCCTCAACATGGGCGAGACAGCGAGAGCAGTCATTTGATGATTTTCCCCACAAAAAATTGTGATGTTTATATTTGAATTCCAGGTGCACCATTAATTTACGTAGACTCTCAAGACCGAATCGTAATATCATTTGGCGGTGGGTTTGGTGTCAGATCAGGGTACAACCGGGGAGGACCGTATTTTGATGCTGATGTAGGTGTCTACGGCAACGCTGACTGGTACGGGACAAGGTCGACTTATCCTGATTATTATTAGTCACAATTAGTAACAAGAAATAAGCATTTTTATAACTATAGGTAGTTATGTTTAGACATTTAAGCTCGTGTGTATATTTTTATAAGTAATAAATAATCATTTTAAGCTATCTGTTGTCTTGCTTTTTTATTTTGGACGTTTTTAAACATCTCTGATTTTGATCATGATATTCCAAAAGTTTTAATTATGGTGCATTAACCAAATGGTAATTTAACTCACAGAATACCGACGTGAAACAAAACTTTGGTTATTTTTACCCGACTACGGCAAACCAAAAGGAGGAAAATGGAAAATGTCACTGACATACTTAAAAATAATTGTATGCCACTATTGCAGGTCATAGTTGTGTACAATCTTTGAAACATGTAACACCTATTTGTTTACCTATGTACCAAAATAAAGAATTTTGTATTGTATTGTTTAATGCACAAAGTGTACCAAGATGACTGTATCAGGCTGTTGAACTAACCGTAGGACACGGTGGAGCCTACGACACGGCTGTACCGCCTCGTGCAGTAGCGATCTATCCACGACCGGCCCTGGTCGAGGTCATGTGCGGAGCGAGAGGCAATGGAGAGCCGTCTCTTTTTTCTGCGAAACAATAATGCTCACATAGAAGGGGTTGGAGCGCGTGAAGGAACTATCCTCAGACACCACAGAAGGAGACACTCCGGGCGACGGGGATCGTGAGACGATCTTCGGCCACCAAGTGCGTGTTGGCGGACGGGGATCAAGGGTAGCTCGCCGGTCAACCATAATCAGCACGTCGATTTTATAAATATTCCTTATTTTTTTTATTTATGTAATAGGTCGGCAAACGAGCCGACGGATTACCTGATGGTAAGCAATCAGCGCCGCTAATGGCCACCCGCAACAGAGGAGTTAGGGATTTGGAGATTTAGGGATTGAAGAGGGATTGGGGAGGGGAAGGATGGGGTCTCCGGTAGCCTCACTCACACGGCGAAACACAACGCTGTGGTTGTTTCACGCCGGTTTTCTGTGAGGCCGTGGTATCACCCCGGTCGAGCCGACCCATTCGTGTCGAAGCATGGCTCTCCCACACTGTTTGATTTTGAATCTTGTTCGAGTATGAAGTGAGCGTCGAAGTGACGGGAAAATTACATCATAGAATGCCACTTTTAACATCATCTCATACTTGATCTATCAGAATGTTGCGGTCAATTTAGTTCAACTCGCAAGTGTACTACTACTCACAGCGGATTCAGATTCGAAGTTTAGAATGAATTCTTACAGAATAACGCTGCTGATCTGAGTGTGCACCACGTAACTTTCCGCAGGCTTAAAAGAGCTGATCACTACAGAGGTCTGATGTGTATGTAAAATTGTACGTAAATGTAGAGAAAATCCTAAGGGACTGTTAGGATTTTCTGCAGTACCTATCGTGATTGCGTTGAAAAAAAGAAGAAGAACTTCCTCAATAGGTATACAACAGAGCTTATTGTCAAATATTTATTAACAAAAATCACAAAACTACAACATTGATAACTAACTATTAGAGTTTACACATCAAAAAGGTTACATTAGTAATCCGTAACACATAAAAAATATGACTTGTGACATTTACTCGTATGCGTATTCCCTTCTTTGGTGACTGTCTGGAGAATCAGGCGGTGGTCCACGAGAACTAGAAGGTCTCCTTGATGGAGTACGTTGGGGGTACTGCGACCCATACTGTTGTTCAGAGCCGGGCTGAGGAGAATACTGCTGGTTGAAACGCGGAGAAAACTGCTGGCCATATTGAGGAGCATATTCACTGTATGGTGAACTGGATGCTGAGCCGTATCGATTTGAAGAGTAGGATGGTGGACGCTGAGCAGGTATAGCGTATCGAATCTCCCTTGTATCATCACCATCATAACCGTCAGCGCCGAAATCAAAATGATTATCAGTTCCAAGTGATGCCATTCCATCCTTAAACCCAGCGTGGACGCCCAGGTTTAAATCTCCACCATAATGTCTTCCCCATCTATTAAACGAGTGACTTTCTCTATAATAACCGTCATCATCTCCTACTGGTGCACCTGAAATGACAGAAAAAATTGTATTTCTATCTGAATATATGTACACACAGCTGTAGTCCTTAGCTATATTATTAAGACAAATACAGTAAGAAGAATTTAAATATACAAGCATGCTCCAATGCAGAGACATTTAACGGTTATTTAAACTCTTCCTAAGGATCTTTTTTGTTTCGAAAAGAATTACTACTTAGGTACATATAGTTTAAAACAATAATGATAAAGACAGCAAAAATTAAAAAAAATCCAACGAAATAAAATTGTACAAAATACAGAACCACAGAATCTTGTAAAAGGATAATTACTTCCTGACAAAATCCGTAAACGTTACGGTACAATTATGACTGGTAAAGCTATAATTATAATTATAAGTATGTACTTACAGTAGGATTCATTGAAGAGGACCACAACCAGAGCAAAAATGATCTATAACAAAATAAATTATGTCAAGACAATACATACGTTAAAAGCCTATAGTTTATACCAGCTACCATAAAATAAAAAGAAAATATAATGCCCAAAATAATAAAAAAATTGCAATAAATGTTACTTTTACGTGTTAAACACGAAGATATGTAGAATTGACTAAACAAATGAAAAAAGACTCACTAGGATCTTCATGGTAGTAGGCGCTAGTAGAGGCGGCTGGTATCGGTAGCTATGGACAGCAGACCAGCACTGATATCACGGCTATTCCCACTTAGGCTTAAGTACACAGTATTTATTTATCTTTTTGCCCTTTTCACATTAGGCAATTATCTCTTTGCTATTAGTTTCCGGAACAACCCTTAATTAATACATGTTTGAGAATTACAGGCTCGTCCTAATCAGACCAGTTCCTCGGGCTTGCCCCATACTGACCATGATCCCAGGGTTATCTCGCTACAATCAGATGTACGGTCAATGAATGTAGCTCAAGGCATTATGTGCTTTTTTCAGTCGCATACATTATTTTACATTTGACTGCACAGTTAACGCGTTGGCTTTTTTGTAAACGCACCCACGGCACAGGAGAAAATACTAGTGAGGGTCAAAGTTCCGTTTAAATAAAAAACATTTTTTATGAAAGGGAATTTTAGACTAATTTTAGACAAAAAGGGCGAGTGTTAGACTGTTACTGACTAAAAACAACCTCGTTCCTTTTGCTCAGGACCCAGGCTGAATAAATGTCCTAAGCCTAGGAATTATTAACAATAAAATTGGGATATTTAATCCCAAATTTCTTTTCAAGCACTCAATTTCCGAAAGCGTTATTATTACATCGAATTTGGCTATTAGCAGCCTTTGACACGAACTTATCACTGGGCATAACAAATAGTATTTATCGCAAGACAATAACAGTTTAGGGCAAGTCCGATATAAAAAAAACAGACATTAAATTAGAAAAATCGTTGACACCAAATTATCAACGAGTGATAGCGAAACCGTTTTATTTTATTTTGTATCTTAATAACGTAGTTGAGGGAAAACCAGAGATTATTATAATCATCAATGGACCACCCAAGAAGCTTGTTTAGAACAATTTTTGGGACAAGTCCGTCGTAACCTCTTAAAACCGTTGCAATTCCTGTAAGCCAGGATCTTCACACACACCACCATATACAGAATTTCGGCATGTCCAACAAAATAATCAAAAAAGCCGCGGTGGCTGGGCAACTGGCTGCCGCGCAACGTGTCGCAAGATCGATTCCCGCACCGAACAACTCTTTGTGTGACCTACAGATTGTTTCGGGTCTAGGTGTGATGTGCATGTGAAACTGTATGTCTGTAAACGCACCCACGAGACAGGAGAAAATCCTAGTGGGGGGCAACGTATTAAAAAAAAGATATTATTTGAGGAGAAGAAAATTTTTGCGTGATACGGGAACAAACATACAGACAGACAAAAATTCTTTAAATAATTCTCAACATTTATAGATAACGGGATGGCATGCCTACGTGATAAAAGAACTGTCGCTTATTGGGAATTCCCAAGTCATTAACATAATAATCATTTTAGACTTTGTTTATAAACAAACTGACCTAGAGACCTTCGTATCGTATTGCTACAAAATGTGTTTCGATATAACGCTCACTAGATGGCGTTGGTGAGACCTTAAGTTTTATTAACCTTCCAATCGTGGTAATTCGTAACACAATAATAATATTAAGACAATATGTGCGCGAACGCCGGTGTTCGCTTTGGGTTTGATGAATTAAGGGACATTTTATGCAAGTGGTGAAACTATATTATTCATTCCTAATTTTTATTGGCGTTTCTTCTATTGTAATAGATAATTCAGAGGTTGGAAAGAAATATTAAAAACTAGCTTTCGCCCGCGTCTCCGTACGCGTGGAATAGTGATTTCCTGCAGATTTTTGGTATAAAACTATCCCATGTCCTTTCTCGAGTTCCAAACTATGTATGTACCAAATTTCACAGAAATCGGTTCAGTAGTTTAGGCGTGAAGAAAAGACAGACAGACAGAGTTACTTTCGCATTTATAATATTTAATTTGGATTACGTCGCCACATGTACATAGTTTCTGCACCGCGGCAGCTTTGTGTATAATACGGGTTCGATTCCCGACTGGAATTGTTGCTTACGTGTTTGTTTAGATATGATCAAAATTCTCTCATGTCACAGAAATGGCAGATAGAAATGATTTATTGAAAAGGTAAAAGAAAAAAGTTTTTATTCGTGTCAATATCAATATCACTATATGCTGTATTGGCAATAAAAACGAATAATAGGAATGAAATTAACAACTGATTGAATTTAAAAAAATATGGAGATATTTAATTATCTAATAATTATACTCTACAGATATATTGCACATACACATGACATGTACATTGTTTGTAACCGCAACCACGACACACCAGAAATTCCTAGTGTGGGCAGCATTTTTATTAAAGAAGTAAAAATAATGAAAGGAAGGAAACAATCTAAAATCAGCCAAAAACAAAATTTAATAATACAATTCGGACAAATTAACTGAAGAATTATAACAATAAATTATAAATAATTATAATAACATTTTTGACCTTTTTGTTATCAGTTGCATATTTTAAAGAAAAAAAAAAAAAAAATTTTAAGTGAACAGAGCACAATTTAATCAAATGTGAATAGTCAAATTGGTTAGTTTTTGACTTAGGAAACTACCCAATTAACTAACCACGACATTGGCTACGCCCCACGCTAGGATTTTGCTACTAACCGGTTTTTCTGCGTGCGTGGGTGCATTAACAAACATACAATTTCACATACACATCACACCCAGACCCGGAATAACAATTTCTGGATCACACAAAGAATGGTCACATGGAAACCGCGACACATCGCGACGTAGCCTGTTGCCCAGCTACCGCGCCGTAGCCTGTTGCCCACCCAAGTTGCGCCAACTGTGCAGTAATTTTTTTAAGTGACTTTTTTATCTTATACCTTCATTGCCACTAGATATCAGAAGTAAACAAATTTATCGTGACTTGGGGTAGCCTACTGATAATTTAAGGTTTATTAGCGATCTGCCCCTAGTTCCGTACGGGTGTCGAACTGCCTTGTCGTCCGTCTTTTGTTTTGTTTGGTTGGCTATTTACGGATTTCACCTCTATTTTTCTGCCGGGGTTGCGGGTTAGGCGTAATGCGGCACCACGGCCTCCACCTAAAGCAGGAGAAGTAACAAGGTGGTTTTTATTCAGTAAAAGTCTGACACTCTCTCTCGCCTTACTCTGGAAGAGAGAGAAGTCATTTGATGGTTATCCCCTGACAGAAAAAACCTTTATTTGTCAAAAAAAAATCCATGTTAAAAATATTTTATAATATATTTAACATGGGACTGGGCCGGACACGTCAGCCGAATGCAACCGGAGAGATGGGCCACTATTGTCACTCAGTGGACACCTCAGAATGGAGGCCGCAGGCGGGGTAGGCCCCGGAAAAGATGGCGTGACGATCTAGACGCCTTTCGTCTAGACTGGTGGACACGGTGGGAGGATCGGGAGGTGTGGAAGCGAGATGGGGAGGCCTTTGCGCAGCAGTGGGACATTACAGGCTAGTAAAAAATATACATATATTTAATATTTTCTGTCATTTTGATTTTGACTTTGAACATTAACAAATGACTTATCTTGCCCTGAGCGGGGTGAGAAACAGTGTCTGACTCTTACTGACTTAAAACCACAATGTTCCTTTCCCTGCCCTTTCCCTCCCCTAGGCCAGAGCCGTGGTATATTATTGCGTATGACCCTGAAAGAACCTTCTGACAATAATAAACACAAAAAAAAAAACAAGTGATCGTTGTACGTACCTTTTTTTTCAGGGGAAATCATCCAATGAGTTCTCCCGCCCAGGGTAAGGCGAGAGAGAGTGTCAGACTCTTACTAACTAAAAACCCCCCCGTTCCTTCTCCTGCTCTGTGCCGAGGTCGCGGTGCCTCATTGCGCTTACCCTGCAGCCCCGGCTAAACATCAGCCCTATTGGACCCCGACTGTGGTGGTCTATTGGCTCTTTGAGGCGCGCGCGGTCCCCCCCCCCACACTCGGGTCTGGTTCTGGTCGGGCGGCAAGCTACCCTTACTCGCCGTCCGCAGACCCGCGCTTACGGTGGCCGGAGATCATCTCTCGATCCCCGACGTCCGGAATGTCACCTTCTGCGGCGGCTGGGGCGCGAGGAGGATAGTTCCCTCACGCGCTCCGCCTCCTCCTTTGCGAGCATAACTGCTTTGCAGAAGGAGGAGATAGCTTCCCAGTTCCTCTCACGCCGCACCATGGCCTCGATTAAGGCCCGGCGCGAGAGGTCGCCGCCGCCGATCACTTCCCTGAGAACACGGCGGTGCTCAGCCCAAGCAGGGCACTCCGCCACCGTATGCTCCACCGTGTCCACCAGGTGATCCTCACAACGACGACACTCGGGCGTTTCCTCCCGCTGGTTCCGAAACAGGAATCTACCGAAGCTGCCGTGCCCGGCAAGCACCTGTGTCAGGCGGAAGGTGAGGACGCCGTGGCGTCTCTCAAGCCACTACTCAAAGAGGGGTCTTACCGCTGCTATAACAGCCCAGCCCTCGGTTGCGACAGTCGCTGCTTCCACTCAGCCATGAGATCTCGCCGGAGCTCATTCCGCCACGCACTAACTTGGCGCGGCAGAGGATCCTCGCCCCGGCGACGCGCGTCTGCGCGCGCAAACTGTAGGCGCGCGAGCGCTTTCGGTTCCACATCGTTATACGTACCTAAGTACTTAGTTTCGGTAGAATAGCTAAACATTTTATTGTTAAGTAAAATATCGATTTATATTAGTTCATTGATCCCTTTGACTAACTCATTTATCATAAACAACATTCGATAGTAAGCAGGCAAGAGTTCTGACATTTATATTTAAATTAAATTTAATATTCTAACGTCCAAGAACAGCGGTGACTAAAATTGACTCACCAAACTTAACTTAGAAAATTATTTTGAAAAATAAATAAAAAAATAAATAAAAAATAAAAAACCGCGGTGTCAGGGACATGACTTATTTTTTTTAAGGTTTAAAAACGCACTGTTGCGTGATTAAGATGTGAATATAAGGTTCAATTTGCCATGGGATTTCATTTTGATGCATCTGTGTAAATCTTACTTATTACTGTCTTACTAATATTATAAATGTTTGTTACTCAATCAGGCCAAAACGGCTGGACGGATCTGGATGAAATTTGGCACAGGCATAGGATACACTCCGGAATAGGACATAGGCTACTTTTATCAACTTACAATGCGGGCGAAGCCGCTGGCGGAAGCTATAGTTGGTTATAAATCTTAGAGGTACCCCAAAAAATTTTGTCTAATACAGCTAACTCTCACTTCACACTTCAGCCGATTGCTCTGACGTCGTAACAAGATAAGCTGCGCCTGTACAAAAGTTTCGGCAGTGTGCTAATGTCAACAGTTTGACGCTGACGCCAGACTCAGTACTACAATTTAATGTGCGCCTATCACGTTATCATAAACATGAAGTACATTGTGAGTAATTTATACTTATTTAGAAGTTTATCTCGTGAGATATTTCTCTCTCAGTTTTCATATAAAAAACAATATAATTTATTATCGCAATAATTGTTTCAGATGTGTCTCTTCTTGTTCTTGGTGCTCTTGGAGGGATTCCAATGTGAGTATCGTCATTTTTGTGTAAACCCTGCCACTAGGTACCTATTACATTTTCGTGGGTCGGCGGAAGAGCAAAGGGAGCTCGCAACCCGACCAGAACAAGACCCGAGCGTATGGCGCTTAGCGTTCTACGCGCGTTTTAAAGACAGCACCACAGTGGCGGGGTAAGCTCAATAAGGTACCGCGACCTTGGCACGTGGCAGGAGAAGAAACGAATAGTTTTAAGACAATAACAGTCTGAAACTCCCTGGGCGAAAAAGAAATTCGATAATTTTCCCCTCACAAAAAATCCTAACTCTGAAACTATTCAAAAGTAAATAATACTTTATTCTGTTTCAGGTGCACCATATCGCGACCAATCAACAGAGTCTCCAACAGAAACGAATAGGGTTATAACTATAGGTGAACGGAACATTGTTTTGGTTGGAGGTAAATTGGACCCCAACTTACTGCGTAAATTGATATTAGATATACTAGGGAATCAATCCAACTAACTCTTAGACCAAAGGACCTACGTTATTGTTTATAAAATACATTATTTACATGTAACTCTTACTTCTATGTCATATTTGTAAAACAAAAAATAAAAATTTTAAAAATCACTACATGTTTCTTTTGTCAAGCGTACTTACTCCATAAGTGTTATAATGTACTTCGGGCCCGTAGCAGGAGGACAAACAGGGTTGTAATTAATTACGAGTAGTAAGAGATTCACACGAGGTTAAACAAGTGTGGGAGAGCCATGCTTCGGCACGAATGGATCGGCTCGACCGGAGTGATACCACAGCCTCACAGAAAGCCGGCGTGAAACAACCACAGCGTTGTGTTTCGCAGTGTGAGTGAGGTTACCGGAGGCCCAATCCTTCCCCGTCCCCACTCCCTCCCCAGTCTCTAAATCTCCAATCCCTAATCCCTAAAAGGTCAGCAACGCACTCGTAACTCCTCCGTTGCGGGTGTCCATGAGCGGCGCTGATTGCTTACCATCAGGTAATCCATGCTCGTTTGCCGAACTATAACATAAAAAAAAACTCTTTCTCCCTCTACCCAGGGCGCGAGATGTCACAGGATGATTAGTCCCCCTATAAAACCTAAACCTCTTCATTACAAAGCAAGATTGATCTTTAGTCTACATTTGAGTTACTGAGTCAGGTTGTATTTTGAATCTTATTCTTAACTACCTTCAATTCGAAATACAAAATCTGTCTCAATGGTTTAAACCTGAACTAAAGAAAAAGTCTCTTTTGTAATAAGGCCGAATATGTTTTGTTAGCATGTAGTATGTAGTCTGTCAAAAATATCGAGAAGTTATGTAAGAACTAGTAAATATACAAATTATACTGCATGTATAACAAAAAAAAAAAAAAATGCAAAATAGTAATGGACGATAAATATATCCAAACTAATGTTATAAATGCGAAAGTCACTCCGTCTGTCTTATCTTCACGCTTAAACTACTCACCCGATTTGGGTGTACATACATAGTTTGGAAGTCGAGAAAGGACATAGGATAGTTTTTATCCAGAAAGTTACTAATCCACGCGGACAAAAGCTAGTATTTATATAATGTGTGTGATAGTTATAACACAACCCCAAGCAAGTTGTTTCAGCTGGGGTTGCGGGGTAAGTGCAATGAGGCACCGCGACCGGTTGGTAACTGGCCAGGGTCGCAGTACATTATATCTATGTAATAGTATCTATATTTGTAAAGTCTATGTATGTTATTTATTCCTTATAATTACACATGCCTATATTTTCGCCGATATCCTATTTAACTCTAAGGTTGACTGGGAGAGAATGCCATATGGCATTAATGTCCGGCTTATGTACCATCACTTGTTTTGTGTAAAATTATTAAAGTTTAAATAAATAAATTATAACGTGCAAGTTAAGGTCAGGTCTGCGAGGTGAACCGCCACGTGTGTGAGACTGCCAGACAGTAGGAGTTTCCTTCTTTTTTCCCAAAATAAGGAATCTCTTCCCAAATTTTCCTTCTCGGGGTTGACAAGAAATGGTAAAAGTTTTTAAAGTTAGAAACATGGCCACTTGGCAGCTTTGGACTGATTGGTGATCTAGATTTGGCTAAAACCAGTCTTCAAAGCCTGGAGCACAGGGTACCCAGCCTCTCGGTTTTCTGTAGGATATATTTTGGAGAGTCTGCGCGGGAGCTACACGCCTTTCGTGACGGCGTACGGCGGGTATCCATCCTTATATTGTTCAGACCTTTGCCATCCGGTCTAAGCGTTTCGCTTCGTCGTTTATATATAGTGTATATACATCTAAGGGTTTGAAAAGCTTGCCTGCAACTGTCTTCCCGACCACTAATGATAGGTGTCTTCAAGGCTAGAGTGAATACGCAATTAATAAACTGGTGCGCATTATTATCTACGATGCATCACTGCTTACCATCAGGTGGGGTTGCAGTCAAACACTAGTTAATATGATTTAAATAAAACCTCGCCTGCGATCTTATACTCGTACCTTTTGTACAGATATAGATCGATTAGATCTTGTTTTGGCACCAAACGATTCGAATGATTTAATATTGATCTTGTTTTGTTTTGACTATGAATTGTTTAATTGATAATTTTTTATTAGTGCGTTTGTCTAATCGCTGTGACCAGCCTTGACTGCGAGATAGGTTGACACCCGGGTCAGTTGGATTCTCCCAAGATAAAAAATAGTTTTATCTTCTTGATTTATCTTTTTAACCGACTTCCAAAAAGTAGGAGGTTTCTCTTTCAACTCGACTGTATATGTACTAGCTCTTACCCGCGGCGTCGCTCTCGTCATTTGACTACCTACTCTACTCTACCTACCCCACTCTATGTAGCCTACTCTACCTACCCTACTCTATGTACCCTACACTATGTACCCTACACTACCTACTCTATTCTACCTACCCTACTCTACCTACCTCACTCTACCTACCCTACGCTACCTACCCTACTCTACCTACCCTACTCTACCTACCCTACTCTATGTACCCTACAGTATGTACCCTACACTACCTACCCTATTCTACCTACCCTACTCTACCTACCTTACTCTACCTACCCTACGCTACCTACCCTACTCTACCTACCCTACTCTACCTACCCTACTCTACCTACCCTACTCTACCTTCCCTACTCTACCTACCCTACTCTACCTACCCTACTCTACCTACCCTATTATGCCTACCCTACTCTGCCTACCTTACTCTACCTACCCTACTCTACCTACCCTGCTCTACCTACCCTACTCTACCTACCCTACTCTACCTACCCTACTCTACCTACCCTACTCTACCAACCCTACTCTACCTACCCTACTCTACCTACCCTACTCTACCTACCCTACTCTACCTACCCTACTCTACCTACCCTACTCTATCCTATCGTATGTCTTTCTCCTGGCTCTAAACTACCTTCTTGTCAATTTTTAGCTAGATCGGTTCAGCCGTTCTTGAGTTATAAATGGAGTAACTAACACGACTTCCTTTATATATATAGATATGTATGTATATTTTGTTAATAAGTGATATAACCCTAAAACACTTTCAAGGTGGTTATTATACATCATCAGCCTACAAGTGCCCACTGCTGAGCAAAAGCCTCTTCTCACACTAAGAAGATTTAAACATTAATCACAATGTTTGACTAAGGTTTTTTTTTTGTCAGGGGAAAATCATCAAATGACTTCTCCCGCCCAGGGTGTGTCAAGAGGAGTGTCAGACTCTTACTGACTAAAAACCCCCGTTCCTTCTCCTGCTCTAGGCCGAGGCCAAGGCTAAGCATCAGCCTTATAGGGCCCTGTCTGTAATGGTTTATTGCCTCTTTGAGGCGCGCGTGGAATGCTACGCGCCGTACGCTTGGGTTTGGTTGTGGTCGGGCGGCGAGCTACCCTTACTCGCCGTCCACAGGCCCGCGCTTACGGTGGCCATAGATCGTCTCTCGATCCCCGACGCACGGAGTGTCGCCTACTGCAGGAAGAGGACTCCCTCACGCGGTCCACCTCCTTCTTTGCGAGCATAACTGCTTCACACAAAGAAGAGACTAAGAGTGGGAGAGTCGTGCTTCGGCACGAATGGGTCGGCTCGACCGGAGTGATACCACGGCCTCACAGAAAACCGGCGTGAAATAACCACAGCGTTGTGTTTCGCCGTGTAAGTGAGGTTACCGGAGGCCCAATCCTTCCCCTCCCCCAATAACTCCTAAATCCCTAAATCTCCAAATCCCTAATCCCTAAAAGGTCGGCAACGTACTCGTAACTCCTCCGTTGCGAGTGTCCATGGGCGGCGCTGATTGCTTACCATCAGGTAATCCGTCAGCTCGTTTGCCGACTTATTAAATAAAAAAAAAGAGACGGCTAAGGACAGGCGCGAGAGGTCACCGTCACCGATCACTTTCCTGAGGACACGGCGGTGCTTATCCCAAGCAGGTCACACCGCCACCGTATGCTCCACCGAGTTGTTTAGGTTGTCCTTACAATGACGATGCTCGGGCGTTTCCTACCGCCGGATCCGAAACAGGAAACTACCGAAGCTGTCGTGCCCGGTAAGGACTGCGTCAGGCGGAAGGTGAGGACGCCGTGGAATCTCTCAAGCCACTCCTCAAAGAGGGATGTTACCGCTTCTATGTTTGATCAAGGTGGATTGGTGATTTCAAACTTATAATTAGAAATTATAAGTCCAGCTTTTTTCATGACGTTTACCTTCACCGCATATATACAGTGCATAGAGAGTACATATGTAAAGCTCGAAAGAAGTCACATTGGTACTTGTCAGGTTTCGAACCCGTTTTAGCCTCCATAAGTAAACTCGAAATTCGTGAGGAAACTTGGACTTGGACTGGAATTTCAAATTATAAGTTTGAAATTGCTAATCGGCTTTGAGCAAGCGTGGTGATTAATGCTCAAACCTACTCCGTGTGAGAAGAGGCCTTTGCTCAGCAGTGGGTACTTATAGGCTGATGATGATGATGATGATGATGATGAATTTTTTTCTTCAGTAAGTAAATTCTTTAGAAATTATGAAAATCGTTCATTGTACTATTTTTAGCTACTAAATAAGTGAGCTTTCCTTAAAATTAAGTGTTTCGTTATAGTTTTAAATTTCTAAGTATTTATCTTTGATATACAGGCATCGATTTATTACAATTTTAACTATGTATACACACACTTTATGTGTATATTATATACATTTAGATAAATAATTTAGGAAATTACTGCTGATTACTCTGACGTCACAATAAGATAAGGTCCGGCTATACAAAAGCCCAGTATTCTTCATATGTCAACAGTTCGACGCTGACACCAGTTCGAGCAGTCACGCCAGTCTCAGTACTACCCGACAGTCTGCGAGTACAGCGATATCGTAGCCATGAAGTTCATTGTGAGTCATTTTCAAACTTATTTAGAACTTTGACTTCAGACTCTTTCTGACCTTTGAGAACTAAGTCTTTACTTATTCATAATTAAGCGTCCTTTTTAAAAGTAACATATTAATGACTTTCTTTTGCCGGGGTTGCTGTTGCAAACCCAATAATGCAACGTGGCCTCAGCCTGAAGCGAGAGGAATAAGGGGTGGTTTTTAATCAGTAAGGATCTGATACCCCCTCTCGCCCAACTCTGGACTTTTTCCACCTCAAAAACAAGTGGGTTAAAGTGTTCCTAACGTGTCATTCTATGCTTCTGTCACGTCTGTGCATCTGCTCAAATATCAATTTTTTCCAACACCATCAGAATTTTGAAAAAAATGTCTCCATGTTGCTCTATTATAATTTTGGCAATTATTGTTTCAGGTGTGTGTCTTCTTAATGTTAGTGATCCTGGAGGGATTCTATTGTGAGTATATTATCTACATATTACACTACCCTTTGCCAGTGACTCCGTTCGCGTGGAATAGGTAGTGATTTCCTGCAGATTTTTGGTATAAAACTATCCTATGTCCTTTCTCGAGTTCCAAAATATGTCTGTACCAAATTTCACAGAAATCGGTTCAGTAGTTTTCTGTCAGACAGACAGACAGAGTTACTTTCGATTGCTACCAAAAAATGACTAGTATTTTGAATTTTCTGTAAGCTAAGTATTCTCATGTCGCATTTGGGCAAACAACCTTCTAGATTTACTATAAATATAACTTTGTCATTTTTAGTCATTAAGAATTTGATACTCCCTCGGGACAAGTCCTTTGATGAATTTTTCCATAATTCATCTTACAACTATTGCAACGCCACGTAAGGTTTTTGGCAGCGATATTTCTGTATGACTTCATAATATATATAAAGTGTGAGGTGACTAGTCGAGTTCCTCGTCAAATAATTACGTGTGTAAACCGAAAACATAATATAATAGGTGATTAATAAAGGAAGGAGAGATTAAAATGATTTTATTTAATTACAGGTGCACCGTATTACTACGATTCGTCATCATCATCATCGTCTACATCATACTCAAATACTTTTACAAACAGAGGGAATTACAATGCTCTTATCGTTGGTGGCGGAATGAGCTCGAACATGATCCGAAATATTCTTCAAGCAACTCTTACTGGCGGTGACGACCAGTCAACGCCTTGTTGTTGATTAGGAGATGATATGGAGTAAGACGTCGTATGAATTGTGTTTCACTTTGTGAGTTAAGTTGCCGGAGGCACAATCCTCGTCCTCATCCAATCTGAATCATCAAATCTGTGAACTCCAAATCTCCTTAAGGCTAGCATTCGTAATTCAACGCAACTAGTAAAAAAAATTATGATCAGGATATACTTCATAAGAGTTCTTGGTTCAATGAAGCACATTATACCTCCGTCACAGAAAATGGAATGCAGTCGCCAGCCTATCATGTATTTCTTTGTTTTGCTTCTAGTCTTAGTCGCTTATGTAATATGGTAGTTATTAATATTTTTTTAAATTAATTATTTGTTATCATGACACAATATAAATTATGGTGTTCTACTCTGTATTAGACTAGAGACTACCTAGACTCATGTAGTTTGTTTGCAAAAATATAATTAATGCCTACTAAATATATATTTATGAGAAATGACGCGGTCACCAAGTCATTCACCACTTTTACCATTATTTCGTTGTACTCTCTGTATCTTAAGACTCACGATTTTTATTTGTGAAAATTTAATAAATGTCTACTAATTACACGGTTTTTTGGATAACCCCGCTCTTTGCAATTATTGAATGCCAAAATATGTACCGAGGAGATTTGTACATATTAATTTTCTTTACCAGATTAGAAATTTAAGTGAAATAGTAAGTGTGATGCATAAATTATTGAAGATTTTTTTAGTTTTTCAATAGCACAGAATTTGGCACTATGCCTTGTGTAATCCACTTCATAACAGTTATACTATGATTCCTAAGTAATAGGAGCTAACCTGTTGCCATTATCTGAACTCATTCCAATTACCGATAAGTTATTGGTAAATAATAGTTTTAAATTAGGTATAATGTTTTTTTATTTAAACCATTATTATCTGGTAACTATGTTCTAAAGATCTTCCAAACTTATGTTACAGCTAGCGTCCATAATTTTTTTTTCAATTTTAAACCCTTAGCATATATCACTAGTATCAAAGACATATAAAATGTATAAATTCCAACTAAGCAATAACGGTATAAATTAATTAAGTATTTATAAGTTACTGCCAGACTCAGCCACGCGTTGCTGTGTACTTTACCCTCAGAAACACGTGGTGTTATATAGTCGCTCATATATAACGTTTGTGTTTTTAATATAGCGCCATCTATTGAATACTTACTTAACCCAGTCAACATCATCCCATCTGTTACAATCATTAGGAGCTAATAGATAATTGTAACTGTCAAATATTTTTTAATGGACAAATCATTTGCAATAAAATAATATTGTGACTATAAATTAAGATCTTTCAAGAAGATCTTTCAAGTTGGATAAAAATGCACACGGAATGCAAATCAAATTTAAAATCGATTAAGTAGTTTAGGAGTCCATCGCGGGCAAACAAGTGACGCGAAAATTTTATATATAAAGGTTTATCTCTTCTAAAACGGATGCCATGGCACGCAGCAGTCACAATTCTGTTGCTGCTGTGTCCGTTACCCAGGCCAGATGTTGTCGACAATGGTCATTTGAATCTTATAGATAATTAGTTGTGCGGCTTCTGTAATTGTTGCGCACATTTTTAAATTTGTTGCGCTTATAGTTTTTTAATTATTTCACAAAAACATTTCCTGCTGGCGTAACGTTACCACAGCCAGACCTTTTTATTTCTAATGGGAATATTTAAATAAATATTAGCTATAAAATTAGTTGTCTAGATAAAGTAAATGTTGTGCCTTATTTTGTATTTGTTCTTTCTTCGGTTGCGAAGTTATTCGAGATTTTGCTGCGGTAACGTTTTTGGTTTTGCTAGATCTTTGAAATGGTTAAGCGGATTCTTATCATATTTTGTACACGACTTCCGAAGACTTAGTTTAAATTTGTTGTGCAATAACAAAACCAAAATAATGCATATTTTAAAGGTTTTTTCATTAAATAGAAAAACACTTCAATTGGCCCCAGCACTCTCAATAAGAAGTCTAAAGACTTACTTTAAACGTAATTTGAAAGCTTGTAACTGCCTTCAAATGTATATGAAGTTTCATTAGTATCCCGTAAGTATTTAACAAGTTATGATGATATTCAGTTCTTCACGAGCACGGCCTTAATGCACGCGGTGTTATTTGGCCACTGGATTGGATATATGAACTGAATGTTATGTCAATAATTAGTTGTTTAGATCAGTTGTATATCAGTAAAATTTCAGCTCAATACATTGGATAATTAATGAGATAATACTATGAAAGTCATTAGGAAGTGAATGACCGTGGTAAGCCGACCAAGTTTAGGTGGTTACGAAAAAGCGAAAACGCAGAACATTATGGTACCTTCTAAAATATGTAGGATAGTGTTATAAATTTAGTACAGACATGTACAAAAGTTTAAAAAAAAACTACATGATTATTCAAGATTTTTTATTGAAAGGTAAAATAATCATTTCAATTGAACTTTTACTTCCTTACTTATAAAAACTTGTGTTGCTTAGCAACCGATTAAACATCACCCGTCCTTGTCATTTCTATTTCAAAATGCAGTTCAAAAATCATCTAAAAGGTTACAAAAGTAACCTTCTGGCAAGACTGAGTGCGTTATGCAAACAATGTATTACCCCTTCACCCCACTCCTGCGTCCTACCGAACGGCATGCTCTAGCGGTGATTTTTGATAATTTTGTGGAACTGGAAGATAATGTTTTCTTTTATACTATTATTATTATATAGGTATTAAACCGTGTACGCGTCTGTACCAAAATTGTAAGGTGTATTATACTAAACATTTCAAAAGATAGTACAATGTTCTGCGTTTTCGCTTTTTCGTAACCACCTAAACTTGGTCGGCTTACCACGGTCATTCACTTCCTAATGACTTTCATAGTATTATCTCATTAATTATCCAATGTATTGAGCTGAAATTTTACTGATATACAACTGATCTAAACAACTAATTATTGACATAACATTCAGTTCATATATCCAATCCAGTGGCCAAATAACACCGCGTGCATTAAGGCCGTGCTCGTGAAGAACTGAATATCATCATAACTTGTTAAATACTTACGGGATACTAATGAAACTTCATATACATTTGAAGGCAGTTACAAGCTTTCAAATTACGTTTAAAGTAAGTCTTTAGACTTCTTATTGAGAGTGCTGGGGCCAATTGAAGTGTTTTTCTATTTAATGAAAAAACCTTTAAAATATGCATTATTTTGGTTTTGTTATTGCACAACAAATTTAAACTAAGTCTTCGGAAGTCGTGTACAAAATATGATAAGAATCCGCTTAACCATTTCAAAGATCTAGCAAAACCAAAAACGTTACCGCAGCAAAATCTCGAATAACTTCGCAACCGAAGAAAGAACAAATACAAAATAAGGCACAACATTTACTTTATCTAGACAACTAATTTTATAGCTAATATTTATTTAAATATTCCCATTAGAAATAAAAAGGTCTGGCTGTGGTAACGTTACGCCAGCAGGAAATGTTTTTGTGAAATAATTAAAAAACTATAAGCGCAACAAATTTAAAAATGTGCGCAACAATTACAGAAGCCGCACAACTAATTATCTATAAGATTCAAATGACCATTGTCGACAACATCTGGCCTGGGTAACGGACACGTTGCTGCTTAGTGCTACTCTAATTCTAATATTTGTGTATTTTTTTTTGGAAAATCATCAAAAGGTTTCTCCGAATAGGCCTTTTCTTTTATTTTGTAAACGGGGGGAAACCTTCAAAAGGCGCCTAGCTTTTGGGGAAAAAGACTAGGGAGTGTGGGATTTTTACCTCACTAAGACCTCCCCGGTGGCCACCATCAACACCTATAAGGGACACCGGGACCTCTTGATAGACCAACTCCAGAGCCCCTTTGGTGCAACGCCTGTTATGGCACATCTCCATCGAGATATGCCATATCTATTCTCCGAATAGGCCTAGGCGCGTGCGTTCGTGCAGCGGAATGTTGTTGAATTTAAAGATTTTAATTATGCAGATATTTAGTGTATGACGTCGTATAATTGTGTATGGTAAAAAAAAATTTGTGCACGCAACCATTGTGGAGAAATTCACCAAAAACTGATTCCGCTGGGCGAACGTTGTCCTGGCGGAACTTTTTTTAATCCATAGACTTTACAAGAAAAGAGATGTATCCAAAAATTAGTGTGTATTTGTGTGTAATTGTGTATGTATGAATAAAACTAGTGCATGCATAAACTTCGGAGAAATTCAAGTTTCCGCTACGCGAACGTTTGGCCATTAGCTAGTTTTCATATAAAGCGCTTACATAGAGAGCTGTAGATTTTTACATACGTTGTTTTGAATTTGTGTATATTTGTTTAAAAATCAGATTTAGAAAAAATCGTAGGGTTTAAAAGATAAAAATATAAACGTAAAATACGCTTATTAGGTCTTAGCTCTTAAAGTATGCACTTTAGGGTCTAGATTTTCATGTTTATACAAACCTTGTAAGTGTCTGCAACATGTTGCCAAGTATCAATGATGTTTCGTTAGTAATTAAATAGTTATAGGACAAATTTACCATGAATAGATCACTGTTTACAAAGCAGTCAAATATCACGACGTTCTAAATGAATTGCATGGTAAAATGTATGCCAATAATTAGTGTATTCATTCAACTATTCACATGCAAAATTTCATGTCATTAAATTCAGTAATTAAAGAAAAACAATTATAATACTGACGAAGTATCGAAAACCTACATAACCCGACCAAGTTCGGATGGCTACAAAAAAGCGGCTGTTCAATATATTTAGGTAACATCCCAAAATTTACAGTATAATACCGGTATTGAATTGGTACAGGTGATAACACACTTGTTGTTTCGAAATAATTTATAGGCCATTTATTTTTGGACACCTACTTTTTTAAATGTATTTGACTATGACAGAAAGTAGGTACTATTTACGTAGGTACTTTATTTAAGTATGCGCTTGAGATTTAAGATATAATCTAATTATATTTAAGACAAATAAAATTCATACAGCTAATTTCTATTGAAGATTTCAGGGATCAGGATTCTAACTATAGACCCCTTAGGGAAATTAAATATTTACCACATGTAAGTACTTAAGTACTACTGTTTAGGTAAATATTTATCATATTGTAGCTTATTACACTATTTAACCAATAGAGGCATGCACGAGCGTGTGTACGATACTGTGTTTTATTTTTTCCTAACGCTTGTGTACGATAATGTACCATATTAATAAATGCTATATTGGAAAGTTAAGAACGTTTCTTAGATATATGGCACGGCCGCTTTTTTGTAGCCATCCGAACTTGGTCGGGTTATGTAGGTTTTCGATGCTTCGTCAGTATTATAA